GGTGTGTGTGTGTGGGGGGGGTTTGGGGTTGGGGGGTGCAGGGCACTCCATCCTTCCCATCAGATGTAAAGTTGAGGACCTGTCTGCCTGTTCAGGTGGACGTTAAAGATCTCCCGGCACTATTGGAGAAGAGAAGGGAGCTCAGCCCAGTTTCTGGCCAAAAATCCGCCAAATAAAAATGGTTCTTCATTTCATGGCTGTTTGTGGGACCTTGGTGTCTGCAAATTGGCTATTACATTTGTCTACAAGTACACATGTGACAGCAGTTTCTTGGGAAATGCTTTTAAAATGTTTTGGCACTACAGAGCCTGTATCAACTCAAGGATTATTAGTAGTAGTTATTAGTATATTAATGAGGCAAGGAGGAACAACGGCATGGAAGCCGGGAATGATGCTTTTGAGGGGAGAAAAAGAAGCTAGTAAAAGCATTTCTTAAAGTGCAATAGTTCCCCCTTCACCGTTCATCACCCAAAAGCCTACAGTTACACTTTCCTCTGATACCCAATTCAATTACCTTCGCTCTAATCTCTGTGAGTAGGTGTTGGGACCAAATTTACAATGTTTAGGGTTTCAGATGAAAGGCTGAGCACAGAAGGATGGATGATGTCGTTACTTCTTGAATGAGTTTGTACCAGAAACTACAGCTCAGTACTTCCTGTGAACTCATCTTTTCGGCCCCAAGTATACCTCTGCCTGGAGTTTTTGAAAAATCTGTCTGTGCAGCTTACGTTGGTGAGAAATGTTTCACTCGATGATGACATCATGGCTCTCCACAGGCTTTACAGGCTTTTAAGCCATTTCTCTTTTTATCACTAATTCTGTCAGCTGCAAGTAACATTTCTGAACCTCCACTAGCACTCTCACCAGACTGCCAGTCTTCCTTTTGTCCTGGGTTGCTCAGGGTTCTTTACTGTGATTCAATTCCAGCCACATCATATTGCTTTTTGAACAATGACAGATCTTAAATGAATCTTGCGTGTGTGTTGGAACACTTTGCTCTATTCAGAAGATTATAATTCATGCATTTGCCTGATCCCTGCAGTGTTGTCTCCTCCTGCAATGGAGCTGCAGATTTGGATACGCATCCATTACAAGTCTGTTTATCAATAGAGGTTGAGCAAATTGCCACCCACAGTGATTGAAGACCTGCCACAAATATACAGAGCTGCTCCCGTTGCAGAGTTGTGTGCGAGAGGCCCCTAGTCATAGTGCTGGAGCTCTGCTCTGACTTCATTTCCTTTGTTAGCAAAAGCCTCGGTGGCAGTCCGACCACTGGCCAGAGTCCTCGTCATAACGTTATCCAAATTGTCTTTCTTTCTCTTGTGCAGATTTCCATCTGTGTTTGTGGGGTCGAGCCCAGTTTTCACAGTAAATGTGATCCGTTTTTTTCAGGAATGACAAGGCTTTTGCTTGTCCCGGGATGGAGTGAGGTTTGACGCAATGCGAGCTGACCAGCAATTACCCTTTAAACAATGCACTTTATTATCAGAGATAATCAAAACACCACTTCCTTTCCAAAGCAGCTATTTGTAGTGCGCTAAAGCTGCCATCTGGTTTTCCTTTATCTGAAATGGAATGTAGCTGTTCCCAGATCAGTCCTGTCGTAAGGTCTGGCTGAAAAATATAACTCGCCCCCAACTGAAGCAGGCAGTACAGTACAGTAATTGCACGTTAGCCTGTCCGTTTCTTGATCCTGATGGGATCTGGGCCACCCACTCGTACGGTTTCCGTTGTTTGTCACCTACTTGTTTAGAGTAAAGCCTTTGGTCTCTGTGCCATGTCTGTAGACGAACGAGATGAATGCTTATCGGCTCTGGTCTATCGGTGTGGATTAGTTAGGGTGCAGATGTGTGTCGGAGTCTCTCAAGGTATTCAACTTAGGTGGACTAATCAGATCTCTGTTCTGTGCAGCTGCAGGCTGCATCATGAACTGGTTGTATTGACTTGCTCACTTCCCTCCCGAGTGTCAGCATAGCGCAATGAGTAATGGTGGTGACTGGTCTTTTACTTACAGAAATGAAATCTGATACCGCAGCCCTGATTTGTCTTTCCTTTCATGTTTTCCCAATACAATACGCAGGATCCCACTCTTGAGTAATCAGCCAGAGAGATTGTAACCTCTGTTGGCAGATGCTCTGAGATGCTGCCTCATGTGAAGGCTGCTATAGAAATACAAACTGTTGCCATTGTAAGACCCTCATCACACCAGTCTTTGCCAGGCTCCACTGGGTTCCAATTACCGAACGGATTGATTTCAAGATTGTCTCACTCGTTTTCAAATCCCTAAAATGTCCTCGCACCTCCCTACCTATCCGATTTGCTCACCCCCCCCCCCCCCCACTCCCCCACCCGCTGCCTCCACTCGGCTGGCTACGATCTCCTGTTCGTCCTTCAATCTCTCCGCTCCACCATCGGTGGCTGTGCCTTCAACCACTACGCCCCGAAATTCTGGAACTCTCCCCCTGAATCCCACATGCCTCTGTTTACACTGAAGTAAGTTAGGAACCAGGTTGTTAGTTGGTTGGCAGATCGCTTTCCAGGGATAATAAGTTTTTTTTAAAAAAATTAGTCCCTCAATCCATAACTGTTTGTGGGACACTGCTGTGCGCAATTGGCTGCCGCGTTTTGCCCACAAAATATAGTCAATTTACTGTACAGTGTATTCTGTGACGTGATTTGAGACGTCTCAACGATGTGATAAGGCACTATATCAAATGCAAGGATTATTCTTCTTCTCTTCCTCTCTCTTCCCTTCTGCAATCTTCTCGTTGTTGATCCTGACATGGTGACCAGGCAGCATACCCTTCCTTCCCCCACACCCATGGGCCAGTGGGTTGGAGCACTATGGTACCATGGCTACAGGATCTGCCCTTCCTGTCTCACTGAATGGATTTCCTGCGTTGCTTTCTTCCCTTTTAATTTTGGCGTTTCTCCCTCGTGATGTATCGTTGCTATACAGCAGTGTTATGTTCTATTTTAGATACAGACTCGGATACGTAATTTGACGGATTTAAAGTGAGAAAGAGGGGAGGAGACTGACTCAGAGCTACTGTACGGTCCACGCTATTTGCCTCTGTTCAGGTTGACATTAAAAATCTACATAAAAGGACGAGGGGTCCTGGCTAACAATCCCCCTTATAAAATTGGACATTCACTTTACGGCTATTTGTTGCTGTACAAATTGGCTGCAGCTTTCGCCCACACAGTCACAACACTTTACAGCGAATCCTAGGAAGTGCTTTGAGACGTCCTCCTGATGTGAAAGACGCTGTATCAAATGCAAAGATTATTATTTAGCAAATTAATACTTCATGGGCTTACTTTGAAGCAACAATTATAATCAACTAAAGTTATTGTGTTCATAACAGTAGTATTTAGACCTAACCTGTGGATGGATATGATCCTAAACCACTATACAATTAAAGTAATGTATAGCTGTTAGTTTTGTGTACTAAATTAACGTGCATACAAAAATTGATATAAGGTTTGTCGCATTTAATTGCATTGTTGGTGTTTTTGTTTGGTAGCCTATAGCAATTTTTAAAAAAAAATTTGAACCCATCATTTCTATTCCTGTATCCATTATCTGAATACAGTAGTGCTCCCGTGCTGGACTTGTGAATAGTTCCCTGCATTGTATGAGTGGCTGCTCTTTGTTTGGTAGCATAGACCCGCGCCTTTGAATATTATTGTACTGCAGAATAGATCCAATAGATCTTGCTCTCAGGGATTTGAGCTCACAGATTATGGTGACCCTGTGAGCGAGCGCTGCATTGCCAGAGGTGTTATCCTTCAGATGTGATAACAAACAACGCCCTGGCTTGTCCTCCCGACATGAAATACTGTATATTTGTTATTATTGACAACAATGAGACGACTTGTTATTCTGTTCTTTAAACCGTGATGAAATCTAGATTGTGCAGTGGGTTCACATGCCAGAGACCTCAGTTTGGATTCTGTGTATAAAAATGGTCTTTCTTTGTGGTGCACAAGTACTCATGTGAAAGTAGTTTCAGCAATTTCTAATCCAGATCCTAGTAGAGCCATTGGGTTGCCTCTTCACTTGGGTCGAGGGAATGATTGGTTCCTGAGCCCTTCTGAGGTTGGAGCTAAGAGACATTTTTGGAGTGGAGAGGGTTTTGGACTGTAGTTGGGTCTCATATCCGATCACCAAAATTACCTGAATTGGTTATGGGTCTGATTCACCAAGCGTATTTCTACAGTGTTATCTAATGCTATTGCTGCATAAACTGATAGATAAATGAACCTATGGTTCATGCAAAGCCACTTCTGTTTTGGTGAATAAAGATCACTTTCTATTAGAAGGAATATTAGACAGGAAAGAAGAAAAAGCAGTAATCATTCCCTCATTGGGAGTTAGATATCTCGGAGTTACATTTCATTTCCCCCCTTCCCCCCCCCCACACACACACACACACCCCCATTGCAAAACAAACCACTACATAAATATATTCTCTGCGGAGCTCAAGAAGAAAAACGCTCCTTTGGGGCATTTGGGCAGGTAACAACTTGTAGTGAGAATGACTGCAGCATACCTAAGGGAGGAATGCATCACTGACTCGTAGCACAATCCAAAGTGCTTTGTTTAACTCTTTGAGAGTTGGATTTCCTCTCTTTGCAAAATAACCCATTTGAAATGGCGGTGGCTGCAGGGCTCTGTGTGGGGGCGAGGGGAAGTGTGTTGAGTGGCTAGCGGGAGAGGGACTATGGATGGGGGAGGGATTGGGACAGAGGGTGGGTGGTGGTCGCTGGGTGGGGCAGCAGCTCCTGGCTTCCCAGGTGCAGACATGCTCAGACACAGACTAAACCTCATTCAAATAATCTCATTCAAATAATTGCACCACCAGCAATGCGGTGCTCCTCCCAGGTATTGCACCAGAGTGAAGGTCTAGATTCTGAGCTCAAATCAACAAAGGGGGGGGGGGGCCTGAACCCTGCACTCTGATACTGATGCTTTTTCCTTTTTTTTGCTATTCCAGATTCCCAACGCTCCCACCTGACCTCATTCACCATGAAGTTGATGGATAAGTTTCACTCACCAAAAATCAAACGGACACCGTCAAAGAAAGGGAAACCTGTGGAAGTAGCGGTTAAAACCAGCACTGAGAAAACTCCCAACAAGGTTGGTCTGCGCATTGCCCCCAAAAACCCAATACTCGGGAAGGTTGAAGTGCTCAGCTGGTAACTTTGGCAATATGTTGGCCAATATGTTCCATCATTGAGTGTTGAAGACATTGCCTGTGTGCAAACCCCCTCGTGGTAAATAATGAATCCAGGTATAGTACGTGAGCGCTGGTGAGTCCAAGATTAGGACACAGAAGAGATAGACCTGACTGACCTAAGTAGGAAACAAATCTTTCCTTACTGAAAATTAGAAAATCAGAAATATCGATGATCCTTCCATCTGCTAATAGTGCCTTTCTGTAGGGCTTTGCTGACAGTGTTTGTCTGTACATCTCTCGACAGAGTTTAAACCGTTTGGAGGAGCAGGAGAAGGAAGTGGTGAGTGCGCTACGGTATTTTAAAACCATTGTGGATAAAATGGTGATCGACAAAAAAGTGCTTGAGATGTTACCGGGTTCGGCCAGTAAAGTCCTGGAGGCCATCCTGCCCTTAGTACAGGTGGATCCACGCATTCAGCAGAGGTGAGTACTGTACCCATCCGTGGTTGCTGGAATTCACTGCGGTGCTCCGAATGCAACCGGAAACCACGTAGAAGCTTGGCGGCTGATGTGTTGGCTTGACGCTTGCTGTTAACTAAAAGAGATACTGATGCGATTTGAGGAAAGACACTAAACAGTCAGAGTATAACCAGTATTAGTTTACAGGGCACAGCACAGACACTGATTTGGGGTTACTTCACACACCTCTGTTTACCTAGCAATAAGTAGGAAGCCAGTTGTTTGTTGATTGTCCGGGGGTAATAAGCCCTCAAAAAAAAGTATAATTTGTTCACTGTTATATAAGACACTGCTGTGTGCAATTGGCTGCCACGTTTCGGCCTCAAAATATACAGTCAATTCTCTTTACTGTATATTCTGTGAAGTGTTTTGAGATGTCTCGGAAGACGTGATAAGGTGCTATATCAAATGAAAGAATTATTATTGGTGGATAGGTCAGCACGTGTAGTACAGAAAGTGGACAGGATGCTTGGGCGTGGAGCAAAAAGGACAGTGCTTAAACCATAGGAAGTGACAGTGAACACTGGTCTGCTCCACCTGGAGCTCTGAGTACAATCCGAGTCGCAGTGTCGCAGAAAAGGACATAATGACATTGGAGGGGGAGCAACGAGTGAAGCACAACTGGATTCATGGTTGGAATTATGCACCTGAGTTATGAGGCGTGGCTACTTGGAAGCTGGGAATGTTCCCACTGGAGAGATGACTTGGGCAGATCTTACTGCCAGAAGAAATAAACTAAGCCCTAGTTATGTTTAACATGGTGGGGGGGGTCGACAAGTTTGCAACAAAATGGTACTTCTGATCTCAAGCTCAGAAGAGGCAAGGTAAACAGTCAATTCAGGTGTAAGCATTTTACAGAGGGAGTGAGTAAGTGTGGAATAGGTGACCCTACAGGGTGTGAGTTGGTTCTTTTATGTTCCCAATGGTTGCCCCATGGAGGCAGGAACCCATTTTTTTTTAAAGTTGCCTTCAGTGACTAACAGATTAATACTGGGCAATTTAGATAACCGGTGTGAAAAACTGTCATATAGGTGCCCAGCATCTGGGCACGAGAGGCAGCGAGAGCACCCACTATGAACTGATAGCATGCCTGACTATTGAGTTAAATATTTCACATGTGGCAACACGTCTTTTTCACTCTGTCTGTGCCTCGCGCCATCGGGGGTAAGCAAAACAAATTTAGAAACCTGAGAGAGATTGCAGATAAGACATTGAGATCTCAGCATATTGGAGCGAGTGTACCAGTCCTGCTTTTACAATGGCACGCTAATCGGTTGCCTCTTAAAATAAAGATGACAACTTTTACTTGAAAGCAGCTAAGTAACCTATGCTCTTGTGAGAGCACTAATGTGACGACCTTACTCCCATATGGTCAGTCAGTGTGTCAGGTGAACATGTCAAATGCTATTCTATGGTTTCAGTATATCATTGAAGAAATTTGAAGGAGCTTTACTTGATGTCTGACCTGTGTACTTAGACTGCTGGCTCATGATTGTATCTCCACTTGAAATATTCAGCAAGTGTTTCTGGCATTTGGTCAGTGCAGAGGAGCAGGTTCAGTGCTGGAGAGATTACTTTTATGCAGACCTGAGTTGCATTTCACTGCTCCTTGTGATGATCTAAGTTTAAGAAGAGTTGCACTGGGATGTCATTTAAAGTGCCTTGCTATTTAGTGTTGTGTTCTGTGCATTGGGGTTTCCTGGAATCTTTACCATGATCTGATTTGCATCGTGTTCAATCCCAGCTTCTCAGACCGAACCAGAAAGGTTCGCTTTGCAGGCTCACTGTACCTCCTCGGGGTTGAGGAATACACAGTACTACTCAATGGGGAAAGGCGATGCAGCTACGTCAGACCATCTTGCTATTGCTTTGCTCTCGTGTGTAAGGAATGTAACTTGTACTGGCAGGTGGGCAGAGAAGCTGCAGGTCTGGCTTTTGGCTGCTGTCATTTTGTAGAGAAAGGCGATGAACAAGCCCGAAGCTGTTTCAAGCCTCAGCAGCTTATAATAAAGCATTGTCGTGTGTGGACAGAGATTGGAGGCTAGGACCAGAGCTAATTGCAGCACAATAGTTGTCGATGGATGTATTAGAAACGCGAGCATTTAATGACCATTCAGATTGTTTTTGAGAAGAGGCACTTCAGTTTTTAGTGCTTTATGATTTCTCTTATAACTTCTGCTGTTGACGTCTAACAGCACTGGCGTGAAACCTGTGGAAAATAAAGGATGTAGACTGGAGAGAAACTTCTAGTTTGAAAAAAAAACACTTTCGAAATCCATGTCAGAATGTGCTATCAGAACCTGGATGTCCAAATACCAATGTTAGGCGTAATGTAAAGCTGGAATGTAGCACTGGCCATCAATATAACATCCTATTTTGAGTGTGTGTCAGAGTGAAAGGGTTTGCAGAACCTTAATCTAGATCAAAGTCTGTAGTCATTCTCAGCCAGTGGAGGGGGAAGAAGAGGTCTGTGAGGGGAGGAGGATTGCGGTAGGAGCTATTAGACTGCTGTATAGGAATACAGATTTTGTCGGCAATTTGATCATTATGATTTTGATGCAGATTTATTCATGTGTGAAAGTTCCTTTAAGTTGATTGTTTTATACGTGATCCATTTTCTTAGTAAGGATTTTTTAAAATTGTTTACATGGGTCCGAGATTAGATTCACCATTGGATGTAGTGAAACAGACATTGCCAGCCAGAGTGGCTTGCAGTACAAGGGTTTGAGCTTGCAAAAAAACAGGCAATTCTCGACCTTAGCTGCCAAGCAGAGTACAAACTATTCTTACAGGGAGGAAATGATCAGAAGCGAAGTCCAACTGCACTGCTGTTGGAAGTGTCTGAATGTAGGACATCATTATTGTAGGTATGTGTGCATGTCAGGAGTGCAAGTCAGGGGCTCAAACCTTGCGATAGATTTCAACTGTTACAGGGTGTTGAAAGAAAAATAAATGATTGCTTGCTCCCGAAAGAGGAAACCAAGCTTTGTGGCGGTTTAGCAACATAGGAGACGGGAGATTTTCATTTGAAATGGGAGAAGTCGGTGAGGTCAGATATGGTGATAGGGCTGGAGGATTGCAAAGTTTAGATGGAGCCTTGCTACAAGATCATTGTTCCATTGAAGAGTCTGGAACCCATTATAGTGCAGGAGGAATGAAGGCCGGGATTGGAAGTGACATTTACACCCTCATGTCTTTACACACACATTGGGGTGACTGTAGGGAAGCTTTAAATTGCTTCTGATCTAGTAACACTGTAGATTGATAATGGACGCAAAACATGGTAACTTGCATTTCTCTTCCCCGCCAACCATCTTCCCTCCCCAAACCCCCTCCCCAACACGCACACACACACACACTAAATCACTAGGAATAAAGAAAGTCAAAGTGCAATGAAGCATGTTTTTGTTTATCACGCTAATTGTGGGACGACAGCTTACAGAGATATGGCTCTGTTTGAAACAGGCTAATTAATGTCCATTATTTTGGTTGGAAACGATTTCCACTTCCAGATGGCTAGAATTAACAGGCAATCCCTTGTTAGGCCAGAGATGGCCGAGAATGTTTCTGCATGATTCAGTAATTGTGAGCTAATGTTAAAACATGAATGTTTGAATTCGTCGGTAGTTTTGATGGATAAAGTGCCACGTTTGTGAGTAATGTCAATCTCGGGCTGGCACAGCAGCGCATGGTACAGCAATGCGTTGTGCTTTTAAATAAAGAATTCTCGAAGGACACCCTGCACATAGCTGTCTTTTACCACCATATTTAATGCTGCTATTATTTTTAGGTCAGCTGTGTCATTTATTAAAGCTACCGACTGTTTTGTTCTTTGTACTAAAAGGGACAATGGTTTCTTTGGTGTGACAAAGTTGTGTGGTTTACATTTCTGTACAGGATGCTGCAGGTGAAGGGGTTGCAGACTGGCAACGTGCTATCCACTAGGTGGGTTCTGTTGGATTGCATGGGTTTGGAGCTTTCCCCAGTCCCCCTCCCAGAATCGAACAGAGCCTCAATCGTTCTCGCTTTCTTTTTCAGTTCCGCCATCACATCTTGTTTAAACCATGTGTACCAGAGCCTGGCCAATCTCATTCGCTGGTCTGACCAGGTGATGCTCGAAGGCGTGAATCTAGAGGATAAGGAAATGGTCATGACTGTGATTAAGGCCGTGCTGGATGGGGTTAAGGTATGTGAATCCTCCTGATTCTGTGTTCTTCCAGCTGTAATGGTGGTAAATATTTGGGTGTGCTGGTAAGATGCATGATTAATTCCTAGCAAAGGACTGTGACTGCGGGCCATGTGACTGACTGACATAGCCATGTGTCATCCATATTTTGGTCTAACAGAGTTGGTGTCAATCTCTGGTGTGTGTTTTTTCATCGCACTTGACAGCATCTCCACTGTGCTTGGCATTTCCATTTCTTCTAAACTCTGCTATTGGAGTTGTGGCATGAAAGAATGCGAAGTCTGAAACCAAAAGCATAAAACCATTACAGGCCACGCTGAAACCAGTTTGAGGGTCACTATTTATAGTATTTGAGACACATGAGGAGCTTAATGTTATGTACCTGCATTGTGACTATCGCCTTCGAAGCTCAGCATCATTTGACTGCAATTGGTGTTTGAACATTACCACCTTGCAGTAGCTGTGTTACTACTCACCGTGTGTGCATGTGTGTGTGCCAATCCACTACTGCGCCAGATTACTCGAGAGTGCTTTTATCTTTGTGTAACTTGCAGACACAAATGGTTAAAAAAAAATAATGAATGATACTAAGTTTGACAATTCCTCTGTACAGGAGCTTGTGAAACTGACGATAGAGAAGCAGGAACAGCCATCGCCCACCTCTCCCGTGAAACCCAGCCCACTAGCATCCAAAACTGACAGGTAATGGTACAGCGCAGGACACATCATTGAGATCTGCTTAATCCCACGCTGTTCTATGTTTAGTTTAGGTTGACAGGAAATTTGGCATTGGTTCATCTAGACACCCTGAGAGTGGTCCAACCTTTTGGCTGCTGAGGGCTGAATGCCCTATTTGAGAAACGTCCGTGAGATGCATAAGGACTTTGTGGTTCCTTCCCAGAAACATAACATTTACGGGTGATGGAGGGAGCAGGTGGGCCAATGGAAAGGGGGGTGGGGGAGATGAAATCGGGCCGCCAGTTGGATCACCTTAAGTAAAACATTGGTAGAAGATGTTTGAACATTTTTTCAAAAGCAAAATAGTGTTTGAAATGGCAGCTTCTTGTTCTGTCCCCAACGATGTTCTCCACACCTGTTGCGTTTGCTCAGCACATCCCTTTAGTGTCTATTTCAGTGTCATGCCTCGAGGAGCTGAGCACACTCGCTATAATATGACAGTATCCTGGTTAACTCACGAGTTCAGCTCCCCACCCTAGGCTCTTCCGAGAGTAATTTCAGAGCACCTTTCAACACGGTCTCAATGTAATTGGTCCATATGTTGTATTAAAAGCTCTCAGGGGTTCATGATTGTGGACACACATGATGGGAGCTCTCAGCTGTCGGCTGTTGAATCTCTTCGGGAGTGGGGGGTAGGGGGGAAGGCCTCGACACCCCCTGCATGGGATGATTTGAGATGGGTGGGGAGGGGGAGCGGAGAAGAGAGTTCCCTGTGCGAGAAGTGAGTGAAGCCAGTCTGGCTGTGATTGTGGATGACTGTCCAGCCTTTGTAATGATTACAATACAAAATTACATTTGTATAGCGCCTTTCATGTTGGAAGGACATCCCAAGGCGCTGGACAGTCAGGGATTTGAACGTGAGCTTGGGGGGGGGGGGGGGGGGGGGGGTAGCTGAAGGCACGATAGAAGAGGGTCTTGAGACGTGCCTTGAAGAAGGCAAAGGATGGAGCTAGGCAAAGGGAATTTGGGATGACTGTTGTATCACTTGCCACTTGTACACCTTGTAGAAATTTCTACCCATGTTATTGTGAACGTAAACAACTGAATTGATTTTTGATCCTGCTGCGGTTTTCCACTCCGTATACTTGACAGACATTTTCAGGACTGGCTTTTATACACGGCTTGTATAAAACATGCCAACTGCTGTAAAACACCCACACATTGCCCAACAATTTAATCACCTTCACATTTATCCTTTAAACCATGTTATAATAATAATAATAATAATAATAATAATGTTCTGCTGCCATTGTGATTATTATAAAATGTAACCAGCATGACTCATTAAGTTGAATGTAATTCTAGACCAGGTTGGGTTTTAAAAATATTACTGAACGTTTGGGGGTGATGAGGTGATGAGGGATTGGTTTTCTTTTCTTTCTTCTATCCACATCACAACTTCTGCTCGGGAAGTATTTTTTAAAAAAGTTTGAGTCTGTTCAAATCCCGCCTAAAGACCTTCCTTTTTGATTGTGCTTATGGACACCTCCCTCCACCCCCTCCCCTTGGCTCGGGGTCAGACTCCGCCATTGTCAAGCGCTCCGGGATGCTTCCCTGCGCGAAGGGCGCTGTATAAATCCCAAGTTGTTGTCTGATCTGGGATTGAACCTTGCAGCTCCACAGAGCTTCCACTGACAGAGCGAGAGAAGGAGATTCTGACGAAAACCACGCCCATGACACGATCGCTGGAGCTACTGCCAGACTCTGCAGATGTTGAGTGTGCGCCTCCCAAACCCCCGCTGCCTGGCATTCGAAACCTTGACCACAGGTAATGGATTAAAGGGGCCTGTTGACGTGCATTACTAACGGTTGGTGACACTGAACCTGTGCAGAGATGTGTCGCTGTTTTGCAGGATTGATTCAGATTGAGAAGCACACGCATTCGGAGACATACAGACAAGCAATTGTAGGCTGAGGAATAAACCGTTTGATCCACAAGTATTATCCTTCCAGTTCACTATCTTATCTATCTGTACTTGTTATAGACCGTGCCTGCACATCGTAGCCATTGTGTGCTTTGGGAAGTGTTATTTGATAGAATGATGGAAATTACAGCAAAAGTGGGGGAAATTTGTCCCAGCAAGCCTGTGCTTGTTCCTGTTTGTTGTGGGAATGGTCCTTATCCCAGACACAACGCACAAATCTAAAGGCATCCTGTCAGTTTGTGCTCTTGCTTGGTTCACAGTAACACTCGTTAGATTGTGTTTTTGATCGATTTTTAAAAGTTTTAAAGAAGGCTGAACTGTATTTCTGGGTTGAGGGCTTATAATAATATAGCACCTTCGTTGGGAAGATGTCTTAAAATGCTTCACAGAATATACTGTAAAGTAAAGCTATTGTAGGCGAAACAGGTTTGCTACAAAGATTCCGAGTATTTGATTTACCTCCATAATCTCAAATTAATCAAAATAATAATCCTTGGATTTGATATAGTGAGAGGTCTCAAATTGCTTCACCATATACTTTTAAGTGGATTGACTGTATATTTTGTTGGCGAAAAATGCAAGGATAATTATTAATCAGCCGTCATTTCATCTACAAATACTTTGTTAAATCTGGTAGTTTGAAATGGGAAAATCACGGCTCTAAGCTCAGACCGACTAACGTAATCCTCTGTTTGTTCTCAAGCAGCAGCCCTGTGTTACCGCCCTTACCGCCCAAGAAGAGGCAATCCGCACCCTCCCCGACCAGAGTGGCAGTGGTCTCTCCCATGAGTCGAGCAGCGAGTGGCTCCAGTTTACCCAACAGCAAACAGGTATAGAAACACGGAGAGGAGTCGATAGTGCCGACAGCCGTGTAAAGAAAATTCCAGCGGCCAACAACAACAACAAATTACACTTGGATAGCGCCCTTCACGTCGGAAAGACATCCCAGGGCGCTGGACAGTCGGGGTTTGGATGGGGGCAGAGTTACTGGCCTGAGCTCAATGCGAGTTACTGGGTGGCAGATGTGTGCCAATCTATGCCAACCCAATATTTGGTCCTCCTGTTGGTTCATGTCATGTCCTGCCCATTGGATCCCACACCTGCTGCTTATACAGTGGATGTACATGTAGATATACAGATATACAGCTCTGAGCGAGTTAGCGCCCATTGAAGGTGAATGTTTGGTGTGTACGGCATGTGCTGCCTTTAACACACTGGGCCTCTGTAGTTTTTCTTGTGGCATAGTACCCTACCCACCTGGCCAGGTGAGTCAGGCGCCCAGCGAGATTCTGTTTGACGTTTAACAGTGCGTAAAAGGAGGATTTTGCATTCTTTGTCACTCAGGACTTTGACAGCTTGGAATGTCTTCTGCAGAGACGGTTCTCCGGTGGCAGCCACTCCTACAGTGGGGAGTCGCCTCGGATGTCCCCCTGTAACAGCATGGGGAAGTTCAGCAAGTCAGACGAGCAGCTCTCCTCGCTGGACAACGACAGTGGCCAGTGCTCCCAGAACACCAGCTGCGAGACGCTCGGTAAGTACGGCACACGTTTGTGTGCACGTGTCACACCCAGCGCCGAGGGCAGGGTGTCCGTCCGGCACAGCGTCGCTCGCTCTCGGTCACTCTCTCGCCTTTTATGATCCCCTCAGGATGTGCGTCTCACCCAGCCGAGCGAGCACGGGTGATTTATTTCTAGACATCTGCCTGCCACTCTCTTAAGCGACTGGTGGGATGGATGAGTGGATATGAGATGCTGTTTCTTTTTTCTTTGGCTGCCGCGTTTGGCCCACAAAATACACTTCACAGTATATAAAAACAGAAGTCCCTGGCAACACACAGCAAGTCAGGCAGCATCTATGGAAAGAGGAAAGTGAGTTAATGTTTCAGGTTGATGACCTTTCTTCAGATCCTGGTCATCGACTGGAAACATCAACTCATTTTCCTCTCTCCATAGGTGCTGCCTGACCTGCCGCGTGTTCCTAGCGACTTCTGTTTTTATTTCAGATTTCCAGCATCTACAGTATTTTGCCTTTCACTTTACAGCGTATCCTGTGAAGTGCCATGAGACGTCTCAATGACCAGATCAGGCGCTATAATCAGATGCAAGGATTATTCTTACTAGAAGGTACCTCCCCGGCTCACGCCCTTAGCCGCTCATCCACCGTTTCTGTTTTCTTTGCAGACAACACGGAGACCTACGACCCTGACTATGACTTCCTACATCAGGATCTTTCGGCCACCGACCAGGTTCCCCAGCACCCGCCGGGAACTCTCAGCCCTTTGCCGGAGTCAGCGGTCGAATCCAGTTCTCCTCTTCCCGGACAGACCTTTCCTCCCCCGTTCGGTGTTTGCCAAACGCCAGACTGGCGGCAGATGTCGCAGGCTGCCGTCCCCTTGCAACAGACACAGGCGCCGCCAGCCTTGCCGGAGAAGAAGCGTCGCAGCGCTGTGTCCATCGGTTCGTCGGACAGTTCGGGGTCGCGGGCGTCTTACAGTAGGTTGCCGTCTCAGTACGACAATATCTCCGAGGAGGAGCAGCAGCTGCAGAACCCGACACACGGTTTCACCCCGTTCGCGATCGTGTCGCCACAGCAGCACGGAGTTCCCTCCATGCCACCCGGTTTCCAAGAGGCCGATCCGTCAGAATTGTCCAGGATACCAGAGAAACCCCCACCACTCCCAGAGAAAAAGAGCCGTCACAGTGAGTATCTGTGTGTGTGAGGACGTATATGGTGTGTGGACGAGTGGTGTGTGTCAGTCTGGCTCAATTAGTAGCGTTCTCGCCTCTTGAGTCCAGAGGGTTGTGGGTTCAAGTACCACGTCAGTACTTGGAATCACATAGTCTAGGCTGACTCCAATGCAGCGCTGAGTGGGGGTGTCTTGCATTGTTGGAGGTGTCGTCCTTCGGATGACAAGTTAAACCGAGTTCCGTCTGCCTGTCTACGTTAAAGATCCTATGGCACTATTCGAAAAGAGAAGGGAGTTTCTCTCTCCCGGTGTCTGGGCCGACAATCCCCCAAATGAAATCAGTCTGTTTGTAGGCCATTGCTGTGCGTAAAACTGGATATCGTATTTCGCCCCAAAATGCAGTCACTGCTCTTTACAGTATATTCTGTGAAGAGCTTTGAGATGTTTCGATGATGTGATGAGGCACTATGTGTTTGTGTGCGTGTGTGTGTCTCTCTCTCTCTCTGTTGATCCTATTTAATGTCTCAAGATGGTTTTGTTCCATCATTGTGCTGTTACGGAGAGCAGTATCTATAAGGAACATGGGAAATACAGGATATGTCTGTCTGAAGAGACCAAACTGCGTTAGATTGGGTGTTGGGCAAGAAGCTTGCAGAGTAAGTTGAGCTGTTGAATCTTATTGTTGAGTCAGGTCGTCCTAGACACTTCCTGATGTGGTAGTTCTGCAAATGGTCCAAAGTCCTGTCGAATTAAAGGGAAGGAAAGTCCCGAGGCCGTTGCATTTTGTTCAACGTACTTCTTCTCCCTCCTTCCCCTAGACTTTCCTTCCCCTTTAAAAATAACCATTGCACTATTGCACAATGCCACCAGGTTTAATAGTGCTCTTTGTGTGAATCCAATCCTCGTCTTGTGCTGAGTGGCGATCAGAAAAACATCACTCGCACGTGCCAAAATCATGGAGAGCTGGTTAGTGGTGAGGTTTGTGCACCGCGTTTCACAGGACCTGGCTTTACGTTTGTCCCTTATTGCCCTCCCTGAACCCTCAGTGTTTGAAGTCGTCGCTCAGAGTCCGGCTGCAGTTTCTCAAAGCTCGTCTCCATGGCACTCGTGAGGAACATGTTTATCATGTTGGAAACCAAACAGTGCAACGCTGACTTCCTCTCCCCTTATGGTCGGAGAGAGATTTTTTTCCCCTCGCTCCTCTTTTGGGTCCCACTGCTCCTTGTTCCGTGGCTGCACCAAGGACTCTGTGATGACTGCTGTGAACTGGAGAGTCCGTCCTTGCCTATGCTCAAGACTGTGCCTGCAGCTACCCTACACTATACACACGAGCTAAGCTGAAACTGCAGCATCCATCACCTCAGTAATCGCTGTTTTTGCTTTTTAAAAAGAGCCTCTGTTCAAATGTGGTGTGGTTCCCCGATTGCCCCATCCCCGACCGACTGTCGCTGTGGCCTACACACAAGTGAAATGGCTTCTGTTTCTGCATTGCACACCTCGCCTCCTGCTCTTGGTGAATTCCGTCGACTTCTGCAGGCGGCCAGAGCAGAGCTGACCCAATTATTTCACAGCGATCTTATCACCGTCCCTTCACGTGCGCAGCCTTGTCAAACTGCAATGCTGTTGCATTCTCAGTCTTGTTCTATTCGGCAGCCTCCAAGTGACATCAGCTGTTCCTGTGAGGGCAAATTACTCTCAAGTCCTAATTTGTTTCTGAATTGCTTATTTTGGGTACATCCTATCCTATTGGGTGCAAACCCACGTAACCACAGATATCCGTGTACAAAACGTTTTTGAGTTACAAGTTTATTGTGAAACTGATAAACCTGACGTAAATAGATCCCTTTCTCTGCTGTGTGTTCATCTCTCTCCGATCGATTTAGTCAGTCGCTCTTCAGCAAATGACAGATCAATATGATCCGGTGCGTACAACACATTAAATTAGCCTGCTGTTAATCCTCTTAATTCAAAACGATTGGGGCACCCATTAAGTTGCCAGTGGTTGACAGTTGCCTTTCTGACATTTTGTGCTCATTGTCACTTAGTCATGATAGATTCTGTTATTTTTCTTATAATAATAATCCTTGCATTCGATACAGCATCATTGCGATATCACATCGTTGAGACGTCTCCAAAACGCTTCACAGAATATCTTGTAGAGTGGATTGACTCTTATTTTGTGATTGAAATGCAGCAGCCAATTACGCACAGCAGTGTCCCACAAACAGTCGTGGATTGAGTGACAAAATATATATAATCTTTTTTTTTGGTGGGTTTATTACCCCCAGAAAGCAATCCATCAATCGATCCAACAAATGGGTTACTACTTACTGCTGGGTAAACAGAGGTGTGCGGAGTAACGAAACTAGCCAAAGGTTTCGCCCTGCCCAGGAATGGAACTCAGGTCCTATCGCTTGGAGGGCGAGCAGACTAACCACTACTTGACTCCTTGATTTTAAGATTGGTTTGTAGGAGGGAGGGAGAGATGATGATGTGTTTATGTGGAGTTGAGTTCAGAGCTTTCTTATCACTGGGTATTGTCTGATTAACCTGAGCACGTAGCTTACGCGTTGCTTTTTAATCTGACTGTGAGTAAACTGCACAGGTGATTCCCCGAGGGAGCAAATCTATAGTGGCTTTCTTTACCCAGAGTCGTTCGAAGGAAGCCCTTTGCTTTGCCAGATGAGCACGCGCGCTCTGCTCTGACCAGAGACATAACGTGCTGTTAAGACAAGAGGACAGTGGACATTGTGTTGAAATGTTCATGGACACAATTTATATGCAAAAGTGTTGGTTCCCAGATTGTCAATTGCTTTGTTTTGAAGCTGTTGCTTGGCAGCACAAGCGACCTCTGTACTCCCTATTAGTGACTAATCCATCATAGTCCTATTCACATTGTCCCGAGGGATATAACAGGCAGGTGAAGTGCAGCCCAGGGGTGTAATTACATGTGTGTGTGTGTGTGTGTGTTGGGGGTGGGGGTTGCAAGAACAGGCCACATGTTTCTGCGGCTGGATGTTACAACAACAACTTGCATTTATTTCACGCCCTTCACGCGGGGTAGCGCTTGATAGTGGTGGAGTCTGACACCACGCCCGGGGTTTTGAAGGGGAAAGAAAGGCTCAAATTGCAGCAAAGTTAATCATTGATGTTCATCTCTATCTCCTCGAAGGCACACTTGATGTAACTCTTAAGTCTCTATTCCTCTGCCACATGCGAAGGGATGTTTGAATGCCCACTTGTCAGTGCAGCGAGAGACACCAACAGCTATTGCACCCTGTCACTGCACACAGCAGTTTCCTGAACAAGGGTGTGATTGAAGACTTTCACTCCGTTCCTTCCCAGATTACTTACTGGGCAGAATTGCTGCTTGGTGCATTACCTTCCTCTCGAGTCTATATGCGTAGTGCAGATTTAAGTTTTGCCTGGTTTTCGCCCACGAAAATACACAGTCAGTTCACTTTACAATATAATCTGTGAAACACTTTGATAAAGTGCGATATCAAATGCAACGATTATTATTAGTTTAGTAAAAATCCAAAATTACATTTGTACAGCGCCTTTCACGTCGGGAGGACATCCCAAGGCGCTAGACAGTCAGGGATTTGGACCCGAGCAGGGGGGTTGGGATCAGGGAGGGTGGGAGGGTGGCCGCAGGCGAGGATCTTGAGACGTGCCTTGAAAGAGGCAAGGGAGGGAGCAAGGTAAAGTGAATGAGGGATAGTTTTTTGAAGGATTACCCTCGGAAAAGCGATCCACCAAACGACCGGGTTCCTACTTACTGCTAGGTAACCAGAGGCAGGTAGAGTAAGGAAACTTGCCTAACGTTTCGCCCTGCCCGAGAATCAACCCCAGGTCCTCTTGCTTGCGAGGCGAGAGCTCTAACCACTAAGCTACAGGACTCCACATTATTCATTCATGTGCACAAGTACTCCTGAAATCCTGAAAGTGTTCCGGTTTCCAAGAAAGTGCGAGCGCAATTTATTTCATTCCTGCCTTGATCACAAAATATTGCAGATTCTGTGAAAAATGTAATGTAAAATAGATAAAATATTTTAATATTCCGGAGGTGTTTTGTTTAATTGAAAGACCACCTGGAAATTGTAAAGATGATGGCAAAAAAAAAAAGAATTGAAGGCGAGGTTTGAAAAAGAGACCATGGAGTGCTTGGAATGTGGAGTTCTCTCTCGTTGAACAGAGTCCATAAATTATTTCAAAAGGAAATTGCACGGATACTTGGAAAAGAATGTTAAAGGCCATTGAAGCGAACGGCAGACAGGGCGTGGGTTAGGTAGCTGATCTCGTTTAAAAACACCAGGGCATACTCGATAGACAGAACAATCCTATTTCTGTGCGTGACATTCTCCCCTATGCTGCTTTATAGCGGCACAGCCAGATAGTAATTCCCTGAGAGCACGTCTGTCTGGAGGCTGCGTTTGAGCTGTGAAACACGGCGTCTGCCTCCAGGCAGTGATGTCATCTCCCTGCTGATATGCTCTGTAAGCGCAGAGCCAAACCGCAACCACATGCTATCCTCACTGAGCCTCCTGTAGCTCTCTGACTCCCAGGCCTGTGTGTGTGTGTGTGTGTCAGTGTTGGTGGGGGAGGGGGGCGGTTGATGATGATGGAAGGTGATATTTCTACTTGCCAAGCTTGTACTCTGGCTTGCTTCAGAAAAGCAGCATTTACCTTAATTTAGGATTCACTCACATCCATGTGCTTCACAACTGTTACAACAACTTGCATTTAGGGGGGTAATGTGCCAGAGGTGGAGGAAAAAGGTTCTGGTCAGGGACCGGATGTGGGGAAGGAAGGATAGCTAGGGTTCGAACCTGACACCTAGGTTACGCACAGGTTCGATAAGTCTTAGACGTTGACGGAAGCCAAGGAGTGTGGCTTCTGTCTTGTCGACATTCAGTTGCAGGAAGTTTGCCCTCGTCCAGGCCTCGATGTCTGACACAAGCTGACAGAACATTAGCGGACTTGGAGTCGCAGGAGAAGCAGATTTCATTAGATAACCGAACCCTCAACTCCATTTATCAGGCAAAAATTGTGAATTGTTGCAGGAAAGGTATTAATGAGAGGGGAGACATTAGCTCTCCTTGGGGGATGGGTGCAGCGGAGATTTATATGGGACTTGATCCTTTGAATGATAAAGTCACAAACAATATTGAGAAAGGGATAAAAATTACTTTAAGATAAGTCCTGTCTTTGACGTGTTCAGTTAAAGAGTTAATTAAGTAAAGCAATTTCATTTAAAAGTTAGGTTTAATGTTAATAATCCTTCAGAAAAGAGAGTAGTCAGTGTGGTTTACAGTATATTGTGTGAAGCGCTGTGAGACATCTCAAAGACATGATAAGGCGCTGTATCAAATGCAAGGATTATTATTATATTGAACATGCACTCCAAAACGTTGCCCCGGGTGAAGGCCGCAATATAAAAGCAAGTTGTTGTAATATTCTCCGTTCATCTTCTAACCCCCTCTCTCCCCCGCCCCCACCCGTCTGAAACAAAGGCAGACAAATCACATGGTCATCACATCACATCCTTCATCCCTATACGTGGGCCCGAGACAGTCGGGGATTCTCTTCCAATTCCCTCTCCACACCCTGAACAGACTAGAATAGGAAGCAGCACTGCGGCTGGAATGTGGATCTTGGTTTGGAATTTGGAAACAGCTGCTCCCATTTTCCAGTCCTCACTGCTGGACAGGCACTCTGTCAGTGAACAGCTCCGCTCCATTCGGGGCCTCGACGGCATTTGAAGTCTTTTTCACATTGTTTAGTTATATTATTGAAGCCAAGATCATAATCATGTCCCAGTCATTTACTGTGTAAGAAAGACATCGTGTGGAAGGCAGCGAACATGGCTGCTTGTAAATCACGTATCCACTCCTGTGTACAATTCACACCACTTCCCATTAGTGGCTGGAGCGGTGACGATACTGGGTGCCGGTATTGTGTTCGACACAAATAGGATATGGGGTGGGGGTGGGGGTGCAGGGGGGGCTCTAGAGTAAAGTCAACCGCCCGTTGCAAAATAGTTTAGAAAGTGGAATATGTTGCTATATCGGGGTTGAGTTGCTTTTAATGTTTGGTTACATCCATACCAACCTCTCCACTCAACGGATTCTGGCCTATTCCGTGTCTCCTTCCCGACCCAGCCCGTCCCACCATCTGCAGTCGGACCTTCAGCCTTTCTGCCCCCACCCTTTGGAAATCCATCCCACAGTCTCTTTGCCTCGTGCCCTCCCTTGCCTCCTTCAAGGCACATCTCAAGGCCGTCCTCTTTGACCGCGCCTCCGGTCATCCTCACTGCACTCCACCCCTCCTGATCCCAACCCCCAGCTCAGATGCAAATCCTTGACTGTCCAGCGCCTTGGGATGTCCTCCTGACGTGAAAGTCGCTGTGTAAATGTAATTTGTTGTCGTTGTTGCATCGAACTACAGAACTGAGTTGAGGAAGAACTTCTTCACTCAAAGGGTGGTGAATGTATGGAACTCGCTACCCCATAGGGCTGTTGACGCTCAGTCCTTGAACATAGTCAAGACTGAGATAGATATATTTCTTATTGCAAAAGGGAATAAGGGATATGGGGATAAGGCAGAGTTAGGTTATTAGCTGGAGTTAGATTAGAAGGTCAGCCATGATTGAATGGCGGGGCAGGCTCGAAGGGCCGAATGGTCTACTCCTGCTTCTACATGTTATGTTAACGTCAATGGATTGTGTTGTTGTGCTGTGCAAATCTCAACATTTGGGCGGTGGGGTGGGAATGGGTAGTCACTGTGCAGCATGTGTGTTTGTTAACTTGTGTGTGATTGGAGATGTGTCTGTGCGTTGAGAGGAGGGAAATCATCCTGTGACTGAAGAGAGTAGTCAGTGTGATTTCACCCACAAAATACACAGTACATTCTGTGAAGCGCTTTGAGACGTCTTGACTATGTGATAAGGGGCTATAATCAAATGCAAGGATTATCTTTTCAGGCCATGTTCTGATTGACAGAGGTGTCCCAGGCTTGTTGTCTGCCTTTTCTGTGTGGCTGCCGACTGACTGACTGACTAACTGACTGTCCTCTCCCCTCTCTCCTTCAGTCCTGGCGTATATGCAGTTTGTGGAGGATTACTCGGAGCCACAGCCGCACGTCTTTTACCAGACTCCGCAGAACGAGCACATTTACGAGCAGCGCAACAAACGCTTCCAGGAAGTCTACGGATTCAACGACTCCTTCAGCAGCACCGATTCTTCCTCCCAGGAGTTTGTGCCACCTCCTGCCCTGCCACCCAAACAGAGGCAACTGGTGAGTTTGCCTTCTCTCTCTCTCTCCCCCCCCCCCCCCCCTCTCTCTCCCAGCCCTGGCCACCAGGACCTTTGCTCTCCAACCATTGCTCCTGTTAAACCTGAGAGATCTCACGAGCAAGACAAGAGCAGGTGGCGAGGGATGGGGGAGCGAGGGCTGTAACACGACTGCTAACAAAGCTTTCTCGTTTGTAAAACGTATAAATCTTGACGATGTTTGGCCCCAACTTGGGAGTGTTTTTTTTAATCCAATTTGAACAATTGGAATACTGGAGGGAAGAGCAGACAGACTCGAAAAGATCGCAGTTTACTGGATTGCTGCAAGTGGAATTTGCTTTGCAAACTCTTTTCTCTCCAGCTTGAACTACTTTCTTTCCAACTTTGATGCAAAAGTCACCGCTCCGAAACTCACAAGGTGGTGTGGTCTGTGTGTTCGACACTTCGAGGGGCTGTCTAGATAGCAGCCATTCAGATGTTCTGCCATGGGAAAATAGAGCTGAGCACCTGGCATGTAAGAATACAAAATTACATTTGGATAGCCCCTTTCCCGTCGGGAGGATGTCCCAAGGCGCTGGACAGGTGGGGGGTTGGAATCATGGAGGGTGGAGGGTGGAGAGGGTAGGGGTAGGAGGGTGGTCGAAGGCACGGTCAAAGAGCCAGGGTCTTGAGACGCACCCTGACGGAGGCAAGGGAGAGAGCAAGGTGAAGGGAATGTGTGAAGGGAGTTCCAAAGGGTAGGGGCGTAACAGGATGGTTCGAGTTGTTTCACTCTCTTCCCTCCCCACCCCCATCCCCCCAATTCCCTGAGATTTTATTTCCAGCACAGTCGATGTTGTAACTGGTCTCCATGTTTTTTTATGTAATGCACATTATTGCTGATTAAATAATCGTGAGTGATGTGTGGGTGCACTCAGGGTCACAGCTGTGAAGCTGCATTTGTTGTTCCTACTCCTGTTTCTGAGCAGCTGCAAGTGTTCCAGGTAAGTGGTGAGCACTAGGTACATCTGTGGGCATTTTCTACAGTTGTGGGCATCAGCTGTCCTGCCCAGCATGCTGTGTCATGCCTGTGTGCACTAAGAACCCGAGGGCCTTGCGTGAATCATGTCCATTAACTTGGTTCCCTGTTTTCTGTGCGTGGCGCCCAGTGATGGAGACTGACCGTCTGCACCGAATTCTACAAACATTTCCCAAAATGTTGCTGCTCTAAACAGACCTGAGATCACCAGCTCCAACATTCAGTTGAATGTCCCGAGCACAGCAGCCAGTCACCTCCTGAGCACCATCTACAGCACACAGTCTGATATGTCAGTGAATGACAGCAGTTGTAATTTAGTCATTAATGATGATAATAATCTTTGTATTCAATTTCGCGCCTTATTACATTGTTGACACGCATAAGGGCGCTTCACAGAGTGTGTTATCAAGTGGATTGACTGTGTATTTTGTCGGCGAAATGTGGCTGCCAATTGCTCACAGCAGTGTCCAACAAACAGTCGTCTGTTGAGTGAACACATGTATTTATCTATTTATTTATTTTGAGGCATTATTACCCCGGAAAGCGATCCCCCAATCATTATATTTGTGTCACAAACTTTACCTAGTCCCTCGGCCTTTTAAAAAAAACACAGAATACCCTCCACTTTGTAGTTTCTGCAAATCTTTGCTGCTGACTGTTTCTGTCTCTCTATCTCTTGTTTCTCTGTGTGTTCGTCTCTCTCCACGGATGTTCCAAGCAGGCGTCTTACGCTGCCGCCGTCGCTTCCGCCTCGTGGTCTCCCTCTTCCTCCACCTGCTCCTCTTCCTCCTCCTCCTCTTCCTCCTTCCACCTCCAACAGCCCAAGGTGCTCGTCCTGACCGAGGACGCCAACACTGCTGCCAGCATCAGCATGTCTGTCTCCAACTCCTTCCTGAGTCGCCACAGCTCCTTGTCCTCCTCCTCGGTGAGTGTGCTGGCCGTGGGTTACCGTCCGGGTGTCAGCTCGCTCTTAGTTTAGGGGCAAATAGTCACCCAGCTCTTCCTCAGCTAACGTTAGATGAAGCAGAGAAAGAGAGTAGTTAACAGCACTTCATCACGTCAAAATGTCTCAAAGCGTTTCACAGTAATTGGCTCTCATGTGCAGTAACTTGATTTTTTGTAGGAAACGTAAAAGCCATTTGAGCCAGCGAAGTCCCCAAAACAGCTTTGAAATAATAATAATAATCCTTGCATTTGATACAGTGCCTTCGCACGTCTCAAAGCGCTTCACAGAATACACTGTAAAGTGGCGTGACTGTGCATTTTGTGGGCGAATCGATAGATGGGGCGAATGACCAATTAAATTAATCAGGAGACTGGTGCGCAAACAAACCAGAAGAAATCCTCTTCTTTTCAAATAGCGTCATGGTATCTTTAACGTCTGCCCGAACAGGCAGACAGGACATCAGTTTTAAGGACAGTGCTGCGCTCTCCCAACACTGCGCAAAGTCCTGACGTGGGGGCTTGAACCCTCAACCTTGTGAGCGACCCAGAATCATCTGAGCTAACAAACCAGCGGTCAGAGTGCACTGTAAGCGTTTTGAAGAACCATTACAGTCCGTTTCAGACAGTGCTATCAGCTGCTTGGATGATGTAATGGTGTGCAGGGGGAGAAGGAGGTGTTGTTTGGGGGCTGCAGAAGGTGGCTACAGCTGGCGATGACTGACCACGGCTGCCTCACTCATCATTAATTGTATTGATTAAGCTTCAGCGCTAATTCCAATCGAGTGTTCCGTAAATAATTGCAGAATTCTCATCAGGGAATTTGTTTGCAAAGTGAATTGTTGAATAGGTTCCGCGGCTGAGTAAGTTTCTTCCTGTATCCGCCCACTCAAACCACAGGCTTTTCACAGTGGATGGAGGACCTTAAATGAACGATCTTTCATTTATCGTGTCCTTGTCCTATGGGTTTCTAATCTGGAGTTCAGAGTGCTCCCTCCCTCCCTCCCTCCCTCACTCACTCACTCACTCACTCACTCACTCACTCACTCACTCACTCACTCACTCACTCACTCACTGTTGGCAGCCCTAAATAATAATAATAATAATCCTTGCATTTGATATAGCGCTTTTTACGTCGGAAGGACGTCCCAAAGCGCTTCACAGAACACACTGTAAAGTGAATTGACTGTAAATTTGTGGGCGAACGCGGCAGCCAATTGCTCACAGCAATGTCCCACAAACAGTCGTAAATTGAAAATGACCAATTTTATTATTGTTTTTGGTTTTGGAGGGATTATTATTAGGCTCTGTGTGGAGTAAGGAAACTTGCCCAAGGTTTCGCCCTCTGCCTGGAATTGAACTCAGGTCTCTCGCTTGCAAAGCGAGTGCTCTAACCACTGAGCTACAGGACTCCAAATAACAGCCAATTCAGTAATCTGCCTTTTCCACTCTGCCAGTGCTGTCATCGTATTTCAGCCTCAAAATCAGAATGGAATTGCCTCCTTGTGTTTGGTTTGTGTGTACTCGTGTGATATCAAAAGCCTCCCCAGGCGCCTGTGCGTTTTTCTCTGCTTGAAGCAAGTGGCAGGAAATCACTTTTGCAGATCTTGTGTGAACCGAGCTGTATTCTGAAAGCTGCTCAGTACTGAGAGGTTAACGTAGTGTGTGCCAGAGCAGTGAGGCCCTGCAGCAGGGAAGGAAGAGAAGAAGGGGTTAGTAAGGGCCTCATTTGAAATCCTGCCTTTCCTGTCCCTTCCCCAGCAGTGTAAGGTGATGCAGAGATGCAGTACGTTCATTGCACATACCAGCCAAAGTTTGTAACTTTGATTGTTCATTGGCGGAGTGGCGGGCTGGGGCTGGGGCTGGGGCTGGGGGGAGGAAGTTTTCCAGCTTTGTTTGAATGCCTTATTTGGATAAAGAAATGGTCGAGGCAGATGTAGAGAATCGGTCTTTAGTTGCATTGCATGGAAATTGTGAGCCATCGCCTTCCTTGTGCAATTAGCTGAGTGCTTGTGATGCAGCTAAACCCTGTCCTTTTTCTCCTTTTGAGTCGCTGTGTAATTAATGTCCTCCTGCTAAATTGCATCCAACACATGGGGCTTGTCATGGGGGAGCATGGCCATGAACAGCTCACATTTTATAAGGTTAAATACATCCTTTGCTGGAATGCACTGCTATTTCTGGAGCTGATCCAAACTATGAGCAGACTCTTCTGTTTTTTTTCTCTCTTCAGTGTGCGTAGCTTCAAGGAACAGAGTATTCTTTTATAGCATGAATTCATGTGTTACATGAATTCGACAACACCCGGTTAGAATCCAATCTATCAAACGTGAAGGAAGAGAGTGTCTCTACGCCTTGTAAACTAAAATATGCAAGTGAGCCAGGGTGTAAATCCTTGAAAAAATTGCAAATGGAAGCGATTCAGGGAACTTGGAACATGTTATATCCCAGGCCACTTCATGATATCCGTGCTAGCGGGTTTCAGAATCCACACACAAGATTTCTGTGGATATTGGTAACTAGGCTAAAATTTAGCAACTGAAACTAAATACAGTATTGTGTGTTGGTTTTGAGGCGCAAGGAATGTCCTATGATGTAACACAAATGCATCAATCAGCAAGGAAGCAAAGGGGGAGATTGAGAAGGATTTATTTTTAATTTCAGTTGATGGCAAAGTCACACATTCTATGTACAAAAGAACATTTTGCCTTGGAATCGATGCTTCACCATGAAAATAAATTTGGTCACTCAATCCATGATTGAATGGGACACTGCCGTGCGCAATTGGCTGACGTGTTTCGCCCACAAAATACGCAATCAATCCACTTTACAATATATTCTGGGAAGCTCTTTGAGACGTCTCAACGGGGTGAAAAGTTGGGGTATCAAATGCAAAGATTATTATAATTATTAAGATAGGATGCGGAATGCCCTGCTGGATGCAGTGGTCAAGGCGGGATCCATGTTATCTTCCAAGAAGAAACTAGATATCTAAAAAGGAGGTAATTTTAAGAGATGCAGGGGATAAGGCAGATAAATGCGACTGAATGGATTGCTCTTTCAAGTAATAGCATAGACATGTTTGGTCGAATGGTCGCCTTCTGTTCTGTGCTGTAAATGTTGGTGGTTCTAAATGATAGTGTAGTATCTGAGACTACTGCCAAGCATCGATTCCAAGCAAAAGGTCTTTTGTATATAGAACGTGGAGTCCTGTAGCTCAGTGATTAGAGCACTCGCTTTGCAAGTGAGAGACCTGAGTTCAATTCCAGGCAGAAGGCGAAACTTTGGGCAAGTTTCCTTACTCCACACAGAGCCTAATAATAATCCCTCCAAAAACAATAATAAATTGGTAATTTTCAATCTACGACTCTTTGTGGGACATTGCTGTGCGCAATTGGCTGCCACGTTCGCCCACAAATATACAGTCAATTCACTTTACAGTGTGTTCTGTGAAGCGCTTTGGGACGTCCTCCCGACGTGAAAAGCGCTATATCAAGTGCAAGGATTATTATTATTATTAACGTGTGACTTTGCTATCTAAATTGTTTATGCACAACATTTTTTTTACGTTATAGAAACTGCTGGCTACAAATTAAACCCTTCATCATTTTCTACCATGTCCTGTGCTCATTGTCCTTGAGAGATAATGATTGGATCAAACAAAAGTAAATCGACTATTTTACTGGATGGATGGCAATTGATCATGAACCAAATTATGAATAACAAATCTTAGCTGCAAAGAAATCAAGCCATCTGTACTGGCATCAGACAAAGCTGTGTGTGTATAATGTAATGTTCGATGTGTTGGCGTCAGTCTTAATAATAAGTTTTGCGTTTGATATAGTGCCTTATCACATCATTGCGACGTTTTAAAGTGCTTCACAGAATATACTGTAAAGTGAATGTACTGTATATTTTGTGGGCGAAATGTGGCAGCCAATTGGGTGCAGCAGTGTTCCACAAACAGTCGTGAATCGAGTGACCCAATTATTATTTTTATTTATATTTTATTTGAAGGGATTATTACCCCCGGAAAAGCTATTTGCCAATCGACTAACAACGGGTTCCTACTTACTGCTAAGTAAACAGAGCATGTGGAGTAAGGAAACTTGCCGAAGGTTTCGCCCTGCCTGGCAATCAAACCCAGGTGCATGTATATTGCAGTGTCGGCTGCTTTGTGATCACTGCTGTTCGGGTGAAACTGGGTCAATTCATCTTCAATCCGAACTGAGTTTCAGTTTCTGCAAAATTAAAAATATAAGGTGACGGTGACACACATTGTATAACGTCATACCAAATCCACAGGAGAGATTGGCACAACTGAGCTAAATCCGTATTCTATATTTATATATAGCACGATTCAAACCCAGCTAACTCTTTGTTGAAATTGTTTCGTAAAATGTGAATGTTAAACACAAACTTTTTTAATAATGCAGTGCGTGTTCTTTAAAATATTTCTGAATTCCACGATTGTTCAGTTGTGGAATAAAGCTGTAAATCCCCTGAAGGATTAGAGGGGATTAGATGGGCACTCTGAAGTGGTTTCGCCTCGGACAGCGATTTGTATTGTAACATGGAGCTTCTGGACGGATGTGTTCCGATCGTGTGTGCTGCCAGCCATGTGACCAGAGTGTTTGTGGGCGGGAGGAAATTGCCTCAATATAATAATTAAAACTTTCACGAGTCTGCTCTGTATAAATTGTATCATCGACTAAATGGCACGTCTGCCCAAACCCGGTTCAAGAGTTTATATTCTATGCAGGTTTGATATAACTCATACTTTGCATAAGTCATATTAAATGTATGGTCCCAATTGATACGACTTATGTGAGGTTTACTGTAGTATAATATTCCTTACATTTGATGTAGCGCCTTTCATGTCGTGCCATTCTATAAGATCATGGCTGCTCTGTACCTCAACTCCAAATACCTGCCTTTGACCCATACGCCTTGATACCCTGACCTAACAAAAATCGAACCACCTCAGTCTTGAAAATTTGAATGGATCCACAGCCTTTTGGGGGAGAGAAAGAGTTCTAGATTTCCATTCCCCGCACTGAAGTATAACGGGATGCAAAGCTATTGATGTAGTTAAATGGATGTAAACCATATTGATTGTAATTAACTTTCAGTTCAGTTATTTAAAGGATTGGTTGGAGCAGCAAGTTCCTGATATCAGAAGTAACGCTCTTTTACATCTGAGTTTGCGGTAAATGGTTTTTATTTTCAACACATTGTGTGCCGAGCTTCTAGCCAGTCCTACTCATTGGGAATCAAAGCTATAAATCCCAAATCTTCAGTTCACAAAGTTCAATTAAGTTTCTGATTCATGCAAGACTTGAGATGATTTGCCCAGGAGCCATTTGCAGTGTGATGTTAGATTTTCCACCAGCCTGAATTTTTCAGGATGTCGTAATGTGTGCATGCCAAGTCCAGGAACAATCCAAGTTTACAGTTTCCATTCCCTTTTCGAAACCACTGAAATTAAGAACCTTTTATATGTCTACCTACTGTATGTCTTTTGATTCTGTAGACAGGTAAAGTACTGAGTTAGAACTTTTCTAACTCGAGTTAGAAATCAAACATCCCAGGGATTTCCCGGCTTGTCGTGTTAGAGGCTGCGGGCGGGCATTGATACCTGCACAACGTCACTGAGGTGAGAATGGGCATAGAGTAGATCATACTCATTTCTCGTTTCTTGGTCATATTGAGAATAATACTGTGTTGGTTGGTAGTTTTTTTGTTTCATGTTTCCCCCCCCCCACCCCCACCCCCTCAACTGTGTTCATGTATTGTGTGTGTGAAAAAAAAAGATATGTTTTGGTCGTAATATTGTGCTACGTTTAGGAATATTTGCGATTAAATACTTTTTTTTTAAAAAAAAGACTTTAGTAAATGTTCGGTCTGACATACTCTGATGTAACATCCACAGATTTCTAATGTGAAAAGGAACTGTATGCTGTTTTTGGGAGATGATAATAATCCTAATAATCCTTGCATTTGATATAGCGCCTTATCACTTCTTCGAGACGTCTCAAAGCGCTTCACAGAATATACTGTAAAGTGAATTGACTGTATTTTGTGGGTGAATCGCGGCACACAGCAGCGTCCCACAAACAGTCATGGATTGAGCCGCATTTCGCCCACAAAATATAGTCAGTTCATTTTACAGTATACTCTGTGAAGCGCTTTGAGACGTCTCGAAGACGCGATAAGACCTTATATCAAATGCGAGAATTATTATTATTTTCTTAGCGATTGATGCAGGAAATTTGGCTGGTGAGAAATTACTTCTAAAATGAAAGTTTCTTTAACATGATGCTTGCTTCTCTGCCGGAGCTGTCTGTCTCTGAGTTTTATATCTGACCCGTGAATCTTTTCTCTTTTTTTTTCCTTTCTTCGTCCTCAGTTCAAGTCGGTCTTTAGGTCCTACTCACAGGACTTTGTCCCTCACCATCACGCCTCTCCTTCTCTCTGCACTATCTCCTCACACTTTGCAGTTGTGCACCAGTCCAGGAGCACCGAACTAACTTTGCCGGGCGCTTCAGGTGCCGTGAAAGCTGCCGAACGCCTGGACCTCTCTCACGATACCGCAACGCCTGCTCCTGTCTGCCTCCCTCCTGAATCTGCTTTTCCCATCTTGCTTCCAACTTCTTCGGTGAGAACTGCTTCCGATCACTCCGATGTATGTTTAAACGGGATTTCCGGCGAGTCCCTGTCTTTCTCTCTCGCTCTCCCCACGCTCGTGGTTTCTCGTTTGCGGGAGGGGAGGGAGTAAGTGAAGGCACTGTGCACTAACACAAATCTTTAGTCGCCGTTACACAGGACGGAATCTGCTTCTAGCTTCCTGCCTCGCATTCCCCAAAAAACCCTATGTTAAGCTCCTACCTACCCATCTGTGTGTGTGTTTGTTAAGATGGTGGTCTGAATTGAACTCATTCCACACAAAACGTCACGCCAATGGCTGTGGGTGCTAACCACTAGTTTATAGAAGTTAACTTGCAGAAGTGGGGGGTGTAGGTGCTTTGTCTGTGCCTTATGTTCTTTTGGGAGGTTTCGTCCCCAATTTTATGTAGATGTTTGCTCTCTCTATATGTTACATCCCATCAGTTACTGCTCTGAGCTTCAGATGTCAGTTAGCAAACCTGGTGACTTGTTGCCTGAAAGCTCTGGCCTGTTGTGTTTACTTTTCTTTTCACACTCTGCTCTTTCTTGTGACGTGTTCTATCAGTGTTTAGTGCTCGGGGGGGGGGGGTTTGGGTCAGCCTCGCATTTGGCTGTCTGCACCCTCATCGTGTGATTTATGTACAAATTAATCTGCTCTGAATTATAATGGTATCTCTGCAATGCACAAAGCCTGGGCCAATACATTGCTGTTGTTTGAGAATATGACCAGCCATCTTGGCTCATCGGCAGGACTTGGTGGAACAGAGCCAGTCGCTCGGCCAAGGCTTCTTCCCACTCACCTTAGTTCCTTTTAGCTGTGCAAGCCAAAGCCCTAATCGGGAGGGAGGTCCTAACTGGACAAGCAGCAGGAAGCTTGTCAGACAGTTCTCTCAATGGCAAATTACACTCTAGCGGTGCCTTGACGCACTTCTGGGGTCCCAAGTCTTGGCTCTTGCCAACCTGCACCTAATGCTCTCCCCCCGGAATTCGATAAGCAGAGTGCGTCCCTCCAGGGAGGGAGTTCGCATTCCATTTCCAGACGCAGGGAAATTTCCACATGTAGGCGGCAATACATATGTGGAACTCCAGATACCCCGGCTGACCCGCAAAAAACGGTCTGGGCTTTCGTTGGTTACACCTGCAGCAGGAATTTGTGTAACTGTGCTTTAATATTGTGTTTGGTTGGAGAGAAATACAAATTTCTGGCTTCAGGTGCTGGAAATAAATGTATCAATTGTTTTAATTATCAATCAACGGAGAGTTTAAATGTTCCGAATTTCTTGTTGAAATGTGCAAAAAGGTATAATTTCTACATTTCCTCTCAGTGGATTTGGTTGAACTTTCAAAAGAACATTTCTGCAAAATGCTCTTCCTAGTATCTGGCCTCTGCTATATTTGTGCTGAGCGAGTTTCCTCTGAGTGCTACCATAAAGAAGAAATGAAATAGATTTCTGCTAGAAAATAATATCTCGAGATACAATATAAAGTTTGGGACACGACACGTCAAGCCACTGCCAGGATGGTGGAAGGCGAACTGGATGGACCTTGGTCTTCTTTCGCCAGCAAGTTCTTAACGTTCTTAAATGTGTAATGCATTACTGAGGAAAATTACAAGCTCGAAAGAGCCGTTATTGACTTGGCCTGGAGTTTGGAAACCAGCGTGTACCGAGGCAGCAGTAAGTGTCTTAGACCTTGTGGTCCTGTCTCCTGTAGAGCGAGACCAATAGCGAAGATGCTGGTGAGGGTGAATATGTCAATCTGTATTCGTCCAGCCAAACCAACGGGGACCTCTCTCACCCTGAGGCAGTAAGTAGCTGTTCACGCATGCTGGGACATTGCTGCTTGGCTGTTGAGCAAAGCATGTGTGGAATGGCCTTGCAGTATGGTGCTCGTTTCATTGTGTTGTGGGATTATAACTCATTACTCGTAACATTAACAACCCATCAAACCCCAATCTGACGGCTGTCGTGCCAGGATGCCTGGTGTCAGACTGGACAAGAAAGATTCTCCCGCTCTCTCATTATAATAATCCTTGCATTTGATATAGCGCTTTTCACGTCAGGAGGATGCCCCAAAGCGCTTTACAGAACACACTGTCAAGTGAATTGACTGTGTATTTGTGGGCGAACGCGGCAGCCAGTTGCGCACAGCAATGTCCCACAACAGTCGTAGATTGAAAATGACCAATTTACTATTGTTTTTGGTTTTGGAGGGACTATTATTAGGCTCTGTGTAGAGTAAGGAAACTTGCCCAAGGTTTGGCCCTCTGCCTGGAATTGAACTCAGGTCTCTCACTTGCAAAGCGAGTGCTCTAACCACTGAGCTACAGGACTCCACACAGGACTCCACACTCATTCACACGAGTAACTAGATTTGTTAGCAATAGAAAGGTTTGAACAAACTCCGAGATAGCTATCGACTTAAGGGGCCGATCCCACCTTACAGCAGCCGGCAAAGTCCAGTTCCTCTTGCTCTAGGCTTATCTGCAATGCGCTTCCACACAGTTCAGTTCCACACGTCCAGCACCCGCACTCCCGTGCGCAACCTGCAGCTAAAAGTCCGGAGCCTCGCCCACCTGCCCCCTGGCTGCATCATTCCACCTTCACTGCAACTTCCATTGCATAAGAATGGCTTGGCTCCCAGACCCGTGTTCTCGACCAGCTGTCAACGGCACCACATCACCTGATCTACGCGTGCAGCTGAGAATCCATCGCAGTTTACATCAGCTGCCGATTCTGTTCGCTGTGTGTGCGTGCGTTGCTGAATCACTTGCTGGTATTCCAGTTGTTGCCCAAACATTGGTGGTTGTTGGTCTCGTTGTTGATGTGGCTTTGTAGCTTTTTTTTACTTCCTCTCTGCCTTTAACTTGCTTCATGCCGCTGCACAGAGAGCCTTGCATGCAGGACATGCCCGCTTCATCGCAGGGTTGGACACACGCATTGATTGGCTTTTTACTCTCGCCTTCCTGCATGGGAAAAACAGAGCTTTCAGAGCACTAAACCACAGTAACTGTTTGCTGACTACTTCATCCTAATGTTACAAGCAGTTACCTGATCTGATGTGTGAATAATAGTAATAATAAATAAATAATAATCCTTGCATTTGATATTGCACTGTATCACGTCATTGAGACGTCTCAAAGCGCTTCACAGAATATATTGGAAAGTGGAGTGACTGTATATTTTGTGGGTGAAACAGCGGCAGCCAATTGCGCACAGCAGCGTCCCACAAACAGTCGTGGATTGAGTGACCACATTTGGTGGGGGGTGGGGCCGGGAGATTATTCCCCCCGAAAACTGATCACACTGAGGGAGGGACCTTGTTATTTTCAGCTACATTTCGCACCAAGATGGAAGCTGTGAAAGCTGTAAAAATGGCACATTCGCTCACGTTAGTTAATAATAATCCTTGCATTTGATATAGTGCCTTATCACGTCTCCAAGACGTCTCAAAGCATTTCACAGAATATTTTGAGGGCAAAGCGCAGCAGCCAATTGCTCACAGCAGCATCCCACAAACAGTCGTGGATTGAGTAACTAATTTATTATTTTTTTAAATACTGGGTGTTGGCACGAGATGCCTGTTCAGCTAACTGTGGCTGCCAATTGGCCAACTAATCAGGGTTTCTAATCTGCCCTAATGACTCTCTGACCAGAAGCAATGGGTAAAACGTCCACCTTCCAGCTTGTGAGCAGGGTCCAGGTCCCAGTGCAGTTTGTCCAGCTGCAATTGGCAACACTGAGCTTGGGATCTGCGGTCACAGGGAGGACTTGGGTGTGTTACCCTCTGCACTGTTTGATGGCCTTTTAACATTAATGTCCGAGAGGCGGAGTTGGGCGGGCTCCACACTAACCTTTTTATTGCACTGTTTTGGGTACTGAATATTTTTGCTGATTCAAAAGATGCTTGAATCCGTGCAAACTCGTTGTTATCCCCCAAATTGGCCTCTGCACAAATTTTCGCAGCAAAGAGAGAAGCTAATGTAGAGAAAGCCGCTGATCGCTAGTCAAGGTTCCTCTGTGATGGTCGGGGTTCATTTGCTCACTGGTATCACAGGAATGAATGTTCGACCGGCTCGTTCTCTCTGAGTCTCTTCACATATTGGGCAGCGGAAAGTTAGACTGAAATTTGGAGTTGAGGCGCAGATCAGCCATGATCTAATAGAAGGGTGGAACAGGCTGAATGACCTACTCCTGTTCGTATACTCGCTCTCAGCTGATGTTCAGTACTCAAAAGGCCAGCAATTTCCTGTGGGTAGAACTTGGTGTTCAACCTATCACATATCCTCTTCTCTTTTTTTTCTCTCTCTCTCTCTCTCTCTGGTTATTTCAGGAAGTGCCGCTGTGTGCCAACACTGTAAGTGAGATCATCTTTGAATTTCAATTGTGCAGTTATAGCCAGCGATGTATGACGTGTCCTTGAGTGCCACAGTAATAAAAATATTTCAGTGACAGCGAGGTTGGTAATGGGATGACTGAGTAATATGGCTTTTGCAGCTCAACGGTCAGAAACGCCTATGGCCATTATCCTCGCCGGGTTTATTCCCCAAACGCATTTCCTGCACCATTTAACGCATATTGTTTCCCTCCTAGGAGCCTGCGGAGTCTGAGAATGCACAAGAAGTCAACCAGGACGACTCTGAGACGATGGGGGGTAGTGAAACGGGAAAACAGGATGGAGATGACAGGTGGGATGGAAGTCGGAACCAACGGCAGTATTGGGGGGAATGGGGATAGAGCGGTGGACACCCGAGGAAGTAGAGGTTTAAAGCCTTGTGGAGAAAAGATGGGGAAATGTGATTTAATAATAATCCTTGCATTTGATATAGCGCCTTATCACATCGTTGAAACAACTCAAAGCACTTCACAGAATATACTGTAAAAGATACATATAAATAGTATAATAAATTATAAATGATCCTCTGCGAGTGTAATAAAATAACCCCTTTTTCTGTCCAGTTGCCACAGGCACCAATTTTTCTGTGCTTCCCTGTGATGCTTCTCCATATTGTCTCTCCTCACTTAGGCGAGCAAAAGCCCTGGAATCGGCAGATTCAGGTCAGTGTGAAGAAGAAGTGGACGAGCTGTCGCTCATCGAACACGAGGAAATCATGTCTCGGCTGACACTCAAGCAGGAGGTAAGGTGTCCTGTAGCACAGGCCGAGCTGCAACAACAACTTGCATTTATATCGCAGCCTTCACGCAGGATAGCTTCTCGAATCCCTTCAGGCACTGTGATCCACTCACTAGCTTTCCATCCCACAGTTCCTTCGCCTCAGCCCCACCCTTTGCCTCCTTCATTGCCCATCTCAAGACCATCCTCTTTGACTGCGTCTTCGGTCATCCTCCTACCCCTACCCTCGCTGCCCTCCACCCCTCCTGATCCCAACTGCCAGCTCGGGTGCAAATCCCTGACTGTCTAGCGCCTTGGGATGTCCTCCCGATGTGAAAGACCCCATACAAATGTAGTTTTTTTGTTGTTGGCTTTCCTCAACTCATCACCAAAGTCTTAGCACTGACTCAGTGACTAGCATGATCAGTCTTGGAGCAGTATGGACTGATGAGATCGAGCTTGAACATCCTTTGAACAGTCTTCAAATGAGTCCCGGTTCTTGTGACGAGCACAATTCTCATTTCATATCATTGACGGAAGGGTTTGCTCTGTGGATATTTCCAGGGAGAAGACGGGCCGGAAGTGCGAGGAGGCTCAGTGGACATCCTGATCGTACACGCGACCGAGACTGACCGCAAAGGTGAGGAGCTCCGTGTGTCTCTGGTGTCCTGACGTGTGTTTGATAGTTGTGTTCGAGTGCCTCAGACACCGCGCTGACAGCTCAGGCACTGGTACCCTCCGCTCAGCTACTCACACACACATCCCCACACACGCGCGCACACACACTCACACGCGCACACACACACCCACATCCCCACACTCGCACACACACCCACACGCAACCACCACTCTACGGTAAGGGCACAGGAAATGCCCTCCCTGAGCAAGTGTTGCTGTGGAGATGGAGTTCAGCCTATTGTGAGCCGTTGTTCTCTGGGCAGGGCAACACTCAGCATAACTCGGCCCATCAGTGCAAGATTTTAGGCAAAACCACCTCAGTTTATGGAGTCTGGCCAGTAAGTGGGTTCTCAGTCTGACTAGTAAGTGAGGCCAGTATTGAACATGGAACGTTACCCAACAAGTGTCTGAAGTCACATTGGTTTGTTGCCACTGGTGCTGGAGGTCATCTTGTCTCTGAGTAGCTCATCTTCTCTCTGCTGTATGATTAAAGTTCTGTCGCCTGCCTGCCTGCCTTTCAGACCTGGTCCTTTACTGCGAAGCATTTCTCACAACGTACCGAACGTTTATTCCACCGGAGGACATCATCAAGAAGCTGCACTATCGATATCCTTTTGCTTGTTCGCAAAAAAATAATAATCATTTGGTCACTCAATCCACCACTGTTTGTGGGACGCTGCTGTGTGCAATTGGCTGCCACGTTTTCCCCCACAAAATATACAGTCAATTTGTTTTACAGTATATTTTGTGAAGCGCTTTGAGACTTCTCAGGGATGTGATAAGACGCTATATCAAATGCAAGGATTATTATTAATATTATCAGCTGTAGCTCCTTGGAGCAAATCAGGAATCAGTGGGAGAACTGACGCGCTCTCAGCCTTCATATCTTCATGTTTCTCTCACCGCTGTTTGGAATGTTCTTTTCAACAGCTAACATAGTAAGCAGGAAGCTGGTTGTTAGTTGATTGGCGGATCGCTTTAAGAAGGTACTAATCCCTCCAAAGATAAATGAATTGGGTCACTCAATCCATGACTGTTTGTGGGACAGTGCTGTGTGCAATTGGTTGCCGCCTTTTGCCCACAAAATACAGTCAATCCATGTTAGAATATATCCTGTGAAGTGCTTTGAGACGTCTCAACGAGAAGATATCAAATGCAAGGATTATTATTACTACCAGCACAGCGCTGTGGCTCATTTACTGGTGAGACCCTGACCACTGGATACACCAGTGCCTCGGTTAGTAGTGAGGGTGATCAGCTACGCATTCCCTTGGCTGCTCCAGCAGGTAGTTAAGAAAAATCTGTGGTACAGACGGACGACTGTGAGAATAGAAGGTTCAGTTATTTCCCTTGACGGGAGAGCAGATATGAGACGTTTTGCAACTGTCCTGACACGTTCAAGAAGCGAGTGAGCAAGAACACTTTCTTTGTGCTGGTGCGAGTGGTGGACGAGCTGTGGTGAGTGATTCTCACTGACACAAGACCAGCAGCCGTCTGTTGAAACCTCGTTGGAGTCTCCCCCAAACCCCTCCCATGACTTTCTCTGTTCCTCCCCTAGTCTAGCGGAGTTGTCTGACGAGATCCTGAAGGTGCTGATGGAGCTCGTGTTCCGCCTGGTGTGCAGCGGGGAGCTGAGCCTGGCCCGGGTTTTACGCAAGAATATCCTGGACAAAGCGGAGCAGAAGAGGATTGTGAGGGTATTGGCTCTGATGAAGCCACTGGCTGCTCGAGGGGTGTCAGCCAGGTACAGAATTCATTCGTCTTTCCTGGGAACTTATTCCTCAAGTCTACTCCCCTCTGTGTCAGTCCTTCCTGTCCTACTCGCTAACCTTTAACTCATATCCCCTGGTGTTTTGAACCATCCAATTTATAATAAATAATAATAATCCTTCCATATATAGATTTGCAGATGCTTCACACTGAGCTGGTTTCTGGAGCTACTCGGAAGTGTTTGGGGGTCTACAAAATACAGTCACTAACTGCACTTCACAGTAAACGCAGCAAATCCTGTGAAAATACTTGCCAGACCTCCTCCCAGTGTGAAAGGTGCCTTGCTTATCAAGTGTAAGGATTGTTATCGCTCTAAACGATTGATTTTCCATTTAGGCCGGGGACACTTCATGACTTTCACAGTCACGAGATCGCTGAACAGCTCACGCTCTTAGACGCTGAACTTTTCTACAAGATTGAGGTGAGGGGTTCATGTCCCATTCGCCTGTATTGTGGGTCGATGCATCCAGTGATAGCTCTGTTGAGTGTGGAAGATGTCAGTGAGGGGAGCTGTTTGTGCTGGTGGGGGTGGGGAGGACACTCAATCACCTGATTGGAGCCAAAAAAAAAGGTTCAAGGTATAGAATAGCCGAGAAAGTCGAGTATGTGTGAACCTCACCTGCATCCTTCTTCAGCAAAACAGCACTGACTGAGTCTCCCAGTGTAACCACACAGGGGGAGAGAGAAAAGTGGTGGGAAACCCGTGGTGAGGAGGGAGAAAATTGCTCAGTGGTTAATGGACGACAAGAACAACAACAATGTACATTTTCTAGTGCCCCTCATGCAGGGTAGCGTCCCAGAGCGCTTGAGTATTGGAAGCTCGGGGGCGTTCTCTTTCAGTGGTTGCTGATGCAGTAAATTTGTTGCTTGTCTGACATATCACTTTGTGTCTCTTCTTTGCCTCTCCACCCCCCCACCCCCCCACCCCTTGCACCAGATCCCTGAGGTTTTACTCTGGGCCAAGGAGCAGAACGAGGAGAAGAGCCCCAACCTGACACAGTTCACTGAGCACTTCAACAACATGTCCTACTGGTGAGATAACGCATCCTTAACAACAACAAATCACATTTTCACGTTGGTAGGAAGTCCCAAGATGCTGGACAATCAAAGCTTTGCACCCGAGCTGGGATTTGGGATCCAGAAAGGTGGGAGGGTGGGGATAGGAGGGTGGCCGAAGGCCCGGTCGAAGAGGGAGAGGTCTTGAGAAGGGCCTTGAAGGAGGCAAGGGAGGGAGTGAGGTGAAGGGCCTGTGGGATGGAGTTCCAAAGGTTGGGGGCAGAGAGGCTGGAGGCCTGACCATCGGTGATAGGGCGGGCAAGACATGGTGTGGACAATAGAGCAGGCCGGAGTCTCAGTGTTGATGTGGGAGTCTGACTGGGAGTGAGTGGCTGTGCTAATCAGGTCGGCCCCAAACCCCATTGCCGCAATTGCCCCATTGTCTGTGCCACAACAACAACAGCAACAACATGACATTTATAGAGTGCCTTTCACATCGGGAGGACATCCCAAAGCGCTGAACAGTCAGATGTCGGTGCCCGAGCATGGTGGTGTAGGGGTGAGGGAAGACAGAGAGGTGGGAGGAAGACCAAAAGCACGGTTGAAGAGAAGGGTTTTGAGACCAACCTTGAAGGAGGCAAGGGAGGAAGCGAGGCGAAGGGACCGTGGGATGGAGTTCCAGAGTGCGGGAGCAGAGAGGCTGAAAGCCCGGGCCACCGATGGTAGGGCGAGTCGGGCGGGAGACATGGAGCAGGCCAGAGCCCGATGAACGGAGGCAGCGGGCTTGTTTGATAGGGAGTCAGCAGGTCAGAGAGGTAGGAGGGGGCAAGGCCATGGATGGCCTGAAAGGTTAGGACGAGGATCTTGAACTCGATCCTCTGGAGGATGGAGAACATTGCCTTTAATGAGACTCTGTACTGCCTTGTGTCGCTGAGAGCAGGTTCTCAACGTTTCTAAACTGTGCCTGACATAGTGACGCAGACGCCATTGTGTTTACTTTGGTCTCTTTCAGGGTTCGGTCAATAATCATTCAGCAGGAGAAAGCTCAGGATCGGGAACGGCTCCTCTTGAAGTTCATCAAAATTATGAAGGTCGGTGACTGGGTGTGGTGATGGTTAGACTCGCCCGGCCTCAGCGATACAGTTCCAAGATCCTCACACTCGTCTTCCTCATGCTCTATCTCTCCGACCCGCTTACTCCCCCATCCACTACCTGTCACCTCTGCTCGACTAGCTCCGTCCTACCGCTTGTCCCCCCTGCTCTCTGTTCCAGCATCGTCATCCGCGCTTGCAGCCACTACGCCCTGAATCTCTGGCACTCTCCCTCATTCTCTCCGCCTTCCCCCTACTTCCGCTCCTTCACCATCTTCAGGTCGAGCTTGAAGACTTCCCTCTTGGACTGTGCTTGCAGTCCCCCCCACAGCTCAGCATAAAGCTCTGCCACTGTCAAGCGCTCTGAGACGCTGCCCAGCATGAGGAGCGCTGTGTTAACACAAGTTGTTGTTGTCACTGACTATGTTGGTTCCAGTAATGGTCAGATTGCTGAGAGCCAGACGTTCCAGCGATCGATGGCCATATTGCCCAGGGCCAGCGATATGGCTGGTCCATGATTTTCACTCATTTATCAAATTGAAATCCTCTCCTTTCAGCACTTACGGAAATTGAATAATTTTAATTCCTACCTGGCGATCCTCTCCGCGCTGGACTCCGCTCCAATACGGAGGCTGGAATGGCAGAAACAAACCTCGGAGGTAAGGAACGCCTCATTTCTCCCGAATTTAACACCTCCGTTAAATCAGTTGAGTTTGTGGCAGAACTCCAAAATGTACTCGTCTCGATGACTTGGAATTATTTTCTGTCTAGATATAGAAAGGCTCGAGAGCCTGTGTTTAACAATTATCCTGTTCTGTTTCGAGGAAATTTTATTGAATGGGGGACTTTCTAATGTATTTCAGTCTCCAATGGTTTGGCAAAGATAAAAGGTTAGAAGCTGGTTTAGAGCTCATTTCCACTGAAATGCCATAATTTCAGGAGGTCCAGTCGATGCCTCTAAATGTTGGAATTATTTATCACATTGTTGGCAACATTCCCAGCTTTACTACCGTCACAGCTGGAAACAGTGGTGGAGACTGACTCAGTTAACGTGACGCTGTTATGCACTATATTTAGAACACTCTGACCCACATTAGCAGTCTTCTGAAGAACATTAAAGTGTCCTCTGCCGTGTACTTCACGTCATCCAAACATGTCAGACAGGGACAGGGTCGCACTATGATGCTGGACCCCATCACCAGGGCCAGAGTTTACACAGGGCATCCTACATGTGTGCAACCCATTTTAGCTCTTCCTGCCAACAGCAGCAGCAAATTACATTTACACAGCACCTTTCAGGTCGGGAGATCGTCCCAAGGCGCTGGACATTCAAGGATTTGCATCCGGGCTGGGGGTTGGGATCAAAAGGGATGGAGGGGAGGGAGGGTGGGAGGTTAGGACGGTGACCAAAGGCATGGATGAAGAGGAGGGTCTTGAGACGAGCCTTGAATGAGGCAAGGGAGGGGATATCTGTTACCTAACGCATTGTGCCTTTGTTCCCAGGGTCTGGCTGAGTATTGTATGCTCATCGACAGCTCCTCCTCATTCCGTGCATACCGGGCTGCGCTGGCTGAGGTGGAACCGCCCTGTATCCCGTACCTGTGAGTAGCACCGAACTGTCACTGAGGGTAGAGAGTTGTTATGGTCTGGAATGCACTGCCTGACAGGCTGGTGGAAACTGATTCAATAACATCTTTCAAAAGGGAATAGGATAGGCACTTGAAGAGGAAGCACTTGCAAGGATATGGGGTAAGAGCGGGGGAGTGGGATTGATTGGGTAGCTCTTCCGAAGAGTTGGCACACGCACGAATGGGCCTAATGGCCTCGTCTGTGCAGTAAGATTGTATGATTCAGTAATTTAGTGTGCAATTGACTCCACAACCTCTGAAGAAATTTCCGAACCAATGCAGGCTGCATATTTAGAAACTTAAAATGAAAACTATTTGCATTTCATTCAAATAGCAATTGCTTTTAGAAAAGAATATTTTGGGATGCAGTATATGTGAATAATTGTGAGACACGACATATAGTAAAGTGTAGTACATTTGGAAGAAGCGGGCAACTTTGGATCTAAGGTTCCCAAAGCCTTCCTCCACTCTGTTGTAGACTAATCCATACAGAATTAATTGCTATCAACATCTCCATTATTTTAGCATCGGACGACCAGGATGGTTAAAGCGCTTTGAGTCGTCTTGAAGACGTGATAAGTCGCTATATCAAATGCAAGGATTATCATCATTATTATAGGTGGAACGTGGCCTTTTTTTCTTCTATGTATTGATGGGGTTGGTAGTTCGGGAGAAGAATGGAGCAGAGCACCGTGCTGTGTTTGGGATGTGAGAAGTGTGTGTGTGTGGGGATGGTGAGTGTTAGGTGGGTGGGGGTGAGTATGTGTATGTGTGTGTATATGCTCAGCTTCCCAGGCTGTGGAGATATCGTGATTCAATATCGATTTTTTCTCTTCTGTCTCCCTGCAGGGGTCTCATTCTGCAGGACCTGACCTTCGTGCACCTGGGAAACCCAGACTTCATCGACGGAAAGATCAACTTTTCCAAACGCTGGCAACAGTTTAACATCCTGGACAGTATGAGACGCTTCCAGCAAGTGTAGGTCTCCACATGTTCACGCCTACACATGCGCAGACACATCGGCGGGCGGGCCTTCAGCCCTCTCTGCTCCCACCCTTTGGAACTCCAGCCCACAGTAACTTCGCCTCGCCCCCTCCCTCTCCTCCTTCAAGGCCCGTCTCATGACCCTCCTCTTCAACCGCATCTTCGGTCACCCTCCTGATCCTAACCCCCAGTTGGGTCAAATCCCTGATTGTCCAGCGCTTTGGGATGTCCTCCTGACGTAAATGTAATTTGCTGTTGCTGTTGTTACGCACACACTGCAACTTAAGATTCACTGTTGTTGGTTGACCTGGAGGATGTACTTTATTGCATCAGTATTGTTATAACTGATGCCTGGGGGACAGCTTCAAGTCTTGCTGTTTGATGGCATAAGCGCTGCCCTGGGAGTGTGGCAACACTTGTCCAAGGCAGGTGCCTCTCGCTGTGTAGTCGCTGTGATTGATTAACCCCACGAGGGGTGAATGAGGTTGCGAGTGCTGCTGAAACCTGACCTCTCCTCTCTCTCTCTCTCCCTCTTCACAGCCACTACGAACTGAAGCGAAATGACGAGATCGTTAGCTTCTTCAACGACTTTGGCGATCACCTGGCGGAGGAGGCCTTGTGGGAACTGTCGCTAAAAATCAAACCACGCAACATCCAACGGCGGAAAACAGAGCGGGAAGAGAAAACCTAGGGGCTGGGACGATGGTCGAGTCAGAAGCTTAGGTGGCAGCTAATGGACCCATTTAAGCGACCCTTTACCTGACTGAGCTGCCGAAGCCAGTTGCCGAGGGGGCTTCACCTGCGGAGCTCTGACGAGAGTAGACGGCGACACCGCTCGAGGGGATTCCTTCACCCGCTACATCACCACCCGCCACAGTCTCCTCCCCGTCATCCTTACGCTGTCCATCCAGTCGAGCCCGCTCGCTCAGCCCCACATTAACCCACAGACCCACATGGGCTTCACAGACGGAGAGAGAGAGAGAGAGAGAGAGAGACTCCTTTGGGAAAACTGTTTGACATTGTGTAGGTACAAAGGTTCGACAGTGGACTGACTTCTCTTGTTTATAGAATAACAAATAGCGGTACTAGCAATTGCACAGGTAACCTTAAATCTAACTGTACTGTAGGAGACAGACTGGCTGGTTGTAAATACTAGCTCTCTAGTTTGATGTGACGTTATTGGAGTTTGTTTTGCATGAGTGTGACAGAACGCCAGGAAATCGGGATTTGTCCGGAAAAAAACAATGGATTGTACATTGAGGAGGCTGCGGAGAGTTCAGCCGGCCCGGGGCTGGGGCAGAACCCAGACTGGTCACAGACTCAAACCTCTGCTCTTGCAGTTTGCAAATCTCCAGCGTGGAAATCTGCATTCAGGGTGAGAAGCGGTGAGAAGAATTGATCGGAAATCTTCCCCCCCGGCTTTTATTGCTGTTAAATATTAAGGAGCAGCTCAGCCGGCCATTTGAACGGTGGGAGGAACGGAGGTTTGCATGTGCAACTCCTCTGAGGACGATCCGAGGCTGTTGGGGGCGACCTGTCTGGCTTGGAGTTTGATTATTCAGCCCTTTAAATGATAGTCAAATGAATTGGCTTCCACATGCAGGACCCAGACTGTGTGCCCCTGATCCTGCCAGCACCTCCCTCCCCCGAGCTGTGAGACACAACGGCTCTCCGTGCTGCGAGGCTGGGCAAAGCGGAGTGCCTTTGATCCACTTTAAAACAATGATTTGTTCAGCAGCAATCCCCTCTCCACTTTCCCGCAACAAAAAAACAAAACGCTTTTCATTCTACGCCATGACTCCCAGTAAGATATTCCCTCCCACCCTCCCTGCAGCACTTTATAACAGATAAAGAATCCGATCACACGTAGTGCGTGGCAATGCCGGGCTGGTTCATTTGTTTTAAACCCCGTTTTGTTGTTTTTCTCTGAATGTTCTCAAAATTCCCACCTTCCAGGAGCCCGTGTGCATTGGGGAGCTCCCAGTCACACGGAGAGTGTCCTGGCAGGGGTAGGAAGCCTTTAACCCTTTCACTAACACAGACGTACGGAACTGAATATATCTCAGACGGTAGTTTTAGAGCATTCAGCCTTACTTAACGTGTCACCTGTAATTTGGTGAGTGCTAAAATCACCGTTGAACTCATGAATAGCCCAGCAGTTAGTGTAAGTGTGTGTGGGTGAGATTACAGCGCGTTTCGGCAGTGAGTCCAGTGTATTTTGTTCCGACACATTCTCTGTTCTCCACAGTTTGCCGCTATTATCTCATTTTTTATGTATCGTATGAACTTTCAAGGTTGGATAATGTCCTCAGTTTACGGTCCCATCAATTTCACAGCAGACTTTTGGTCAAATATAAAGCTACATGTAGAAAATTCACAACGCAAAAGGCTATTATGTAAACACCGGGGTGCTGGGTTAGTGCAGCCTGGGTGGAAACGTCATAGGTCTTCAAGTCAGTCTATCTCTCAAATTGACTTAAAAGTGTTTTGAATTGAATGTCAAACCTGCACAGGGAACGTGTTTGTTCGCACCATGATAAAGAGAGTTCAAATGGCACCATTTTGACATCTGTCACTGACCCATATTTGGGGGAAACGCATGTGGAAGCAAATAATGTTTTGGTTTCAGGGACAAGTGATACAGAATAACGTGATGGGATCAATCTGTTTGCCTCTCTGAATAGTGAGACCGGAAAAAGTCTGACTGTCAAACGGGTTTTGCTTCCGAGGTCAGACCAGTCAGTGAGCTGCTGGTTACAGATGGCCCGAAGGTGTTTTGGTTTAGTTGGAATGAAAGGTTCAGTTACTTTACCGAAACTAAACTGACTAATTAGTTTTAATTGTCGGGATTTTGTTAGTTGCCCTAATCATACTGGAATCAGTAGGAATTGGCTTCAAGTAACTTGCACGCGGACAAAGTTGCCATTATTTTTATTGCCATTGTTTTAAGATTGCCGTGGAGCTCTTGCCGAGCCACCGTGTTTCCATTCGTTCGTCAGCGATTCTGTCAGACCCAGTGCCGAGGTCTCTTTTCCCCCCCTTCTTCCACCCAGTACACCTCCAAATAGAAAATAAAAATCAGGCTTTTAGTCTGAATGTTTAATGGAAATTATGGAACTGCAAGATTGAAGGCATTACTTCCACGGGCTGTATTGCAGAACAGATAGACGATAATGTCTCCACTGCACACAATTCTGCCTCCTGTTCAGTCGTGAACAGTTCAGCCGAGTAAGATGTGGATGGCCACCGTTTTATTTCAGAGGAAACCTGAGGAGTTTGCATTGTGTGGATTCAATATCGCATAAACTTTGTAAATAATCACTTTCATTGTCCGTTGCATGAGGTGTTCTGAAATCAATATAATTGATTGCTGTAATCAATTGTTACTCTTATTAACAGACCAATGGAAAGGCATCATTTCTGTGGCTCTCTCGGATTTGATGCTCATTGTTCCTGCAAAAATGTGTTGATTGTAACCTGATGGATCGTCTCAATTCTGTGGAATCACTGACTTATTGTTGCCCCTTCATTTCCTCCTCCTCCCCCGCCCCCCCCATTACAATCTTGTCTTTGCTGATTCCTGGCCTCAGTGTTCACAGTTGTCTAACGGCAGTTTGTGTTCCCCAAACATGTAGCAATCCCTGTCCTGCGGCGATGGGCCAGGTTCATTCAAGTGAGCGGTAAAGCTCCTCTTTGCCTGCCCAGCAACCTGCCTGACACTCATATTGACGGAAATGAGTTCAGATGCCGGTTGGCCGTTGAGAACTGATTTTCTTCACAAGAACACAGCACTTTACCGACACAACTACAGGCAATAGGTCATCTCGGTGATAACCTGCTGTTAGTTAGTTTGTGGATAGACAGTTATTGGAGAAATGGTCCAGACTGGCACCAAACAACCACACAGAGTGTGGTGCGAACTCTGTAGTTTCATTTCCTACTTTGCATCATGTTCAGCGATTTAAAAGTGTGTTGTTTGCCCTCACACACACCCCCTCACCTCGAGGCTGGATGGCCCCCAGGTGAATTGAGTCTGTCCGGACTCTGTCCGGAACGGTAGCTGAGCTTGGCTCAGTCGATAGTGAGCTCATCTCTGAAGGTTGTGATTTGAGACCCCACATGGGACTGTAAGGTCACGGTTGAGGCTGACGCTCCAGTGCAGTGTTGGGGGAGTGCCGCATTGTCCGGAGGTACCGTAACTTAATGAAATGCCAGATGCTGCTTTCTGCAAAAACCCAGCTGAAGTAGGAGTTTTTAAAATGATTAATACAGCCTGTGTTTATTTTGCGCTCAGTTTTCTAAAAATCTGTGATGTCCATGACATCAACAGGTCATTGTTTAATCTAGGCCGAGCTCCTGTTTAAATCAAAGCAGTAAAATGGTGTGAAATGAGGGGACACGTTTATGCTGAATGTGAGCAAGCTGCTTGGGCTATTGCCAAGGCACAGTGTTGTCATTGTTGACCTGTTTTTTATTTTGGACACGTTTGTGATTGCTCATGTAGATATTAAAATGAGTGTTTTTTTTGCCTTGAATGCTTTTAAGGCTGTTGTCGGGAGGCCAGCCTTCACCGCAGTGTCACAGCCTAACAGGCTTGATTCCCTCCCCCCCCTCCTCCCTCGCCCGCTTTCTGTATTACTGTATATTATTACAATGTTGTGTTTCCCGCAACCATTTCAAATGTGTAACTTTTTAAAAATAAAACCTAACCTCCATGTTTACAGTGCATGCAGCAGACTGCAGATTAAAGAGACAATCAAACTGCCCGCAGACCTGCCGTCTCTTCATTCACTCACTCACTCTGACTGATGGACAATACGTCAGCGCTGTTCACTAAACACGGACACATCACCCTCCCTCTAGCCCTCCCTCATCAGGATTTGCTACAGCCGTGGTGCTTCCAGGCTTGATTTCTGCCTGGGGAGGGAAAATATTGTTTTTAATTATTCACCCCACTTGATGCCAAGTCCATATCTTGTGGTTACTCAGCTAAGCTGCCCTTAGCACAAAGGCACTTTGCCTTTATAACTGTGTTCCCCAGCCACTCGCTTTTGGGTTGAGCCGCCATAGACTGATCCCAACCAATGCAGGTCAAGACAATACAAGACGTGCATTGAAACAGTTTTCCTGCACAGGGCTGTGAAAAGCTATTACTGTCCCAATGATCAATCTGGATTCTGCACAAATGTTTTATTCAGGACTTATAAAAACACACACTGGTGTATATAAAGTGTAAAACCATCTGGAATGTAAACAAAATACTCAGTTTCAACAAGTTGCCGTAGAGAGAACACGGGGGGAAAAAATACTACAACCCAACCGGGTGTGAGGGCAGGTTTAGCTCAGTGGATTTGAAGGGGACCCAGGCACTTAACAGTTATTTATAGGTAACACAGGTGTCACTGCGCAGACAATGCTTTCACTTTACAAAATCTTATTTTGTTTAAAAAGTTATTTTCATCCTCCCAATATTTTTATATAAAAATTATCAAACACACAAGCTGCTTCCAACAATCAGACAAACTAAACTGTGGTGTTGATCGGTAATAATAATAATAGCTTTTGATATAGCATCTTATATCTTCAAGACAGCTCAAAGCGCTTCACAGAATATATTGTGGAGTGACTGTGTATTTTGTGGGTGAAACACGGCAGCCAATTGCTCACAGCATTGAATTGATAATTAACTAAGAACCCCCGTTTTCTTTCACAAACTAGAGCGATAAGATTGTGTGCTGTGACTGGGACCTCTTGTCTCCAGTAACCAGTTTTATAAAAACTAAACCCGATAACCTGTGCCGAGTTTGCTTGGATACCGACAATTAACCCCTCGATTAGGGGAAAGTTAGCCTGGATCTCTCGTGCCCACCCCCCTCCTTCCTTATGGGAAGATAAACGTGTGGGGTGACGGATCAGGTCTGTGATCACCCACCTTAAAACAAGGTACAAAAAGTTGTAACACCTCAAAAATATTCAGGAGAGGAAGAGAATGGGCATCGTCCATTAACACCGAGACAATAAATTAGTGTAGCTTTTTCTCCTCTTCTCCCACTTCAAAAACATATTTGCCACAAATAAAAAAAAGGAACTTCAAAGCAGAATTAAGTATCAATCAGCCACCACACACACACACAAGGATCAACTCCTTTCACGTCAATATTTCAAATCAGGGTCTCAGTTTAAATGATGTAACATTATTTACACTATAAATTTCTTCAGTTACAGGTCTTTTACCCTCTGTGAGGATCGAGGATTCAATTTAAATAATCTCCCCACGACAGACGCAATTTCAAACTCAGCTTAAGTCGCTTTCATTCAAAGTTCTGTGAGGATGCACATCTGGTGTAACAGTTAGCTCCTTCCCCAAACCTGTGAGCAGGTTTTATTTATGGCTTACAATTCAGTTCTGCTAAGTATTTTTAAAAAATTATATAAGTTAAATCATAAGTGAATCCAAGTAAAAATGTTACAATTGATAAACCAAATACCCCCCATCAAATAACAGGACTGTGCAATGTCAAAACAGATTTTGGAATCGAACTTTTAAGAAAAAAACATAAGTAATAGAAAACTCAAGTTTCTCAGAAACTGAACCAGTCCTCAAATGTTTAACTGCCGCCCCTTTTGATTGTACAGTGGGACAGGTCTGATTTCCATTGAGAAGACAAACATGAATCCAAATTTGTACTGGTATTTACAGATTGGTAGGGTGGGGGGAGAAGGGGGTAAAGAGAGCACTGAACATTCCATACCCAGCCTTGTGAGAAAGATGCTGAGAGTGTTCAGATCACAGGCACCGACTGTCTTTGGTCACAATTTAATTTTATATAATATATATTAAAAAAAAGGAGTGAATAAGAAGTCGTCTGTAAGAAATGTCTACTTTCTCAGAAGGAAGCGTGGAATGAGGCAATATGATGCATAATAATGCTAACCATCACACATTCCTGACCAAATCGGGACAGTTTCCATGGCAACACCAAGCCAATGGTCAAAAGGCGCTTACCTCCCGATTCAGAATGTTCCTTATAAAGTCGAGTGGCTGAGGCACCTCATTTCACTCAGGGAAGCCCGACCTTAATCAGTCACCATAACTGAGGCACAAACAGTTTTTTATGAACAACCATTAATTCTCACAAGCTCCCGATGATCGCAGACCGACTTAATCCCGAGGAAGACAGCAATGGCAAACTCCCGGGTGCCGGGAAAGATTTTCTGTCCAGCCGGTGTTTTCTTGAAAGTTGCTGAACTCTTTCTACCCCCATCTTCCAATATTTAGATTCACGTCAGACCGTTGGGTCAATAAAGATGGACTAATTGGTGCTGGAAGACAGTTGGGACAGGACGTTGAAGCTATATACACTTCTGGGCAGTCGGGTTGTCGGCCATTATCTCTGGATCTGCCGCACGAAAGCGTGGACGAGCTGTAGTAGTGGCTCCTGGCCCTCGCTGCCGCTTTTGAGCATGGAGGACACCGACTTAGCCCCAGCCGGGGAACAGGGAGCTCCCCGCCGAGAGTAACGGGAGATACTGGAGAGGAGCGTGCTCTGAAAGCCAGCAATACAAACACAACGTCACACAGAGAGTTAAACGCACTCAGAGGAAGAACCACACTGCTCTTTGTACACGCGAGGTACCAAGATTTCACCACAAATCACTGGTAACAACTATCTAAATCGCGCTCGCCAAACTTCGGGCGATGTCTGAAAAAATGTGTCCTCAACAGACTGTCCCAATGCAACGATTGCAATGTTTAATTCTCTGCCAAAAACTGCAGTTTTTAATATTTAGTTTGTAATTCAGTTTAGTTTATTCTGTGAAGCGCTTTGAGGCATCTCAGAGAGGCGATAAAGCTCCATATCAAATGCAAGGATCGTTATACAGTGCATAAATCCTTTTAAAAGGAAATTAAATAAATGCTTGATGATGAGGAATATTAAAGAAGTTGAAAATAATCATGATCCTTGCAATTGATTATAGGGCCTTATCACATCTTCGAGACGTCTCAAAGCACTTCACAGAAAATACTGTAAAGTGGATTGACTGTGTATTTTGTGGGCAAAATATGGGCAGCCAATTGCGCACAGCAGTGTCCCACAAACAGTCGTGGATTACAAGTTGTTGCTTTTGTTGGGATAGCACTCTCCCATTCTCTGCACAAATAACTCTTAGTCTCACATTCAAAATGAGTTAAAACGGGAAAAAAAATCTTCAGTCAGTCCACTAATAAACTATAGGTGGGCTGGATGATTCCCAGCAATCACGGATGCAAAGCTATGGTCCACACAAAGAAACAACACACGCACACACAGACAGAAGCAACACACACACAGAAACAGCACCCACACACAGAAACAACACACCAAGAAACAAACACCCACACACAGGAGACGTACCAGTTCTGAGCTCAGCTCCTGTTTCATGCGCTGCTTGTCACGTGGGTGAACGCTCGGGTCCTTGAGGTACCGAACCGCTTGTGAGATGAGCACGTACAGGCAGTTCTCCATCGTGAACACCAGCAGCGACCTGTGAATCACAGCCCCAAACTGCTGAAAGCCCTCAATCAATAGAAGAGGGCATTTCGCCCACAAAATACATAGTCAATTAATTCACTTTACAATGTATTCTGTGAAGTGCTTTGCGATATCTCAATGACCTGATAAGGTGCTAAATCAAATGCAAGGATTATTATAATAATAATACATTTGTTTTTAAAAAGAATCAATATTTTCTTTTTTTTAAATGAGAGAATTGAAGAAACAATGGTATAACCAGCACCAACACGATGGGCCGAATGGCCTCCCTCTGTGCTGTATAATTCTATGATTCTATGATAAAGTAGTTCTATGGGCTTAAAATGTAATTTTAAAATATATTTTAACTAATTATTTTTTACATAGTTCAGGATTAATATAGAGGAGTGAAGCTCATCCTGACATGTAACTAGTTTTAACTGCTGTAAACTGACAAATAGCACTCTGGGACACTACCTCGCATGAAGGGCGCTATGTAAATTCAAGTTGTTGTTGTAAAATCATGGATTGTGATCAATAACAAAACATTTTTTTTAATAAATGCGCAAAACCAGTTTGCCAAGTGAGGTAGGAATTTCCCTGGCACTCACTGTCAGGCTTTTGGAGCCACTTATAAAACTCTAAAGTTGCTATTCATTTCACAATGGGACTCTCAGATACTTCAATACAAATTTCAGACCCTCCACATCAGTTTGCTCCAAATCCCAAACTCTTCCACACTATAAACTAAACTAAACTGGCTGCTCATAAAATATTGTCAGGTTTAATATTTATGATCAAAATCCCTCTTATACAAATTAGTACAATTTATAAATTACTAGTACATAAAAGATTAAATATTATTATAAGCTATATAGCAAGCCACAGCACAGCTGCTGACCATTAAACTACCTTCCGTGCATCATAAACCTCTGGCCACTTGACAAATATTTTAAGTTATACCACACGGGTATGAAGTGCAAAAAGAAAGCAACTTTCATCTCTGAGCAGTGCAGTGAGTACTGATGTACAGACAAATTTAATCACAATATTTTACGCAAATCGAAGCAGAAAAATGCATCGGGGACGAGAAATTATTGGTCAGAGATTTCCATTTATCCCACCGACACATGGAAATCCCAGAGAGAGATTGTTAGAATGGAATGCACTCTCTCTCTCTCTCTCTCTCTCTCCCTGGAGGAACGTGAATTCCATTCAAACAATCTATCTCTGGGCTTTCCATATATGTGACAAAAGGTCCATTTCTCTTGGATACGAAACAACACTCATTTTCTGCTGCAGCCCCCGCCCCGCCCCACCCCACCCCACACACACCCCTCTCCTGTTCCAAAAGAGGCAGCTCCCACTGTTGAAGGATTGTGCTTCATTCAGTGTTGTGGTCAGAGTGGGTCCCATAAGGAGCATCTCACCAGCACCACTTTGTGGAGAGCTGGTGTCACCGCAGCCGTTGCATCCCAACATGAAAGTTGAAAAAAAATAAAAATAATAATAACTTGGAAACTCAATCCACCACAGATTGGGGGACGCTGCTGTGCGCAATTGACTGCCACGTCCCGCCTTAAAATATACAGTCAATTCACTTTACAGTATATTCTGTGAAGCGCTTTGAGACTTGATAAGGAATTATATCAAATGCAAAGATTATTTTTATTGTTGTTATAAATATAAAATGCAACTAAGCAGCTCTTGAAACTCACTTCAGTGCCTTGGTTTCTTCTGATGAAGTCAGTGGCCCCACGTTCAATGACAGAGGTTCCTTCTTTTTATCGATCTGCAGAGAAAGTCATTGATACAAAAATAGAAGAACTCTTGTTATAACTTTTCTTCGGTCAGGAATTAACCACAAAATTATGTATTTTATTTCTGTACAAGGCTTTGAATTCAATTAGTTTTTGTGACACCCTGCGGCTGGGTTAAGTCGCTGCAAGCGAGAGGGCCTGGGTTCGACATGATCAGGTGCTATGTCAGGTGATCCTCACACTCGGGTTCAAATCCCTTCATCTCTGGCAACTCCCTACCTCTCCGACCTCCTCACTCCCCAATCCACCACCTAGCGCCTCCGCTCGTCCCTCCACCCTCCCGCCACTACAGCCCGAAACTCTGGAACACTCTCCCTCAATCCCTCCGTCTTGCCCCCTCTCCCTTTTCAAGTCCCAGCTGAAGACCTTCCTCTTCTTCGTGCTTATGGCCACCTCCCCTCTCGGCTCGGAGTCGAGCCTCGCCACTGTTAAGGCTCTGAGGATGCTGCCCTGCGGGGAGGGCGCTATATAACTGCAAGTTGTTGTTGTACATCAAAGAATATTATTATTTATTATTATTTTTCTGTGCTCGCTCTTACCCCTTCCTGCATGTTCAGGGTGACGTTGACAGTTGTGAGCAGAGTCCCGAAGGATGGAGCCATGTCCGAATCAAAGGCTGGAGTCGTGAAACTCAGGACAAAGAGCATATCATACTCTGCCAGGTCCAGCGACTGTGGGAACAGACGAAGAGAGAGAGAGTGACGGAGATGACCAATTATCAAGTGCGCAATTAATTGGCTGCCACACTTGAAGACGTAAGAAGGCACTATATCAAATGTAACATTATTATTATTATTATTATTGGAGCAATGTGGAGCAGTGAAGTCCGAGTCACCAATAAGAGTATTTTGTCTCCATCTTGTTAGCGAGTCCACCACTTCTGCATTTAAATACATTGGTAAGGTAACTCAGACCCGTATTGTTGGCACGCTCGTCTCACAAGCAAGAGGACCTGGGTTCGATTCTCGGGTGGGGCAATACATTAGGCAACTTTCCTTACTCCACACATCTTTGTTGATTTGTTGGGACGTCCTCCTGACGTGAAAGGCGCTTTATAAATGGAATCTTGTTGTTGTTGTTGTTGACCTAACAGTAAGTAGGAACCCGATTGGCGGATCGCTTTCCAGGGGTAACAATCCACCCAAAATATATATATATTATATATAAAAATAAACAAACAAACAAATAAATACATTTGGTCATTCAATCCACCACTGCTGTGCGCAACTGACTGCCGTTTGTCGCCCACAAAACAAGTCAATCCACTTTACACTCTGTGAAGCGCTTTGAGATGTGTCGAAAACGGGATAAGGTACTATATCAAACGCAAGGATTATTATTATATTATTATTATATTATTACCTGGTCCTGCAGTATCTGGCAGACGTCGGGAGTGAAGTTCCTGAGGGCTGCCAGCGTCTTGCTGAGAATGCGGAGCAGACTGGCCTGCACCTTCAGCAGTGCCCGCTGTTCCAGCTCCTCCTTCTCCTGCTCTAAACCCTGCTCCTTGGTTGGAGGCTGAGCAGACTTGGGCTCCTGAGGGAGGACCGTGGTGGGAAGAGTGTCTCCATTCTTCACCTGTGCCAACACAATAACATCAACTTATCCACTTTATATACTGTAAAGTGAATCCTACTCGGCCCTTGGCCTCAGAGCCCTCAGAGCCAGCCGAGCGGAGGCAGCGGGTAGTGGAGTGGACAGAAAGCAGGTTGGAGAGATATGAAGGTGACAGGGTGTGAAGGGATTTGCAGATGAACACAGCAATCAGTACAGCGCTACCAACCCAGCCATTGAAAGTTTTGGTGCCTTTAATATTCATTCAGCAACATTTGAAATAACTAAGATATCGTCATCGCCAGTGAGAAGAGAAGCAGAACTGCACAGACCTGGAGGTAATGCTGCAGCACTTTACGGCTGTGGAGGAGGAATGTGCACGTCTGGCAGAGGTAGCAGAGGTTCACCTGCAACAGTGAGACATGGGTACATATAGTGAGCAGCGAGACACACAGACACACAATTTATCTACCCTCCGCACTGTCTAGAAAATAATTTTAAGTTCCATTTATATTTTAAATAATAAAAAAAAATCCTTGTATCTGATGTAGCGCCTTATCATGTTGTCGAGACGTCTCAAAGCGCTTCACAGGATACACCGTAAAGTGAACTGATCGTATTGAAACGTGTATATAAACGTAAGTAGTCGCTGTGATCTCCGTGACTATCGGGGGGGCCGGGCTTTACCTGCACGTCCCGCAGTAGGTGAGGCAAGTGGAAGCGCCATTCTTTGATGAAGTTGGAGAGCTGGAGAATGAAGCCCACCGTGTGATCAGCCTCCTCCAAGCAAGCCAGGCTCTGTACCTTTCTCACAGCATCCAGGCACTGCAGCAGCAGCAACAACAACAAGAGCTCGCATTTAGTGGGCGAATAAAAAGTCACGATACCATTAAAATGTCTAATTCTTAAAGAAATTATGATTTTTTTAAAGAGAATAGGGTGGCTGAAAAATAAGACTTTTTTGGTCACCCTGTCCAAAGCGCCCCTCACGCAGAGAAATGTCCCACTGCAGCTTTGTGAAGGACCATCTCTTTCCGCGTCCCCATTGAATAAAAACTCTGAGGGTGGATGACTCCCTGAATGGATTTACATCAACATGCTGTCAGAAACCACGAGGAGAGTGAGAGGCCCTGATACACACACCAGCATCTTACACCACCTAGTGGCCTGGACAAACCCCCTGCAGTCTCCCAGCAACCCAGCCTATTCAGGTGTCCTCCCTTCAGTTTTAAAGCTCTCGCATGTGCTGTATCTGTCGTGTTAAAGCTCTTACATACACACACTGTACCTGCAGTATTTAAGCTCTCACGCATACACTCACACGCGCACACATACACTGTACCGGCAGTATTAATGCTCTCTCACACACACAGTACCTTCAGAATCCGCTCCTGATGAACTCCAACAAAGTCCAAAGCCTCCGGCAGGAAGTTGTATCGCAGTGTTTTCAGGAGCCGCTCCATCAGGGACATGGAGAGGCAGTAAACGCCCAGCCAGGACGGGGCGTCCTGTGACTTGCGCGCGGTCCCCAGAGTCTGGATTGCAGCGAGGAGAGAAACGCTAAAATCAGAACCGTCACACACAACACTGTCCAGAGGTTCAGACCACGGTACGGGACCCCTCGCCCCGAAAACCAAACCTCCCCAGGCCTTGCCTTCCACCCCCGGCACTCACCTGAGCAGCCCCATTGGTGCTGAACTGGTAAACGCTCAGTAACTGCAGACAAATACTCTGCAACACGCCCGCTCCTGCCACTGCCCCAGCGCCCTGCGAACACATACCACACACAACAATAATAATCCCTGCATTTGATACAGCGCCTTATCACGTCTTCGAGACGTCTCAAAGCGCTTCACAGGATATACTGTAAAGTGCAGTGACTGAGTATTTTGTGGGGGAGGGAGGGGGGTGGAAATATCGGGAAGGTTGTAGGTCGGGTCCACAAGCGAGGACATCCACATGAACTTGTGCAACCAGAGCAGCTGGTGCCCTCCCTCCCTGTCTCTTCCTAAGCACCAGCTGGCTCAAGGGTGGGGGTGGGGGGCTGAAGAGTAACACAGATTATGAAAAGTCACAGTGAAGCCATCGCTAAGTGTTGGTTGCTGCACATTAAAGCCACTAAATAATAACAACAATAATAATAATCCTTCCATTTGATATAGCGCTTTTCACGTCTTCTAGACGTCTCAAAGGGTAAATAAAATTAAGTAAAAGGGTTTGAGAAGCACTGGCGGACAGTGCTGGAGCTGGGGACGAGCTGTTACCCACCTGCGCAGTTTTGGCCAGCGTGAGCAGTAGGTGTAGGGAGGCCTCAGCAAAGTGTAGGTTCTGCTTGACCCGGAGACTCAGCTCTAAGGTACTGAACATGGTGAGGAGGACAGGAATCTTCCGGGTGATCAGGTACAGCTGGTCGCCTTCCTGGTCCATTTCACACAGCTCCTTGGCCAGGAACAGAGCGAGCACGCACACCTGGGGAGGGAGCACAGAGAGGTGGGTTACAGAACAGCGATACTGATGGCACGCTATGAGGTTTTGGCTGGTTAGACGCCAGCAGTTACCCCCAACGCACACTCTGGGCTCCCCCACCCCCAAGCCTTGGCTCTTGCCAACCTGCGCCTAATACTTTCTGGGATTAGGTAAGCAGGATGCATCCCTCCAGAGAGTGAGAGAGAGCGCGCATCCCATTCCAGCAATCTATCTCTGGGATTTCCACTTGTAGGCGGGATGCATGGAATTCTCAGTTGGGTTTGGCTACTCTTAAACATGGTGCGACTCTTAAACCACATTTGTGTCAAGACATCCAGCTGACCCCAAAAAATTACAGAAGGGTTCGTGCTCTCTGCGAAACATCTCTCAGCGCTTCAAATTACTCTCTGAATTTGCTCCAGGAGCCGAGACACCGATCTAATAATAATAATCCTTGTATTTGATATGATCGACCCCATCTTTGGGTCGTGCCTGAAGACCATACTCTTTGACAGTGCCTACGGTTACCTCCCCCAGCCCCCCGGTTTGGTGTGGTGATTTGCCACTGTCCAGCGCCCTGGAACGCTACCCTGGGTGAGAAGCGCTACATAAATGCAAGTTGTTGTCGTCGTTGTGACATCTCAAAGCGCTTCACAGAATATATTGTCAGGTGAATTGACTGTATATTTTGTGGGCGAAATATACCGAACAATATTATGGTTCTTACCCCATCTTTCTGGTCTCTGTGCTGTGTCCGGGGAGGACAGTCGGTCTCCATACTATCCTTGTCGTCCACCAAGCCGGGGTCTCCTGTGCTCAGCGCCCGGTGTGTCTGGTCCAGGAGCACAATGGCCTCGTCCTGCACCGTCTCACACACAGTGAGGAGCAGCTGGTGGTACTGGGGGCAGTCATTTACTGATCGGTGCAGGTACAACAGGAGACACAGGGAGTGAGTGAGTTGCAGGCAGTTACTCAGCTAAATTAATCCTTGCATTTGATATAGCGCCTTATCACATGGTTGAGATGTCCCAAAGCGCTTCAATGAGTATACTGTAAAGTGTAGTGACTGGTATTTTTTGTGGGTGAAATGCGGCAGCCAATTGGGCATGGCGGTGTCCCACAAACAGTCGTGGACTGAGGGACCACATAATTATTATTTTTTTTTGAAGGTATTATTAACCCCGGAAAAGCGATCCCCCAATTGACTAATCGATATAACAATGGACAAATTGATATGTTTGTGTTCGGCTCAGTAGAGATCCTCTATAAATACACAGTAACGATTATTTGAGAACAAAAACGAAACTTACTTTTGAGAGGCTTGATATGAAGAACAGTAATGATGGACGAGAATATTTTGCCCTTTGTCCCCTCCACAAGGTGCTGGGCAGCCTGTGACAGGCTCTCCAGGATCTGGCCCAGAGGTTCCAAGATATTACACACCTGGACAACAATGCTGAGAAGAGGAAAACACAAACATCAGTTGGAACACTAGATGCTAAGACTCCAGCAGTTATCCCAACGCACAATCTAGGCTCCCCCAAGCCCTGGCTCTTGCCAACCTGTGCCTAATACTCTCCGGAATTAGGTAAGCAGGATGCATCCCTCCAGGGTGGAGAGAGAGAGCACACCACACCATTCCAACAATCTATCTCTGGGATTTTCATGTGTAGGTGGGATGCATGGAATTCTCAGTTTGGTTTGGAGACTCTTAAGCAACGGTGATGGGTTTCCCCCATGCGTCAGACACACGTTTCAAAGCGTTTCACAGGATATACTGTAAACCGGATTGACTGTGAATTTTGTGGGCGAAACGTAGCAACCAACTGCGCACAGCAATGGATTGTGTGATCATTTTGTTTTGTGCAAGAAAGATGATGGTCCGGTCTCCTACCTTTTCCATTTCTTCAGGAGGATGAGCAGCAGTGTGGCCAGCATCGAGCCCACTCGCAGACACGGGATAGAGGACGGCACCAGCAACTGAACACATAAATAATAACAATTAAAATCTCAAACCTTTCAATCGTGTTTTAACACACAGACAGAAGCACTAACTACACACACACTACATACACAATACACACCCAAACTACACACGCGCACACTAAAAACACACTATACACTAAACTAACTACACACACAAAAACTCACCAAAGCTTTGGTCCCTTCCAGAACATCATGGAGCAGTCGCAGACGGAGTGAATCAGTCATGGGCATCACCTCCACCTGGAGAACAACACAACTCAGCAAGAAGCACAAGCAGCAGCCAAAAGGTGCATACAAGCTTATATTCAATCATACAGAGAACCTGCTCCCAACTCCACAGATGTATATATATATATATCTATATAATCTAAAACCTTTGATATAGAACCCTTACGTTGCAACGTCGCAGAAACCTCACCGAAACAATCTGCTGCCCTAGTGACTGTATTCATAGGCGAATGCAACAACCCAATTTGCGTACAGCCACATTCCACAAACAAGCATGAATCAAATGACGCATTTTCTCTTGGGGAATGTCAGTTAGGACACCTGGAGAAACTCCCTTCTCTTTTCGAATCACGGCACAAGTTCTTTTTTAAATATTCAGCAGGCAGGCACCTGACTTAACGTCATCCGAAAGACAGTACCTCTGACAATGCAGCGTTCCCCCCAGCAATGCACTGGAGAGTCACCTCAAGCTTGACCTTAAAGTCCCACGTGGGCTTCAAATCCCCACCTTCTGACTCAGGGGCGAACGCCCTATCGACTGTACAGTGTGTCCAAAGTCCTGTTACTCCCCTTTTGCAGAACACTGATACGAGACTATGGAGGAGCTGAAACAATCTGATAGAGATGCTTTTCGCCTCCTCACTCACTCCATCCATCCATGTTACAGAAGATGGGGCACCGTACACGGCGACAGATCTGCCATGAAAATGATGGCGCTCGCACTCACACACTGATCCTCTGGACAGTCTAAATACAGTTAAACACTTGAACTGAATACAATTAAGTAGGTTTTAAATACAATTATCATCATCCTTCCACACGTTTAAGTGCTTTGTGAGTCGCTGTGTACAAAAAAAACACATGGAGGTAACAGGATTTTGTGGACAGACACCCTGTAGAATGGCAGCCAGGCTCTACGCTTCCACAGCAGGGTCCTTACATAGCTGGTGGCCAGAATGAGAAGCATCCTCCAAGCAGAGATCAGCATCTGGTACTCGACCACTGTAGAGACGCCCTCGCCCTCCACCTCCGCCATGTGTGTCACCAGCGAGCGGATATATTCCGACCAATATTCGTAACGTTTGTTATCGTGGAACCTCTTGAGCGTGTGCTTCAGGGACTGGTCCAGTGAGCCTCTGGAAAGGAACGTCACAAATTAGAGAGTCCGAACTTTGTTCTGCTTGTCGAGGACGGGGGGTGGTGGGGTGTCAACGTTTATTTTATATACACATGGCCCTGATGTAAGGGATCGATTAATTATAATATAATGATAATCCTTACATTTGATATTGCGCCTTATCACGTCTTCGAGACGTCTCAGAGCGCTTCACAGAATGTACTGTAAAGTGAATTGATTGTGCATTTTGTGGGCGGATTAAAGATAAGAGCTCCACAGAATAATTAATGAACTGGTCACTGACTTGTCAGCTAACAGGGCGAAAAAGAGAGAAAAAAAGAGAGAGAGAGTGAAAAAAACACAAGCAGCCAGGAATCTCAACCAACAGCTCACTCCACTGGAGCCTGCAGAGCTGGTGAGTCTTGTAAACTGTCACGAAACACAAAGTATCGGCTGATGAAAGATGCCGTACCTGACAACGTTGTAAATCTCCAAACAGATGATTTTCATGATGAAGGCACAGGTTTCTAGAACACTGGTCTACAAAGAAAAAAATATATAATTTAATCAATTGCTTCATAAAGCTCTGGCAAACAGGACGGAATAATACAGGTGAATCAGAATCCTTACCGAGTTTTTAATTATCATATATTTTTTTAAAAAACAATATAGATAGTGTGCAGCTATGACAGGAGATGTCTTTGATCACATCCGTGAAAGTTTTTATCATCGAGTTGATATGTGTAAACGTCTACATGGCATTGCCACTGTGAAGACTCTGGGACGCTACCCTCGTGAAGGGCGCTATTTAAATGCAAGTTGTTGTTGTTGGCAGTTTGAACATCTCATATAGCCCATAGGAGTAAAGACTTTTGAGTCACCCTGTATAAGAGAGTGTCACAGTTCCAGAAAAGGCTAGAGGCTGGAAAGCAACAAGCGAAGCTGAGTGACATTTCACCACAAAGTTATATTGTTTTGCCCACAAAAACAGTCCCTACACTTTACAGTGTGGCGTCTCAAAGACGTGATTAGGCACTACATCAAATGCGAGGATTATTATTGTTCATTTCTTCATAGGACAGAGAATATCCTTTTCCTTTTAGAAATCACACATTTCTGTGCTGAGTTGGCTCCGAGTTCAAGTCAGGACGACAATAGCACTAATTGGCCTGACACTGCTTGGCCCGGGAGAGGAGAAAGAAAATCTACCCAGGATGTTGCTCCCCATCACTGTTGTTTCAGTGTCCCCTGTCAGAGACCGTATGTGGAATATCCTCCACACTGGAATATCCAGGCGACTTCCAATTATTCCTGTACGAAGAGCAGCCACACTGTTAGGGTCCCAGTGGGACTGACCCCCACTTCATGTGTCAGACAGCACCTTCAGCAGAGTCGAGTGAGTAAAGTCCATACAAACCTCTGTGATATCAGAAGGTACAGGGAGGGTTCCAAACAGTACGGTGGTCAAATTCTCCCAGAAACGGTCCCTGCAAAAATAAACATGTGAAAGTAGTATTCAGTTCCCGGTTTGTGAATACGAGAAGGTGGAATAATCCTTGTATTTGATATAGCGCTTTTCACATCGGGAGGACGTCCCAAAGCGCTTCACAGAACACACTCTGAAGTGAATTGACTGTATATTTGTGGGCGAACGCGGCAGCCAATTGCGCACAGCAATGTCCCACAAACAGTCGTAGATTGAAAATGACCAATTTATTATTGTTTTGGATGTTTGGAGGGATTATTAATGCACAGCCGGTGAAGTTGGGGCCTTTGCTGCCTTTATATGATTCAATGGGCAAGGTGAGTTGAGGGGAGATCAATTAACCAAATTTTCTTAAAAGCGAACGGGTCAATAGAAAGTGGAGTCCTGGAACCGAGTGGTTAGGGTGCTCGCCTCGCAAGCGAGAGACCCAGGTTCGATTCCCTTGCGGGGCGAAACTTTAGTTTCCTCTGTGTACCTAGCAGTAAGTAGGAACCCGTTGTTGGATCGCTTTCCGGGGAGTGATTATCCCTTCAAAAAAAAATGTAGTCACTCAACCCGACGACTGTTTGCGGGACACTGCTGTACGCAATTGGCTGCTGCATTTCGCCCACAAAATACAGTCAAACCATTTTACAATATATTCTGTGAAGTGCTTTAAGACGTCTCAATGACGTGATAAGGCCTGCCCTTCACCGTCCCTGATCCCAAACCCCAGCTTGGGTCGAAATCCTTGACTGTCCAACACCTTGGGATGTCCTCCCGACGTGAAAGGCCATATGTAATTTTGGATTGTAGTGCGCTGTATCAAATGCAAGGATAATTTTTTTTAAAGTAAAAGCAAAAGGCCATACTTGTAGCGAAGGACGGTCATGGCGCTGTCCCTGCGATCCTGCCACAGGGCATGGAGGAAGGCGATGGCAGCGCGGTGTAGGAGTGGCGGACACCAGTACTTCCCCTGCTGCTTGGAGTCGATCAGTTCTAACACCACCTGCAGACAACTCCACTCGCCCAAGATAAACTCCTGCAAAAGAACAACCATTCACCATGTTAAACTCCAGGTTGTGTGTGTGTGTGTTTTTTTTAAAACCAACCAAAAGCTTCATCCACGGACAGGTTCTCACCTTCGAGCCAACCGTGCCATCTTTCACCTCCAGATTAAGGAAGAGCTCAATCAGACCGGGCTGTGTTTCCACAGCAACAGTTAAAAACTCCAGGATCATTACTTTAATCCGCATGTCCTACAACAATAACAACAACAAATTACATTTGTATAAAGCCTTTCACTTTGGGAGGACGTCCCAAGGTGTTGGACAGTCAGGGATTTGGACACCAGCAGAGGTTTGGGATCAGGAGGGGTGGACGGCAGAGAGGGTAGGAGTAGGAGAGTGACCAAAGCTGCGGTCGAAGAGGAGGGTCTTGATATGTGTTTTGAAGGAGGCAAGACAGGGAGCAAGGCAAAGGGACTGTGGAATAGAGATCCAAAGGATGGGGGTAGAGAAGCTGATGGTAGGGCGGGGACGTGGAGCAGGCTGGAGCACATCACGGAGAACATCAGTTAGTAACCATTTATTTCTTTGTCCCTCTGACAACTTCATTTCAATCATTCATTCACAAAACTTGTTTCTACATCCAGTCATAAACTGTCTCACACGTTTTGCTTCAATCATTCTCAGCAGCTGACAACAGGTCACAGCAGGAGAGGATACTGACCTCGGTCTTGCTCTGCAGACGGTTGAGGAAGGCATCGCGGATAGCAGCAGCGTCTCCGCCCAGGCAGGCGTACACCGACATGGGTGCCACCTGCACAAGCACAAGGGAAGGATTTGATGTAGGAGTTCACACCCCCCCGAGGCCACTGATCTCTGCCTCGTCACCCACCACTTCTCCCTCACTGCCTCAGGCTCTCACACTTTGTTACATTTCTTAGCGATCGTTCACAGTGGCTAGTTGGAAAGGAGCTGGGCTACAGTATTCAACATATTCTCCTTAAAGATCTGTCAGGCATGTGTAGTTTCAAAGCAGCACCGTTAAGGGTAAAGTAATTGTTAGGTAAGGGTATCGATGGATATGGAGCAAAGGCGGGTAAATGGAGTTGAGGTACAGATCAGCCATGATCTAATAGAATGGCGGAACAGGTTTGAGGGGCTGAATGGCCTCCTCCTGTTCCTCTGTTTGCCGCCTACCTCTTCAAACGAGTGAGCTCAAACCGGGATTACACGTGCAGGTATTGGCACAAATGAAACTCTGCCTCCCGGTTTAACGCCTACCACACCGTTCTACCAGTCTTCAACACTATTCTTTCTTCAGGATGCCAAACGTACGTGCAACTCTTTCTAAACGGCAAGGTACTGGAGAAAATAAAATCAGCGTTATGCAAATCCCCGGTATCGGGACACAGCCTCGCTAGCTGGGGAATTAAATTACAAACTCACGGTTGCGAGTCTCTTCAGCAGCTGTATCGCCAGACGGGGCAACGCGGGGTCATGTGTGTGGTAGATATACTTGGCTAATACTGCGATCAGGTTGTTGCCGTGGGCACCTGAAATAATAAGACCAGGGTCAAATGAAACCACAAACCTAGAAAAGGTGCAAGTTCATCATAGAATCAGAGGATGCTACAGCACAGAAGGTGACCATTTGCCCATGGTGCCTGTGCCGGCTGTTTGAAAGCGCTACCCAATTAGTCCAACTGCCCCCAAAGCCTTGCAAATTTAATCTTGACAAAGAGAGAGAGACACACACAAGAGAGAAAAACCCACAAATCCCAACTCACAATCACTGCCAACATAGCTGTCAGTAGCATTCTCTCCCCTCACCAGGTCAGGAGGTTGTGGGATTCAAACCCGACGTTGGGACTTTGAGAGTATAATCTCGGCTGAACTAGGACAGTGGTGGGAAGCGCTGCATTGTCAGAGGTCGCACATTCTCTACCATGTAAGACGCTAAACCGAGACCTCATCTGCCTATTGAGGGGGATGTTGAAAATCCTGCAGCAGATACTTTTGGAGAAAAGTACTTGCCTACAGACCAATTACTATACTATATAGGGACAGCAAATCCCTATGGAGCACTCTGAAACAAAAGTGCTTTGTTCACTGCGGGTATAAGACACCAAGGCTGTGCAACTAACAGAAAGGTAGGGTTTTCTGATCAAGGTGCAATTACAACAGCAATAACAACTTGCACCCTTCACACAGAGTAGTGTCCCGGAATGCGTTTACCACAGTGATCACTTACCATGCTGTGTCAGGGACTGTTCCAGAGGAGACACCAGCTCCGATGGGGGCTTCAGTCTAATGACGTTGTTAGTGACAGAAAACGCAAGCTTGATCATCTGGGTGAGGGTCTGACCCGGTCCTTCTGATCCACCGCTGCTTGTGAGGATTTGGAAATTGGTTGAGGAGGGCAGGAAGTGACAATTTAAAACAGACGTATCTCTAATAGTTAAATAATCCAGGATGACACACATTTACTGAAGAGTAAAGAATGACTGTTATAACACTAGGTGCTTTAGAGCGAAATAAATGTCACTTTATTTTCTATTTCTCTGCCACTCCCCAGTTAGTAATAATCCTTGAATTTGATAAAGTGCCTTTTCATGTCTTCGAGACGCCTCAAAGCGCTTCACAGGATATACTGTAAAGTGAATTGACTGTATATTTTGTGGGCGAAACAGTTAACCTCCTTGCAGGAGCCACGTGCAGCCAGACGACTCTGGGAGGAGGGTAAGGTCTGTCAGGGTTGCTCTCTTAATCACAGGCAACTATTAATGCTCCAGTTTTGATCAGTTACCTGCTTGGCTGTGCTGCCATCACCATATCAATGGTGTCCACTCCGATAGCCATAATATTAATCACCGCTTGGCCTGCCTCGGTGTTTGCCAGGCTGTGGATGCACAAAGACTGTAGACTCGGAGAGCTAGGATATGAAGCAAAATTCTTAGTGATTCTGTATTCAAACTATTACAATAATTACAACAACGAATTACACTTGTATAGCGCCTTTACATGGGAAAGACATCCCAGAGGGCTGGACAGTCAGGAGTTTTTGGACCTAAGCTGGGAGTTAGGGCCAGGAGGAGTGGAGGGCAGGGGGTGTGGGGGTGGGAGAGTGACTGATGTCATGGTCGAAGAGGAAGGCCTTTAGTTGGGACTTGAAGGAGGCAATAAAGGTGAGGCAGAGGGATTATATTCCAGGGTGAGGGGGCAGAGATGCTGAATGTCTGACCGACAATGGTGGGGTGGGAAATGCAGGGGACCTGAAGCAAGTTGGTGTCCGCCAAGCGGAGGGAGCGAACAGGCTGATATGGGGTTAGGAGGTCGGAGAGGTAACACTATCTTTCCGAAGTGAAGTACAGAATTAATAAAGAACTTCCATTTTTATAGCGTTTTATCACGTCAAAGACATCTCAAAGAACTTGGTAATTACAACAACAAATTACATTTGCATAGCGCTTTTTACATAGGGAGGACGTCCTACGGCAGTGGGACTGTCGAGTGTAGTGACTGTTTTTGTAGGCAAACCAACAATAATTTATAAAGAGACCAATCCGGTGACAGCATCCTTAATGTCCACCCAAATACGCAGACGGACCTTGGCTTAATGCCTTAACCCGAACGACAGCACATCCAACAACAAACCGCGAGACTATCAGCCCGGGTTTGTCAGCTCAGAGTCCCGACGTGGGTGCTAGATAGAGGAACGTGAGGAACACCCACCTGCCTTGCGAAACGCCCTCGGGACTCAGATTAAGGATAGCATGAATAAGTTCAAGAATAAGACAACCTGTAAACAAGAAAAATGATATTAATTCAAATCAACATTCAGCATCCTTACTTCCAGAAAGACATATTCCGTTTTACCCAATTTTAGCAAGAGGGAGTGGGGGTGGTGGGGGCAAAAGAGTATTTGATCTCTCCATGGTCTCTGCACTGCTTCCGTCACAGCTACTGTGCGCGGTCATCACAATTCAGCCCTGTTACGGCTGCTAATTCAGGTGATGACATGATAAATGCCTCTCTGCTAAAGGTCTCGGCGAGAGCAAGAGTCATTTGTTGCTGCAGACAAAGCAAATTACCCAGATGTATTGTGCTTGCTCAGCATGCCCCGGACTTTAATAAACAAATCGCTTTACTTTACTGGCTGCGGGTTGTGATAGGAGAGAGACATCCTACTGCAACAGCAAATGAAAATTCATGAGGCATTGCCCTGTCTGGGAAAGTTGGTTCCGAAGAGCATCCAGAACGCGTGGAATCTGGTAAGTCGTAGTGCTGTGACTGCAACACCTCACCACAGCACTTCGCCAAGGCAAGACCGGGGGTGGGGGAGAGAGACAGGAGAGTCGAATGTGTCCACATCACTATCACAGTTTAAGTTTACCATTTGAAATCTTAAACATACTGTCTGAATAAACTAATGTAACTAATGTAATGTAATGGACTGAGTCCATAGCTGAGTGAGGCACTGTTGCAGAACGCCGTTTAAACATACACGTTCTTTGTAAGCTGCTTAGACTGAGCTGCTCAGTCACTCCCCTACCCCTTCCCTGCCTGCCCCCCACCCTCCCTAATCTCAACCACCCTCCCCAGCTCGGGTCCAAATCCCTGACTGTCCAGAGCCCTGGGACGTCCTCCCAACTTGAAAGGCGTTGTGTAAGTGTAATTTGTTGTTGGCGTTGCTTTTGCTTATAGAGCAACAGCTACAGAGGACTCGAGGAGTGTCAATTCAATACAAAATGACATTTGTATAGCACCTTTCACATCGGGAGGAGGTCCCAAGGCACTGAACGTACAGGAGCTAGGAGCAGGTTACAATCTTGCGCAGGAAGCCTTACCAATCTGCTCCCGCAGTCCATAGGTATTGTATCTCCACTTGTGATAGCTCGGCAGCATTTCTTTTAGTACAAAGAGAACACAAGGAGTCAGACCGGAGTTCTGAGTGCTCCCCAGCTGCCACTGTTAAAAAAAAAAGGATTAAAAAAGTCTGTCTCCTCTCACAATCAATACGCTGGTCGCACACATAAATCTTAGTAAGGGTGTCACTAGCTGGAACAACTGAGTACCCTTGGCCCATGAATTTGCCTGTGTGGTCGTGTTGCTAGCCTGTGTCCTCTGCATATTAGACAATAATAATCCTTGCATTTGATATAGTTCCTTATCACATCATTGATAAGTCTCAAAGCACTTCACGGAATATACTGTAAAGTGGATTGACAACAATAAATTGCATTTATAGAACACCTTTCACGTTGAGAGGATGTCCCAAGGCACTGGACAGTCACGAGTTTGCACCCAGGGGGGGGGGGGAGACGGCGGGGGGGCTTGGGTGTAGGGTAGGGAGGGTGGTCAAAGGCACAGTCAAAGAGGAGGGTTTTCACATGTGCCTTGAAGGAGGCAAGGGAGGGAGAGAGGTGCAGGGAATGTGGGATGGAGTTCCAAAGGATGGGGGCAGAGTGGCTGAAGGCCTGACCGCCAACGGTGGCCCGCCCGGTCTGGGGACATGGAGCAAGCTAGAACCTGCTGAGCGGAGAGGGCAGACAGGTTGATAAGGGGTTATGTTAGAAAATAATTCTAACAGTTAATAGGTCACAAGAGGTCAAATCAGTTTCTTTCTCTCCCACCCCGCCCCTCTGATGGTTGATTGTGCTGCAATCACTGAGCAGTAAGTTCAGGCTAGAGGCAGTGTAGCCTGTATTGCGCTCTGGCCTCCTGCAGTGGTGCTTACCTTGACGAGGGTGGTGACCAGGCGGAGGAATGCCATGGTGACGGTGTACTCTCCGTGCGGCCTCTCTATGCTCATCAGCAAGTTGCCGTAGTTGCCGGCATGCATTCCTTCGGTACTGCCAGGACAAACAACAGGATCAAATCTCCGGGACACAATACAACAAGAGAGGAGACAAAACAATCACGAGGCAAACCTCCTCTTAAAATCAGAGCTAATCAACTCACAGAGCTGAAAGAGTCTTAAATGCAGTATGTTTCCCCACAACACTCTCTGAGCTCCACTCTTTGTGGTTGTTCAAGACATTTACAAGCAATTTTGCCTCTTGCATCAAATGGTGCTTTATTTCCTCACCGCTAGAAGCTTCTGTACATTTTCCTGTGATTGCAATATAACCCTTAATTTAAACCAAGGCTTTTTTTTGCAAACCTAAAGATCACAGACTGTACTCTTCCAAAGTACTTCTTCCAAAGAGCCAGCAGAGGCACAATGGACCGAATGGCCTCCTTCTGTGCTTTAATATTCTATGATTCCATGATTCAAGTAACCTAAAAATGTGATCCGACTACTACAGTAACCAGCACAAAATAGTCAAGAAAACGTTGTGTTCCACTAACCTGATAGACTGGGCGAAGCCTGTGATTGGAGCGGCTGAGAATGGCAGAAAGCCCGTGTGCTGTAGGTCTGCCCACACCTGACACACAAAATGGACATTTCTATCATACAATTTTGAAGTAAAAGCACGAACAGCGCTCAGTGCCACAATGCTTGGTGACAGGAGTACAACAACAACTTGCATTTAAATAGCACCCCTCACACAGGGTAGCGTCCCAGAGTGCTTGACGGTGGTGGAGCATGATGTAATACACACCCACTGCGCCTCACACAGTTAGTCTCACAACCAGGGCACTTTCTCAGAGAGAGGAGGAAAGGGGGAATGATAATACAGGTGGATGTGCACCTCGGCTAAATTCATGCACTTAAGCGATCCGCCCTTTCAACCTCAGAACAAATGTGTGAAAATAAACACTTCTGCATATTACGCACCAGGTATAAACCCTCCTGAAAAACAAGAGCAGTTTGAGGCTTCCGTGTGAGTTTGTCATGAGTAATATCTCAGGATCCAATATATAGTTTGAGATATACACTGTGGGCATCCTGCCCTCCACAATGCCCCCTGCTGAGCAATGTGCATGCGACTGCCAGGATTGTGGAAGGCCAACTGGATGGACCTGGTCTTCTTTCATCTAGCAAATTCTTAGGATCTTATGTGATGTGCCAGGAAGCCTGTTCTAGTTCCGACCGAACAAAAACAGCACCGAGGCTTACCTTAGCCGGCATCCGAGTGGCCAAAACAGTGAGACAGTTTACACAGGATGCAATCAATTCCATCGGAGGGTTCATGACTGATGTAAGCCTGCAACAAGCACACACACACACCATCACTATGTCAGGGTGAAAAATAAAAGCCTCAATCTCCAAGTCTGATCATACAAAGGGACTAATCTGGTCCCATGAAGCATAGAACTGTGCAGATGGGGATAGTGATTTGCAGTCTAACTCCCATAAGATTTCTTATGCGTAAAGGTTGAACCCTCTCTCTCACCTTTGAAGCAACATGTACAGACGTGATGTGATTGGCAGCAGGCAATCTGTGATGGACCAATCTGTACTGATTATCTTGTGAACCAGGTTAATAATTGGTTTGACCCTCTGGCAGTGGTGAATAACATCTGGGCACACAGAGGAAGAGGTTTTTACCACTTAACACACAAAATTCTTCTGCACCAAAATAGGCTGATAAAGTTAAGGATAGGAATCTGCAGGTTACAAAAGACTCAAATTCTTCTCTCCACACTTACAAACCCTGGCTAAGTGGTAGCACTCTCACCTCCGAATCGGAAGGGGTTCAAGCTCCACGTCGGGACTTAGAATCACATAGTCTAAGCTGACGCTCTAATGCAGTGCTGGGTGTGCTGCGTTGTCAGAAGTGGCGTCCTTCAAATGAGAAGTTAAACCAAGCTTCCGTCTACCTGTTCAGGTGGATGTTCAAGATCCCACGGCACTATTCCAACAGATAAGGGAGTGTCACTCTCCCAGTGTGCTGGCCAACAATCCCCTGAATAAAATTGGTCACTAACTCCCTGGATGTTTGCGGGACACTGCTGTGCGCAAACTGGCTGCCACGTTACACCTGCATACAATATACAGTCAATCTACTTTACAGCATAAGCTGAAGTGCTTTGAGACGTTCCGACAATATAAGGCGTTATATCAAATGCAAGGATTATTATTATACATACACCACACACACACTGGTTGGGTATAGGAGCAAGTGGGCTTCACTCAAGACTTACCCACTGTTGAAACAACATGTAGCAGCATCTCAATTTCACATGTAAAGACTGTCCACGAGCTGTACGAATATTCCCAGCGAACAAGATAGCCCTGCCCTGCAGGCATCACCTGTCCCAGCACACCCTGTGGCATACGCAGGTTCGCCTGTCCTGACCCTGAGCAAGGAGAAAGCACAACACATTCACTGTAACTTGAATGTAACATTTCCCACTCTATGGACTTTCTCTGAACGTTCATGCCAAGGACACGTTGGGACTTGGAATCGCATAGTTTTAAGGTGATACTCGAATGCAGCGCTGTGGGGGGCTATTGCATTGTCGGAGGTGCCGTCCTTCGGATGAGACATTAAACCCAGGTCCCGTCTGCCTGTTCAGGTGGATATTAAAGATCCTATGGCACTATTCAAAAAGAGAGTTTCTCTCCTGGTATCCTGCCCAACAATCCCCCAAATAAAACTGGTCACTCACTCCATGAGCGTGACATTGATGTGTGCAAATGGCTGCTTTGTTTCGCAAACAAATTACACAGTCAATCCACTTTACAGTATATCCTGTAAAACGCTTTGAGATGTTCCTATATTAAAGGCAAGAATTATTATTCCTTATTTACCGAGTGGGTACAGAAGTTTGGGAGCTTGCCTCCTCCACAGGGTCTCATCTTCGTGCGACAAGACGTCGGGTGGTCTATGCTTGTAGAACACAGTGTAGCAGGACAACTTGTCCAAGAAATTGTAAACCTGTGAAGAAAGGAGACTTGAACTGAGCACAAACTCATTCAAACCAGGCGGTCAATGTTCTATGTGTGTCAAGCAAAAAATTGTACCATGATTTATTTTAACCAGAGCTCACTGATCAGCGAGCACTGTTTCAAAGATGCAATCTTGTGTTCGGTGTAATGTTCGATAAGGACCTGGATGGAGTGAGTGTGCGAGAGTGTGCGAGTATCGTCTCTTTGTTAAGCAGCCGATGTGGCAGATTCCAACCTTTTTGGCCGTGGATTTGTCTGATGCAAGGGCAGTGAGCAGCTGCAGCAGGGGGGCCATGGAGTGAGGAAACATCCCGCAGTTGTTGTCCAGAACGATTCGGAGACCCACTGTACGTTCCTGCACAAACCGAACAAAACAGAATTCACATCAAACGCTGCGTCGATCAGATAAAAAATAAGAACAAAACCAAATGGTGGTACTGAACTCTACAAGCTACTACAATAACGCAGTACAGGAGATAAAATCTACCAGAAACAGTAGCTGCTGCTTAAGTAGCATCAACAACATTTAGTCTGTGAGATTAATTTCTCATAAAATTTACAAACACGCAGAATTGTGGGAGGTTCATGAAATTCAGTCCCAATTTGGAAGCCAGTTTTCTGGCGATCTTAAAATTTTAAGGCAGAATGTTCTTACAGGCTAGGAACAGATGGAAATTCGGACGTCAGAATTCTGCACCACAAATGAACGAGCTTCTTTCAACAACAACAATTTGCATTTATACAGCGCCTTTCATGACGGGAGGACGTCCCAAGGCGCTGGATAGTGAAGGGTTTACACCCTGGAGTCAAGAGGGGTTGAGGACAAGGGGGGTGTGGAGGTGGGAAGATGACCAAAAGCATGGACGAAGAGGAAGGTCTTGAGATGGACCTTGAAGGGGGCAAGGGATATCATAAAATAATAAAAAAAGGTTATCTGTTTTCTTCAAACATTTGTTACGCACAGTTTCCCAGAAGAGTTCAGCCAGACTAGGAGCAGCCAGCACCTCACACACCACATCGATCAGGTGCTGGAGGAGAAGAAACAACCGATTAATAAACACAGAACATGAATAATTCACCAAAAAAATGCACCGTGTTCGAGTCAAGATTAACTGAAGAGGTATTAAATAAAGACAGAAAGCTCTACTGGTATGATTAATTATGCCTTGGCAAGCGTGAATGAACCTCTGCCTCACTGGGATTGCCCAGCAAGCAAAGCCTCAGCTTCACTATTCAATATAAAAGTCACTGCACCTGTTGGTCTCCCAATGTTTCTTCCTCAAACGATGTTAAGACAAACGACAAGAGCCCGTAAATACACATCCGAGCGGTGCTGGCTGTACACTGCAACACACAACACAGCCAAACAGTCATATGGTTGTCAGGGTTGGAAGTAGCCTTCCTGACGCTCTCGAGCTAACAGCACAAGAACTGCCTCAATACTTTAAATCACAGGCGTTTTGCTATTTGCCGTTTCCAGTTTGCAAACATGTTGGATTCTGATTTTTAAACAAACAAACAACAACTTGCATTTATACAACAGCCTTCACACAGGGTAGAGTCTCGGAGCGTTTAAAAGTGCCAGAACTTGACACCAAGCCGACGGCAGAGAGGGTGGGAGGGGAATCACCGAAGGCAGTCAGTCAAACGGCCAGCAAGTCAAATCAATCTGCTTACACAAGAGTCACTACACCCAACTTGCACTTATATTGAGCCCCTCACATAGGGCAGCGTCCCAGAGCCCTTGACGCAGCCTGAAGGCCGCTATTAAAATGATTTATGTAAACTTGGTAGAAACCTGCCACCTTCCCCATAGCACTCACGTTGCTTCCTCCACTCCCGAGTGCTTTCAGTAAACGTGTCATGTGCTGGAACGCATTCTGCTGGATGGCTGTGGTGCCCAGCCGCCTGACCAAGTGGCTTGATTCGTCCAGGCTGAGGGTGTGACGCAGCAGAGCCCAAGCCAGCAGCGCTGGGGCGTGGTGGGGTATATCTCCCAATGTCAGGAATAACTTATCCACCTCCTGTGTGTACGTGAGAGAGAGAGAGCAAATAGATAATTGCTAACAGTACAGTACTAGATACAAAGTGCCCCCTGTCTTAAATTCCCCACCCAGGTCAGCGTTTCAGTAACTGAAGCCCGACGCACTCACCTGGCACAGCTCACGAGCATTAGCAAACTGGTGCTGTTCCACTCGTTCCTCCAGAGCACATTTATGGAGGAAATCAATGTCCATTCCCTCCACCAGGATCAGCGTACTGAAATAACTGCGGAGAAAGCTCAGAGCTCAAATATCTGCCAGAGTCCAGTTTCCCTGCCCCGCTCACTCACCAACAGCACCCAATAGCCCTCTCTCCCACCCCCACCATAATCACTGACTCACAATAATGATAATCCTTGCATTTGATATAGCGCCTTATCATGTCTTCGAGGTGTCTCAAAGCGCTTCAAAGATTATACTGTAAAGTGAATTGACTGTATATTTTAGGGGCGAACCGCGGCAGCCAATTGTGCACAGCAGTGTCCCACAAACGGTCGTTGACCACTTTTTTTATTATAGTATTATTATAGTATTCCATCAGGCCCCCTTCCCCAACTCCCTCACCCAGTGTACCCCATACCCAGCACCTATCCCCCCGAGACACAAACCCATCCCGTTATTTCATCTCAGACTAACCCAATACTGTCAACCAGTGCATCCATGGTCTCGTCTATAAGATGTCTGTTCGTCTGCCGACGCCCGAATCCCTGCTCCTTAAATATCCGTGCAAAGGCCAAGAAATCTTCTGGGGCCATCTCGAAGTAAGCGTAATACAGGAAGATAATCTCCAAAATCAGGGCCTGCTCCCTCAGGCACTGCACAAACCAGCGGCACACTTGATGTTCTGACTGCAGGAATGCAATGGAGAAAGTGAATGAAAGATCAGTCCTACTAATGGAAAAGTTTCATGAGGCAACGGCGCTTCCCAAAACGGTAACTAATTTTTAATATGTAAAGCGTGACATATAAAAATACTTCACCCACAAAATACACAGTGACTGCACTTTACAACAATAATAATAATCCTTGCATTTGGTACAGCACCTTATCATGTCTTGAAGACGTGAATTGACCATATAATCTGTGGGCACAACACGGCAGCCAATTGAGCACAGCAGTGTCCCACAAACAGTCGCGGATTGAGTGACCAAATTCTTGTTATTTGTTACAATATTATTTATTATAATATACTCTGTGAAGCGTTTTGAGACGTCTCAACGACGTGATAAGGCGCTATGCCAAAGGCAAAGACTATTATTATTATAATTTTTTTTAAGTGAAGAAAAATCTAAAATAAAAATTACATACCATGAGATTCCCGTGGTTTCCCAGGTCGGAGCTTCAGCTCTGAACAATGCTTCAAACTGTTTGCGATAGTTTGAGACCAGTTCCTTCTCCAGTCTGTCCACACATTTGGAATATTCTCCCTGGGGAATAAAGACTCCATTTCACACCAGCACCCCAACATTTCCACAAATTATATCACTACTAAACATATGCCCGATTATTGTTATTCGGATAATGACATTGTTAATTATCCCATCAACATGAACAATAGATTCTCTTTTCCATTTTGCATTGAATGATTACACAGACAGAGTCTGTAATCATCACACATAAACTGCTAGTGTATTGATCAGCTTCCCAGTCAACAGAAATATTTATGAGCCAATACATTTTGCACTGATGAGTTAGAACTGCTGTGGCAATTTACTTGAATCTGCACGACAGCAATGGAAAATATCCGCTGATTACTAAATATTCAGCAAGCTACGACTATAACATTCAAAGGGAACTGGATACAGAGTTTGGTGGGCTAAATGTTCTCTTTCTTTGCTTCAAGGATTCTAAAATACATTGGAACACAAAGGAATAGGTTCCCACTTCCAAAATACATTTATTCAAATAGTTTATTATTTGCTCAGGAGTGCAGGTCAAAGCTTGGTGAAAGAGGTTAATTTAATCTCCTCTTCCAAGGAATAAGCGACTTACCCTGTAAGGGTGCCGTTCATCCTGAAAATAGGTGAGCAAATAAAGGACACAGCGCAGTGTGTAGAGTCTCTCTTCATAGTAGTAATCGGCAATCTGCGGAAAAGACAACAGCAAAGCATCGGTACAACACCCAGAACAAATCTACAGGTATGAGATCCATCTTGATCAGTCCACAATCATTAGCTTCCAGTAAACCAAACCACATGTTCTGGAATTAGGTAAGCGGGATGCATCCCTCCAGGGAGAGGGAGAGAGTGCGCATTCCACTGCAACAATATACCTCTGGAACTTCCATGGGTAGGTGGGATGCATAGAATTCTCAGTTGGGTTTGGATACTCTTAAGCATGAGGGGTTTCCATCCGTGTCAGACACTCGGCTGACCAAAAAAAAAGCACCAGATTTCAGCTTTTTATGGACAATTGACAAATATTTTTAATTCCTGCTGGACAAAGTCTTCACCAATGGAAGGTTGAATGCCCTTGTATCAGGGAGCAAGCAGGAAAATCGCATTAGATTTGGTGGCCCATTTGGTGAAGGATATGTGATGGGCCAAATGGGCTGTTTCTCTGGTGTACCATTCAACAATTCTACGTGTAACACTGATTCCTCGTGGAGAGAAGTCAGCAAATCTTTCCCCAGCAACTCCCCCGAAGCACAGCTCAGACTAGGCAGCAAGGAGTCAAACCCGAATCCTCACAATGACGCATCACTCACCTTCAACTGCAAGGCCTGGCTCTGCCTCTCATCCTCCAGTACGATCTGAAAAGAACAGGATACGGACAAAATTAACGGCTTCACCAAACAAATCTCTCGTTCACACTCCAGCGAGAATGTTTTATAAAATATCAGATTGTGAACGCAGCCACTTCATTTTAAATGCATTCACACTGTTGTAGCGGAGATGCTAAACCAGACCTCTGAGTCTTAGCATAGAGTCTGCATGTTAGAAACCCAACATAGAGCGGGTTTCACATAACCAAAAACAATTTACACTCCTCTCCATCCAGTTAGGATAAAACTGGTATGGAGTGTAGAATTTTGAGGGCGGAGCTAAAGACAATACATACCTTTATTGAGTCCCTAGTTCCTCTGTAGTCCTCTTGAAGGTACAACTGTAGGAGGTAAACACTCTGTTGCTCATCCAAACCCTGTCAAACATCAAGACACTGATCAATACAGCAGCAAATGCAGGCTGAAAGTGACAGAGTGTGCGTGCATGCATGTGTGAGGGGGCAGGGGGAGGGGGAAAACCAGCGTAATGATGGGCAGGGTCTAACCTGTTGCCTAGCTCCTAATGGAACTGTAAGACTGAGACTCACCAGAAGTTTGCTGACCCGAAGTCCGAGCTGCTTTAACGGTGCTGCCACTTCCTTGTCAGCCTTCAGTTTCTCTGCCGAGCACGTACTGCAAGAGAAAGAACCAGTTCTCACCACTGAGCCTTTAACGCATCCCCTATTCCCCCCCACTCCAGTGCCTGGAGACACCAGCCGACTTAGTCTAATTCAGAACAGCAACAGCCATAACATCAATTACTAATATTTTTAAATAAATCAAAAGTTGCCCAGGAACAAAAGATTCCTCCTACCACAAACAATCTACCGTAAACCATAGGAAACTTAAACATTAATAACTAATCATATTACCTTCATAAATAATCCCTCAAAAAACATTGGTCACTCAATCCATGACTGTGCGTGAAACGCCCATAAAATATAAAGTCAATTCACTTTACAGTATATTCTGTGTAACGCTTTGAGACATCTTAAAGATGTGATAAGGCGCTATATCAAATGCAAGGATTATTATTATTACAGGCAACCATCATTGTACTCAGAACAATTCCATGACACCTCTAACTACAGTTGTGAATTTCTGGCAAGTATCCCGGATGTGGAAAGTGTCAGTATTACCTGGGTGGTTTGTAGTAAGAGAGTCCTGCCAGTAGCCGCTCTAAATGTCTGTCTAATTCAGCCGCAACCTGAGCCTGAAACCACATTACAACAACAATTTATGTTTATACAGCACCTTCAAATTGGGAGGACTGCTTAAAACCATTCACACCTGCCATTTTGGTGGATAATTCATAAAAAATAAATCAAAATGTCACATTCCTATAGAATAATCCTTTCAAAAAAAATTTAAAGAATAATAACAATTTGGTCACTCATTCCACGATTGTTTATGGGACACTGCTGTGCGCAAGTGTGCGATTCGCCTACAAAATATACAGTCAATTCTCTTTACAGTATATTCTGTGAAGCGCTTTGAGACATCTCAAAGACATGATAAGGTGCTATATCAAAGGCAAGGATAATTATTATTATAATTAAAATAATAATAATTGTAAGCCAATGCTAGACCTTCATGACAGCATGTCAGCGTTCTAAAGAGTTCCATATCAGAAAGCTTTAACTCATTCAGACTTACAGGCTCCCTTAGTGCTGATCTCCCCAGTAAAATCGTCCACAGCTCTCGGCTGCTCCTGTCAACAGAATAGATGGCTCAACAGGCAGAAAATATCAATTGATACAGAATCAAACAAATGTCCATTGTGATCAGGGATTGTAAAATTGGGCTTCAATATTTCACTGATTTCATTGCTAGCGCATGAAAACACTCAATTATCACTGCATCACCAAATCTCAGTAATGTGACTTTAAACACAATTCCCTCAAAAATATAGTTATCTCATTTACACTGCTCAAAGTGCCCTATTAAAACTTATGGGTGTCAGCCTGGCTCAGTGGTCGCACTCTCCTCTTTGAGTCAGCAGGTTGTGGGTTTAAGCCCCACGTTGTGACATAGTCCAAGATGACACTCCAATGCAGTGCTGGGGGGGGGGGGGGGTTCATTGTCATAAGTGCCGTCCTTCAGATTTGAAGTTAAACCAAGGTCCGTTCTGCCCGTTCACGTGGATGTTAATTCCCATGGCACTATTCAAAAAGAGAGAGGAGTTTCCCTCGGTGTGCGGCCCAACAAATCCCCCATGTAAAATTGGTCACTCACTCCATGGCTGTTGAGGGAAACTGGCTGCCGCATTTCACCCACAAAATACACAGTCAATCCACTTTATAGCTGCCCTGTGGTGCACTTCAAAAGTCTCGAGGACGTGAAAAGTCACCGTGTCAAATGCGTGCACTATTATTTATTATTACAGTAAAGCAGCCCGAGGCATTAGCTCCGTGAATTATAGCTGCTCTTCGCCTCAGCCCAAGGAAATGTACACAATGTACCAGAGGGTGGGGGGGGTACGGAGGACAGATGAGGGATGGAGGAGGAGTTAAGAGAGATGAAACACAGTCAATTCACTTTACAGTATACTCTGTGAAGCGCTTTGAGACTCTCGAAGACGTGATAAGGCGCTATATCAAATACAAGGATTGTTACTATCGTCACGAAGGAGTGGTCCGGGATGACTTTGTCGCGGGCAGTGATGCCCGAGTCGCTGAGATCACCACCAGATCAGGCGGGTGGGTGGCATGTGGGGGGGGGGGGAGGGGAGGGGGGAGGTTGTGAGAGGAGAGGAGGGAGGTCTGGAGGAGGCCTTAAAGGGCTTCACAGGATTCACTGTAAAGTGTAGTAACTGTGTGCCAGAGCCCGGGTTGGTGGGAGGACTATACAGGTGGGGGGGGGGGGGGGCGGCTGCCAAATGGGCCGCCGGGATCGACCTGCCGAGGCCAAGCCTCAGCCGACGAGTGAGAGCGGCCTCCCCTGTTCTCTGCGGAGGCCCAGCCCGTGGCTTGAAGCCCGGGGTGAGGTGAGGGGAAGGCGGCCGCGGCCCACAGTGAAGCCCCGGCACCTGTCTCGGCCGTTTCTCGTCTCCCGCTTTTTACCTCACACACATCGCCGCCGCCGCCATTGCCGTCCCGCCTCACGTGACCGTTAGCGCCGGCTTCAAACCGCCCGCGCGTGCGTGCGTGCGTACGCGCTCGCTCGCTCGCTGACTCGCGCGCGCCCCCCTCCTCACGTGTCTCTGACGTCGGCCTCAACCCTCCCTCGCTTCAGGCCCCCCCCCTCCTCACGTGTCTCTGACGTCGGCCTCAACCCTCCCTCGCTTCAGGCCCCCCCCTCCTCACGTGATCCGTAGCTTTCCCAGACTCGCGCTTCGTGTCACGTGATCGCACCTTCCAACATGGCCGCCCCCGCGCAAGGCGACAGGTGCTGTGGCTCCTCTCTCTCTCTCTCTCTCTCTCTCCCCTCCGAGTGACCTTTGTCCCTCCTCCAGCGCTTTGACTTCCTTCAATTTTTTTCTTAATTCTCTTTGAAGGACGAGAGTTTCTGGTCCCGGGTGGGGTTGTTTTGAGCGCGAGGTGTGGGGGGTGAAACCCCATCATTTGCTTTGTTTCTTTTTTTTAAAAAAAAACCCCAAAGAGACAAGTTCACCCGATGGTTCACCTGCGCCCAACCCCCACCCCCCAACCCCACCCCCACCACCACTCGACGCTTCTTCTCAGGGATCCCGGCCTCGGCCGCCGCGGCTCCAGTCGTTTTACTGTCTCCCAACGTCTTGACGACACGTGAACTTGACGGGGAATCGGGTTTACAAGCGACGCCGTATACAACAACAACAACAACAACAAGATTCCATTTACAGAGCGCCTTTCACGTCGGGAGGACGTCCCGGGGCGCCGGACGGTATAAAACTTAAAAGTTCACAGGTCATTGTGAAAAAAAAATGTGTTTCGCCCACAAAATGCAGAGTCGCTCCACTTCATTCACAGCGTGTTCGGTGAAGCTCTTTGAGACGTCTCAACGAGGTGATGAGGCGCTGCATCAAATGCAAGGACTATTATATAAAAAAAGGGGGTCATCGACAACGGTAAAATTGCAGTTATCCGACTTTCGTGATTAACTTTTAAGTTTTTGTTTTAAAATTGTGTTTCAGATTGGACTCTGGCCTCGGGCTGTTCGGCTACGAGCAGCGGTGGAAGTTCTGATTTATTTTTTAAAAAAGCCGACGGGGAAATTCAACAGAACGTTTATCGACAGATAAACATCTCGAAGCAAGTCAATCTCAAAACTTTTCCTGGATTCCTAACAAAAATTTCTTTAGGGCTGTGGAGTTGAGAAGAAAACAACCGCAGCAATGCTGAAGAACCCGGTCTTCGTGGAATCCCTTATTGTGTTCGGTGTGGTGCTGTGCGTCCACGCTGTGGTGTGGAACAAGTTGACATGGTGTGTGCTTGCCGTGGCCGTTCAGGCCTACTATGTGCAGCACAAGTGGGACCGGCTGCTCAAGTCCGGCAATGCCGTTTTTCACTTCAGGCCGGCGTTGAGCAGTGGTGTGCTCCCAGCGAGCGTGGTGGTGCCTCTGCTCAGCATCGTGCTGAAGGAGCGCTGGCAAGTGGTTGGCAACGTGCAGTTCGAACGCTTCTGCTTGGTGTGCTCGGCCGCGGGGATGGCCATCGCTCTCTTCGTCTCCCTGCTGGCCCTTGGGCTCACCAAGCCCCTCCCCACAAACACCTGTACCGTGTACGGTTTTGCGGCCAGCGCCATCATCTACACCGTGAAGCATTCGCTCTCCGTCTCGGAGGTGATCGAGGTGCTGGAGGTGCTGCTGATCTTCGTCTATCTCTCGTTGATTGTCCTATACATCATGCCTCGGAGCTTCACCCCGGGTGAGGTCACCATCGTTCTGACAGGTCTGAGCGTCATCACCAACCAGCTCATCAAGCGTTCACTGAGCTTCGCGGACGGCAAGAGCGACCCGCTGGCCTCCTTCCTCCTGGTAACTGTGGTGGGGGTCGTGCTCTTGGGAATCGCTTTCACCATTTTCTACAGCTTCACCGACTCACAAAACTGGGTCTCGTCCTTGTCGTTCCACACTCTATCCGTCATCTTCGGCCTGGGCATCCTGGTGCCTTGGCTGTACCGGCTGACCAGGACGGACCCACTCAGTTGGCTGCTCGAGTTCCTCACTGGCACGAGAACCAGACTGGGCTTACTGACGTATTGGAGCGTCCTGGCTCTGGCCTCGTCCTTCATCGTGTGTTGGCAGAACGTGAAGCCAGCATCGGAGCAGGCGTCCACCGTGGTGAGGAAGAGCTTTCACCTCGTGATCGTGGCCACATTTGTCCCCGGCCTGATCTACGACCGCCAACTGCTGTACGTGGCCGCGGTACTCTGCCTCGCTGCATTGATTGTCTTAGAGTACGTCCGGTACTTCAGGATCAAACCCTTGGGAAACGTTTTAAGCCAAATCCTGGCTGTGTTTCTTGACAGCCGTGACTGCGGCCCCTTGATCCTGACCCACATTTACCTGCTCCTGGGGCTCTCCCTGCCCATCTGGCTCTTTCCGGGGGTGTTTCTCCCCAAAAGCTCTGTCCCCGGGGGCGTGGCTCTGGCTCCCTATGCGGGGGTGTTGGCTGTGGGGGTGGGCGATGCTATGGCTTCAGCCTTTGGGAGCACCATGGGAGAGTTTCACTGGCCTGGCACACGAAAGACCTTTGAAGGCACGGCCACCTCGGTGTTCGCCCAGGTGATCGCCGTGGCTCTCATCCTTATCTTCGACCGAACAGTGAACCTGAACAGCAGCTACGCCTGGATCATGGGCTCCATCCTCTCCGTCTCACTCCTGGAATCTTTCACTGATCAAATCGACAACCTCCTGTTGCCTTTGTACCTCTTCATCCTGCTGATGGTCTGAGTGAGTGAGTAGTGAGTGCGTGCGTGCGTGCGTGTGTGAATGCGTGGGTGGGTGAGTGCCTGCGTGAGTGAGAGCGTGGGTGAGTAAGTGAGTGAGTAAACGAGAGCCCGGCAAAAGGTCAGAGATTTGACTGACCATTTTTGTTGCCGCAGAGATTCTCATTCCGATCCCACTTGTTGGAACACGAGTTGTAGAATGAACACAAGGGCAACAGATAGTTTATAATGTTTTATACTTTACGGATTTATAAAGCAGCCCACGCCAGCGACTGACAATTTAGCCATTCTCCAATTTCATAGTCTTCATTTCGCTGAATTTGGAAGAAATGCAACAGAGGCTTACAACAACAACAAATCACATTTAAATAGCACCTTTCGTGTCACAAGGACGTCCCAAAACACTGTTTGTTGTTGTTGTTATTCTCCATGTTCATAGTCTTTATTTCACTGAATTCGAAAGAGATGTAATAGGAGAAAAGAAAAGAGGAATGTAGGGAAGGGGGTTAGGAAAGGTGAGGAAGGTAGACTCGTGTGGAGTATAAACACCGGCATGGACTAGTTAGGCTGACTGGCCTGTTTCCGTGCTGTAACAGTCCACGTAATTCTGTGAAGATACATTAATTTGATGATTGTTAGCAATTTGTGAAAAGCATTACTGCAAGGCTGCTGGCCAGACACTGGGGTTATGAGACTGGAGATGTTTCACGGCAACAACAACAAGATTCCATTTATTGAGCGCCTTTCACGTCGGGAGGACGTGCCAAGGCGCTGTACAGTTGGGTCAGGACCCGAGCAGGGGGGAAATGGTGAGGGGAGGGAAGGGAGGGAGCGAGGAGGGGGTAGAGAGTCGAGAGGGGAGCTGAAGGCACGGTCAAAGAGAAAGGTCTTGAGACCGGCCTTGAAGGAGGAAAGGGAGGAGGCAAGGCAAAGGCACTGCGGATGGAGTTCCAGAGCCTCGGGGCTGAGAGGCTGAAGGCCCGGCCACCGATGGTAGGGCGGTTGGGGCGGGGGATGTGGAGCAGACCGGAGCCAGAGGAGCGGAGGGTACGGGCAGGTAGGTAGGGGGATAGTAGGTCAGAGAGGTAGGAGGGAGCGAGGCCGTGAATGGCCTTGTAGGTGAGGGTGAGGATCTTGAATTCGATCCTCTGGGGGATGGGGAGCCAGTGGAGGCGAGCGAGGGGGCAGCTACACACAGACACTAAAACTGTTCCAGAACGTAATCACTGGCCACATGCACTGGCACTTGCCTTATCCCACTGCCAACCAGCAGCCTCGCAGTTTGGATTGTGATTAAACTTTTAAGGCTCCTTTTTTTCTAGTCTGTTTACTGAGATCAGATGCACTTCTCACTTTGAACGTTGTGCAGTGAAACAAGTCTGACTGCTCAGTTTGCTCTCTGGAATTTTGTCTTCTGTTTTCCCAAAGAAAATCTCTATCAACACAGTTTGGAACACATACAATGCACTGAAGATGTAAATTATCACACTGTTTGCATTAAATGTGAATGTTTGAATCTTGGCTTTAAATGTCTGATTGCTCTCTTTTCACAGGTTCCCCTCTCCATCTCCCTCCCACCAGCTGCTTCACCTCACTGGAGAGGGAAGCACTGTTTCTCTTCCCAACACAACCACATCTTTCAACACTTTCTGAGCTCCTCTCCCCTCTGTTGGCTGGAATATATTAATAATAATCCTTGCATTTGATATAGTGCCTTATCACGTTATTGAGACGTCTCAAAGTGCTTCACGGAATATATTATAAAGTGGAGTAACTGTATTTTTTGGGTGAAACACGGCGGCCGATTGCGGACAGCAGTGCCCACAAACAGTCGTGGATTGAGTGACCACATTTTTCTTTGTAGACCTTGGTTTTGACTGGAATGTTCTTGTAGTTAAATAACCACAACCTGACTCACTGTTAAGATTCACAATTGGGCAGTCATAGAACGGTCTCACTGACCCAAGCAAGGGTAGGGCAGATGTGGGAACGAAGAGGGCTTGTAGTATCTTGATAGGATGGGAACAGAAATCAATAACGAGAGGTTTAAAAAGTACCTGGAGCAGAACTGAACTCAGCAAATTTGCTGATAATGATTTGCTACAGAATTCGAACCAACAACAAGTAAAAGTCACAAGACCGTTTCGATTTATAATACTGACAAGAATAAAATAACATGCGGGACATAGGTTGTGCCTTTGGAGGTCAAAGATTGAGTGAAGACATTTGGCTGACATATCACCAGGATGTTTTGAGTTTAGATCGTCCTGACCGCTCCATACTGTGTTGCAGTGTCAAGAGCAGAGTCCGAGTATCACAAACCCTTAGGCACCTCAGTGCCAACTTCCCCAGAGAAAGAGAGAGATACACACACACACACTCAGCAAGAGAGTGAGAGAAAGACACACACACTGCAAGAGACACACATACACAGAGCAACAGGGAGAGACACACACACACACACCAAGAGAGACACACATACACAGATTAAGAGACACACAAAGATACAATCACCCTTGCACCACCAGGCAACAAACATCTCAGTTGTTTCCGCTTGAAAGGCAATCACTGTGGCTCGTGATATTCCGGAGAGCTAGCACTGAGCTACTGGTATTGCAAGGTTCGCCAGAAATAAGACTACCCAATACAGGTGGTGTGGATCACAAGTCTGTTGATATCATACACAATTCAAAGCTCAATGCTTTAACACATACAATTATTACATCGTTAAGTCACATTAAAGCAGTAAGAATTAACAAAACCGATATACAATTTCATTGGGGACGTCACTGACCACCAGCTGCCTCACAACTGTTGCTCCTACGATGATTCCAACCACTTTAGAGTTACCTGTCCGTTTACACCCTAATTTAGCCCACGTGACCCTTATAACCCAAAGATGGAGTCCAAAGGATGTTTTGTTTACTCATCTCCACAATGTATCCATCCAATCACCTTTCCTTATCCAAGGTAACTCCATAGGTTATCGGGGTTTAATCTCAGGCTGTTTGTCTGATACAAACTGTGAAAAGCTCAATTTGCCAGTTAATTATCCTTCCTTGACACCTTCACATCGAAAAATCCGGTCAAGGCAGTCGCTAAGGCATCAAGAGTTCAATTAATCAGGACATTGACCAATCCAAGTCCTATCACACATTACTGTCAGGGCCCAATCTAGCAACTAAGGAAAGGAATAACATCCATCCATCAAATTTTGATCAAACGTGTCACAGAACCCAAACACACAGACTTCGAAAGGAACTCTCCCTCACATTTGTTAAGATCAACCAAAATATCTTATCAATTCTTTTATATAAATTGAGTTATTAAACAGTGATTTTAGCAAGGATCTTATGCTATACAAATGTTATCTTGTGGTTGTATTAATTCTGGTGCTCGCTCTGCTGCTCTCGTCGTAAGGAAGGTTTTAAGTGAAGAGCAGTGGGAACGGCTGGTCTGGACTCGGCTGCAACCTGGAAACCAGAACAAAACAAGGATTGATCTGCTTCATCAATAATAATAATCCTTGTATTTGATATAGTGCCTTAACACATCTACAGGCGTCTCAAAGCGCTTCACACAATATAGTGCATTTTTTGTGGGCAAAACGCGGCAGTCAATTGCGCACAGCAGTGTCCAACAAACAATCGTGGATTGAGTGACCATTTTTAAAAAAAATTTTTTTGAAGGGTTTATTATTCCTGGAAAAAGCGATTTGCCAATCAACTAACAACCAGGTTCCTAGTTACTGCCAGGTAAACAGAGGCATGAGGAGTAAGGAAACTTGCCCAATGTTTCGCCCCAGCTGGGGATGAGCAGATACAGATTCCCACACCTTACATTAAACCAAATGACTTCACTGACAGAACCAGAATTATTGCTGCTGACTTTACAATACAATTTATATTTATACATTTATATATAGAAAACGAGGTGGGGAGGGGGAGCCCTGTTAATAAAAGATGATATAAAAACAATAGAGAGGAAGGATCTTAAGTCAGAAAATCAGGATGTAGAGTCAGTCTGGGTGGAGCTAAGAAACAACAAGGAGCAGAAAACACTAGTGGGAGTAGTTTATGGACCCCCAAACAGCAGTCACAGTGTTGGGCAGAGTATTAATCAGGAAATTAGAGGAGCATGTAACAAGAGTAATACAATAAGCGATTTTAATCTTCATATAGACTTGGAAAACCAAATTGGCAAAAGTAAATTATAGGATGAGTTTATGGAACGCATTAGAGATAGTTTTCTAGAACAGTATGCTGAGGAACCAACCAGGGAACAGGCGATTCTAGATCTTGTTGTGTAATCTTGAAGTTAAGGCTCCTCTAGGGCAGAGTGACCATAATATGATGGAATTTAATATTAAGTTTGAGAGTGATGTAGCTAAGTCCAAAACAAGGGTTAAACTTAAATAAAGCCAACTTTGCAGGTATGAGGGACGATTTGGCTAAAATAGACTGGGAAAGATATGAGAGTTGACAAGAAATGGCAAATGTTCAAAGATATATTAGATAATTCCCAGCGAATGCATATTCCCTTGAGAAATAAAAATTCCACAAGAAAAGTGGTTCAACCATGGCAAAATAGAGAAGTTAAGGAAAGTATAAAATTAAAAGAAGAGGCCTATAATATTGCCAAAAAGGGCTGTAGACCTGAGGATTGGGAGGGCTTTAGAGATCAGCAAAGGATAACCAAGAAACTGATTAAGCGGGAGAAAATGGAATATGAGAGTAAACTAGCTAGAGATATAAAGACAGATTGTAAGAGCTTTTACAAATATATACAGAGGAAGAGATTAACAAAAGTAAATGTGGGTCCCTTACAGGCAGAGACAGAAGAAATTATAATGGGGAATAAAGAAATGGCAGAGTCAGTAAACAAATACTTTGCTTCTGTCTTCAAGTTAGAAGATACTAAAAACTTAAAAATAGTGGGGAACCTAGAGACTAATGTTAGTGAGGAACTTAAAGAAATTAATATCAGTAAAGTAATAGTACTAGTGAAATTGATGGGACTGAAAACTGATAAATCCCCTGGACCTGATGGCCTGCATCCTGGGGTTTTAAAGAAGGTGACTGCAGAGATAGTGGATGCAATGTTTGTGATCTTCCAAAATTCCCTGGATTCTGGAACAGTTCCCTTTGATGGGAAGGTCGCAAATGTAATGCCGCTATTTAAGAAGGGTGGGAGAGAAAAAATGGGGAACTATAGACCAATTCGCCTGACATCGGCGGTTAGAGCACTCGCCTTGCAAGTGAGAGACCTGGGTTCGATTCCCGGCAGGGGAAACCTTGGGCAAGTTTCCTTACTCCACACGCCTGATAGTAATTCCTGAACAAAAAAAATAATAATTTGCTCACTCCAATCTGGAACGCTGCTGTGCGCGATTGGCTGCCGCGTTTCGCCCACAAAATATACATTCAATTCACTTTACAGTATATCCTGTGAAACGCTTTGAGACGTCTCGAAGACGTGAAAAGCGCTATATCAAATGCAAGGTTTATTATTATTATTATTATCCAATTGTTCCAGCAGGTGATAGCAGAGAGCAGTCTTACCAGTTCTCAGGGTTCCAGAGGGTTCCCTGCGACTCCATGATGTGGAAGGTGTAGACATGCCGGGAACGAGCCGAGATGTTTAACGCACTTTTGTGGACAACTTCTCCGTGAATGAGGATGAGCCCACCTGAGGCAGGGAGAGACGCCAGTAATCATCCACCTGTTCATTGCTTCACAGATTTTTTTTATTCTCAGCTGGGTTAGGTGTCTGACACATGCATCCGAGAATCCAAACCCAATTCAGAGTTCCCTGCGTCCCACCTCACATGGAAATCCCAGAGATAGATTGTTAACAGGGTTAACACAAGCTGAGTGGACTGACGTCCTGCCCATAGTGACTGGTCTGCCTTTCCAGATTCTGCCGATGAGCCAGGCTGGCTTTGCTGTTATGGAAGGAGTTCAGCCCCACAGTTCAGCTCCAAGGAGACCCCGCTTATCTTCCCCACACTCCCATACCCCCCTTCCCCCCTCTCCCAAGGAGGATAGTCCCTGGCTAGTTGCTTCACAGGCAGTCAGTCCAAACTAGTACTTCACACCTCCGTACCAATCCAACCTGATTACCCCCCACCCGTTGCCTCCGCTCAGCTGGCACCGGCCTCCTATTTGTCCCTTGTGCCCTCAGTTCCATCATCAGTGGCCATGCCTTCAGCCACTTTGCCCCAAAACTCAGAAAACTCCCTCCCTTCCCACCAGCAAATCCCACCTAAAAATCCCTTCCTTTTTGATCGTGCTTACGGTCACCTCCCCCCTACCTCCCTCCCCCCTTGACTCGGGGTCAGACTCCACCAATGTGAAGCGCTCTGGGACACTACCCCGCGTGAAGGGTGCTATATAAATGCAACTTGTTGGCAGTACTGCACCCACCACCCAACCACTGCCTCCACACGGTTGCTGTACCTTTCTTAACTGGGACGGTTACGAATTTGGCCTCCGGGTGATCGGGCTCTTTTCCGATGAACTTGATGCAAGACTGCTCACCAGGGCTGCTCCGTAACATCCTCCGGGAAATGCCACCTGACAGTCACGGGCGAGAGAAGATGCTGAGAGAGCAACTGGCCACAGGACCAACTCACTTTCAGGAGCTTGTCCTCTTTGATGGTGCTTTTGCGCTTCACAGGATGTATTGCAAAGTGGATTGACTGTATTTTCTGCAGCCAATTGCATACAGCAGCGTCCCGCAAAGAGTTGTGGAGTGAATGACCAAATTATTATTTTTTTTTAAGTGGGGGTGATTTATTACTCCCGGAAAGCGATCCGCCAAATTCACTAACAACTGGGTTCCGCCCACAAATATATACAGCAAATTCACTTTACAGTATATTCTGTGAAGCGCTTTGAGACATCTAGAAGATGTGAAAAGCGCTATATCGAATGCAAGGATTATTATTATTTATTATTCCTACTTACTGCTGGGTAAACAGAGGCGTGTGGGCTAAGGAAACTTGCTTTCGTTGCCTGTGAATCGAATCCGTGTCCGTTCGCTCGCAAGGTGAGCGCGCTAACCACTAAACTACGGGACTCCATAAAAGTTAACGGTGAATAGCGCTGGCTCTGAGTCCTTACTTGTGTGGGAGCCGGGGATGAAATTGAGGCAGCCGTTCTCCTCCTCCGCGTCCTCCAGCGCAATCCAGAACCCAATCACCCGCCCAAGAGGCTGTGTGTTGAGGAAGGTGGCATCTTGATGAGGGGTCACTGTGGGGGCCGGGGAAGGTGGTGCGGGGTTCGGGGGGTGGTGGCGGGGGGGTGGAGGGAGAGAGTCAATACAACAGCTTGCACATGAATGCAGTGAAGAGCCAGATGTCCGCAATAATTAGGACCAGTCCCTTTGTGGATACGAAAGCAGTGTGGACATCAGGTCATCCTCCGAGAATTCCGGAGTACCAGTCAGGAAATATACAGCGACTCTCGTACAAATAGTAACAGCCCATTGTCTCTCCCAAACAGTTACTCTCTCCCCTCACCTCCCTCCAATTCCCCCTTCCCTTGGCCACCCCACCCCCAACCACGTCCGAGTTCCTCCCCCCTCCCAAGAGACAGAATAACTCTCCTACCTTCACCACCAATTCCAGGTTGCTGAAAGACACAATTAGTCACGTGGTCAGCTTCGTCCTCCTCCTCCCTGACCTCCTTCCAAGCCCCGACTCAAGACCTTCCTCTCTGATCATGCTTTCGGCCACCCTCCCACCCGCTCTCTCCCTACGCTCCACCCCTCTTGAATCCAACCCCCAGCTTGGGTGCGAACCCTTAACCGTCCAGTGTCTCTTGACACGTCCTTCCGATGTGAAAGGCGCTCGTAAAGTTAATTTGTTATTGTTGTTAAGCAAATAAACTATACACGTTTTAATAACCAGTGGGGGTGGGGGGAGGTGGAGGGGGGGTATTGGGGCAGGTAGGGGGGGGCGAGGGAGGGAGCACCTTGATTGGGGTCTTTGTCTTATTATGGGGAAACTTGGCACAAAGTGCAGCTCAGGGCAACGACAATAACTTGCATTTATATAGCGTTCCTCATGCAGGATAGCGTCCCAGAGCGCTTAGGCTCAGACCTACCTTGAAGATGTACATACTCTGCACGATTACCGGCTCCTGCAGACACAGCTTCCTGGCCATCTCCTGTTACACACACACACACACACACGCACACACAATAAGACACAGCTTTCAATTTGTGCCCTTCATCACCACAGCTGCGACTCTCACCCCTCATCCTCACCACCCCCCACTCTCAAGTCCTCGACCGCTTGTTGGACCCCATGTGATTATGGTCTTAGTTTATTGCCCCCTTCAATGAGGTCGGCCCGGAGCTAGTGCGAAAATTCACACAAGGTATTAACATGCACCCCATGCACACCTGCTCTCTGGGCACACGCGCACATAAACACACACACGCTGGGCACACGTGCACACACACACACTTAAACACACATGTAACAACAACAACAACTTGCAATTATATAACACCTCGGAGTGTTTAAGATATACACACTCTGGGTGCCCACACACACACTGACCAGACACACACACACGCTGAGCACATACACACACCACACACCTGCACCCTAGTTGAATGGGTCAGGTCCTTGAATGTGGGCTCTAATATGTGGAGAGCTGTGGAGACAGAAGCAGATTAGAGTCAGGACAAAGCCACAGTGCAGCCTGAGTTACAGAGCTGGGCAGAGACTGTGAGGCCGTGATCTCTCTGTATGAACCCGCCTTTTCCCCCTGCACGCATTCGCGCACACAGGACGTTTATGTAAATTGTCACCGATTTCATTTGCAGCAAACAAATTATTCATTATTGTCGGTAACTTGAGGAAACAAATGATCAAGTTTTGCATTCGCTGTAATGAGCAGTGGTCATTCTTACCGTGTCCTATTTTATTCAGGGACTGTTCCTTCGGTACCAGAAAATCACCTGAAATAAAATGAAGCAGAGAATTAGAGTGATCAGAGACCTGCTCCAGCAAAATATATCTGCTGGGGTGGAGGTGGGGTGAGGGGGATGCAGGGAGGGCCTCACCTGAAAATATAATAAAATATTAATAATCCTTGCATTTGATATAGTGCTTTGTCACGTTATGGAGACGTGTCAAAGTGCTTCGCAGTATATACTGTAAAGTGCATGAAATTGTGTCAGCCTGGCGCAGTGGTAGTGCTCCCTCCTCTGAGTCAAAAGGTTGTGGGTTCAAACCCCACGTCAGAACTTGAAATCACATAGTTTAAGATGACACTGCAATGCAGGACTGGAGGTCAGAGGTGCCGTCCCTCAGATGAGACATTACACCGAGGTCCTGTCTGCCTGTCCAGGTGGATGTTAAAGTTCTTGTGGTGCTATTCGAAAAGAGAAGGGAGTTTCTTTCTCCCGGTGTCCTGGCCAACAATCCCACAAATCAAATTGGTCAATCACTCAATGGCTGTGTGGGGGACATTGCTGTGCACAAAAACGGGCTGCAACATTCGCCCACAATACTCCTTGCCGTTTCCTCTCCTCTCACTGCCTCCATGATCCCCTCCAATCGGGTTTCTGTGCTGCCCACAGCACGGAAGCTGCTCTGGTCAGGGTCACAAACGACATCCTGACCATGTGTGACCAGGGCACCCTCTGCCTCCTCGTCCTCCTCGACCTCTCCGCCGCCTTTGACACCGTGGACCACTCAATCCTAAACCACTGCCTCTCCTCCCACCTCAACCTTCAAGGTTCTGTCCTTGACTGGTTCAGGTCCTACCTTTCACACCGCCTTCACTTCGTTGCGGCAAACGGTTTCTCCTCCAGCCCCCGCACCGTCTCGTGCGGTGTTCCTCAGGGCTCTGTCCTCAGTCCCCTCCTCTTCATCCTCTACATGCTCCTCCTTGGTGACATCATCTGCAGACATGGGGTAAATTTCCACATGTCTGCGGATAATACCCAACTCTACCTTTCTGCCTCCACCCTGAACTCCAGGACTACTGGGGTCCTGACCGACTGCCTGTCCGACATCAAGTCCTGGACGAGGGACAACTTTCTCCAACTCAACGTCAGTGAGATCGAGGCTCGTCCTGATTGGCTCGGGACAACGCCTCTGCAACTCAGGCGCTGGCAGCGTCAGCCTCCATGGCTGTACACGCAACCTAACTTAGCCAGTCAGAAACCCGGGTGTCTTGCTTGACCCTGACCTGTCCTTTCTCCCGCACATCCGCGCCATGACTGGCACTGCCTACCACCACCTCCGCAACATTGCCAGACTCTGCCACTGCCTCACCCCTCAGGCTGCCCAAACCCTCACTCACGCATTTGTCAACTCAAGGCTCGATTACGCGAACTCCCTCCTCATTGGCCTTCCCAACCCTTCCCTTCACAAGCTGCAGATCATCCAAAACTCTGCAACTCGTATACTCTCACGCACCAGGCTCCAGTGACCCCATCACTCCCACCCTCCACCCTCGCCCGACTCCACTGGCTCCCAATCCCAAAGAGGATCGAGTTCAAGATCCTCGTCCTCACCTTTAAGGCCATCCATCCTACCTCTCTGACCTGCTGACTCCCTACCAACCTGTCCGCTCCCTCCGTATCAACGGTGGCCGGGCGTTCAGCCTCTCTGCCCCCACACTCTGGAACTCCATCCCATGGTCCCTTCGCCTCGCTTCCTCCCTTGCATCCTTCAAGGCCGGTCTCAAGACCCTTTTCTTCGACCGTGTCTTTGGTCGCCCTCCCACCTCTCTACCTTCCCTTACCGCTACACCCACCTCTCCCGCATGCTTGGGCCCCAACATCTTACTGTTCAGCACTTTGGGACATCCTCCCGACGTGAAAGGCGCTCTATAAATGTCATTTTGTTGTTGTTGCAACTACACTTTACAGTATATCCTAAGTGATAAAGCATTATATCAAATGCAAGGATTATTATTATTATTAGGCTGACTGTGTATTTTGTGGGTGACTCAGTCACTCACGCAGTGAGACAAACACCCACACAGACTCACTCACAAACAGGAAGATATCATTTTGCTACATCGGTTACCGGTTTGTCAATAAAATGACATGCCTCAGCCCGGAGCATGGGACCGGGTTACCTTTGCTGTCGAACACGCCTTTCTCAAAGAAGAAGCGAATTTTGTCTCCACTGGTCAAGAAGTAATCTGTGCTTCCCTACAGAAAAGCAACACGGCAACATAACAGCAAGGAACGTTCCTGACATGTAAAAACAACAACTTTCATTTATACAGCACCCCTCACGTTGGCTAACATCCCGGAGCACTTGAGATTTAAACACACACAACAACAACAAGATTCCATTTATAGAGCGCCTTTCACGTCGGGAGGACGTCCCAAAGCGCTGGACACACAGGGCACACACATACACACCTGTGCCCTAGTTGAATGAGTCAGGTTCTTGGGTCACATATGGAACACAGGAAATTTTTACATCGACATTCAGTCACCTGCATCTTTTAATAATAAAAATAAACCTTGCATTTGATACGGCGCTTTTCACGTCTTCGAGACGTCTCAAAGCGCTTCGCAGAATAGACTGTAAAGTGTAGTGACTGTATATTTTGTGGGCGAAACGCAGTAGCCAATTCCGCACAGCAGCGTCCCACAAACAGTCGTGAAGTCGTGATTGAAGTGACCAATTTATTATTGCTTTTTTTTCTTGAGGGATTATTATCAGGCGTGATATTTGGGTCAGTCCAGGAAGCAGTGGGAATAAAACTCAATTACTTTCATCTTAATTTTTTTTAATTCCACTTTCACCGGATTAAATTCATACAAAAATGTGCGCTCACACACACACACACATTTATACATCCAGACTCATACACTCACTCATGATTCACACTCACTCAGGCAGATAAACAGACTCTCACACACACTGACCTTCACCCAGACTCACCCACCCACTCAGTGACTCATTCACAGGCTCACTCATTCACTCACACACACAGACACACAAACACACAGACACACTCACAGTGAGACACACACACACACACTCAGACACTCACTCACACACAGTAAGACAGACACACACACACTCAGACACTCACTCTCACGCAGTGAGACACACACACTCAGACACTCACTCACACACAGTAAGACAGACACACACACACTCAGACACTCACCCCCACACAGTGAGACAGACACACGCACACTCAGACAGACCTGTGCTTTGAGCTGCTCCTCTGCGTCGGTTGAGAACTCGGTGCGGGAATGCTGTGGGACATCCATGGCTTGGATAATGTCTGCGATCCGATGTCTCAGGGAGTCGCACTCCTGGGGCGTGAAAAATTCCTCAATGGCCACGAAGCCATCCTCCCTGAACTGGGGGGAGGAAGAGGTTTACACGCAGTCACATAAAGTAATCCCAGCCAAACCGTACAGTGGCACAGGGCAGCGTAACACAGGCAGTTTGTTCCACACGCCTGGTCTGTCTTCACTCGCTTTTCCACTTGGGGAAGTGTTTGATACGCTTTACCTCGCCTCGCTTCTTCCCTTTCCTCCTTCAAGGTCGGTCTCAAGACCTTTCTCTTTGACCGTGCCTTCCCGACGCGAAAGCCGCTCTATACATGGTCTTGTTGTTGTTGTTGTTAAATCCCCCTGTGAGGCAGTTTATTTCCAGGCTGAAGGAACACCCCACCACACCCCCCACCCTCCAACTCAACAGTTAAAACTTGTTTTTGTTTTAAAAGAAACTAAAAATATAGAAGCAAAACTCATTCACTCACTCATTCAATCCTGTCTGGAATTGCCAGTGTTTAATGAATGTTGTTATGCAACTTGCTATTCCCTTTTTTTAATTTGCTTGTTATGTAACACAGTATGTGCTGTATTACCATGTCCCTACCCTCCCTCTCTTCCCCAACTACCAGGTGGAAATTTATTTGTCTCTTAAGTGCAGGTGAGAGCAGAGGAATAGATATAATAATAATATATAATAGATACTCCTGTAGAGGGCCTAGACCAGAAAGATTCAGGGTTCAACTTGCCTCTGATCAGCCTCTCTATGGGGCAGAATTTGACCTCAATTTTGCCAAAGGAATTGTCACATTAAAGCCAAGATTCACTCACTTGCTTACCTTCTCTAACTGTTCATCTGTCATCATGGCCATTGCTTTCCTCAGGCTCCTCTCTCAGATCAGCTCAACTCAATGCTCAGCAAATCCCTCAGAATCAACACTCTCTAACCAGATTAACCAAGCTGTTGAAAGAGCCTTGAGCACACTGGGGTCACTCACCCAGCACTGACGCAACCGCATATTTAAAGGGGCAAAACATCTCAACCTAACCTAAAGCACGCTACTTTAGATTAGGTCAAGATGTACAATAATATATTAATAGATAATTATTTGGGGAGAACAAGTTTGCAGGGCTATGGGGAATGAGTTGGCAGCTCCTTTCAAAGAGTCGAATGGCTGTCACTTATCGCCCCAAAAATATACAGTCAATTCAATTTACAGTATATTCTGTGAAACGCTTTGAGACGTGTCAATGACAAGATAAAGCGTCATATCAAATGCAAGAACTATAATTATTATTAAAACAGGAAATATGAACTTAAACGCCCTTGCTTTATTCAATAAATGAATTGAATCGTACAGGAGTTGGACTTTGGGTCAACTTAACATTTTTTTCTTAAACGCGATACATGCAGTGAATGCTCTTTCAAGGAAAACAATCTTGTTCAAGTAGTCTTTCTAGCTTCCACCCATAGCCAGTTTCACTTCTGGAGTGAGCAACTCCAAGATGTTTGGATCCACGATCAGTCCACTCAAAGTGAGCAAACTGCACTGGGCAATCTCAACTGGGAGCTTCTCCATGTAGTTTCCTAGCAGTTCCAGCTGGCTTAGCTGGGAAAGGTTTGAGATGCTCTTACTGAGCGAGGTGATCAAATTATAGTTGAGCTTCAGAGTCTGGAGCTTGGTACATTTGTACAGTGCCTCTGGCAACTTTTCAATTTTGTTGGAACTCACATCGAGGAACTTGAGGTTGACGAGTTTGGCGATGCCATCGGGAATTAAGGTGATGGAGTTGTTCTTGACGTCCAAGTAATGCAGATCCTCAATTGTGAAGAGTACATTTGGCAGAACCTCAATCAGGTTGTGAGATAAGTAGAGGTACTTCAGTGATTTGATGAGAGTGATGTTGGAAGGGATGATTCGGATCATGTTGAACCAGAACTTGAGGCAGTTCAACTTCTCCATATATTGGAGGTTGGCGACGTCATCAATTTTGGAAAGATTGTTCCCTTTGAGGTCCAACAGTTGAAGTTTGGGCAGGGCAGCAATCAGACTCGGGATCTTGTCCAACTCACAGTTGTGCAGCTCCAACTGGGTCAAGTTGACCATCTTCTTCACGATGTGATAGTTTAGAAGCTTGGTCTTGTCGTTGTGGATGCAGAACCTCACCAGGTGGTAGGCTACATCTGTAATGCTGGGGGGGATTTTAGAGATATTGGACTTAAGGTAAAGCACTTTCAAAGAGCGAAGAGACTTCATGGATTCCAGTTCCACAAACTTATTTTCAATGGACATCTTTCCAGTCAAGTACAATTCCTGCAGTTTGGTCAATTTGTAGATCCACTCGGGAATTTCATCACGGTCCAGATATTTGACTCCTACTTTTTTCAGCTGGTTTCTCAGCCACATCAAAGCCAATGGTGAAACTATAACGACACAGTGTAAGATCCAGATTTCCTCCAGGTGGCTGAGTTGGTTTATTTTGGTACCGATGTTCATGTCGTTGCAGAGTTCCAGCCTCAGGACCTGTAGCTCCGTCACATCATACACCGACTCTGGAATCCCTGACACCATGAACAGATGCAGCTCTATTTGGTCCTTGTTGTTTTTGATCATGCGTTGCCGCGTCCTTTCCACAGTCCAATCGTGGTTTAAGGTTAACATTCTCAGCTTTTTCTCGCTGACCTCGGACAGGAAGACACCAAAGCGCAAGCAGTACAAGGTGTCGTATTGGTCAATCAAATGCAACAGGAAAGCAAAGTCGTTCTTTACAACAGGGATGTCAGTAAAGGGGCTCGAGTCCCCTCTCTTCTCAAACGTGTATTGCTTCAGTTTGTTTCTGAAAACCCAAAGGAGTGTGTGAATACAGAGGAGTCCGTAGGTAACTACCAGAAACAAGAAAAACAGAAGGATCTTCTTAATAAAGCGGGAAGTGCTGTAAGTGCAATTGAAGGTCCAATACCCAACCAGCAACTTTGCATTCGGTTCACAGAGATTATCAAATTTAACGGCATGGACAAAGGGTGGCATGTAGCTGATAATTGTTATGCACTGTAAAGCTTTCAGCAAGTTTTGACCCACGTAGCATTTATAGATCGTGTCTTTCTCTTCCACGTGGAGCCTGAATTGCCTCACTTTCTCAAATAGAGCTTTGGCCTGTTCTGCGTCCTTCTTGTCCAGGGTCGAAATGGGCGCTTGGAAACTTGTGGACTGCTGCAATTTAAGGGATGATGGTTGGGGCGAAATTGTATTATTCAAACTACTTTCAATGCTCCTCTGCGTATCGAGGGCATCCTCCAGTTCATTGGTGTCCTTGTAGACTGCCATGGCGAGGGCTTTGTTTGTCCACGGCGACTGGAAGCATTTTTGAAGGATGTCGATGAATTGTTCCACTTTGGAACTTGTCCTGGGATAGGTGAAACAGAAGTTGCTACAAATGATCAGGGAGGTTGTGTGGAACAGGATCACGTAGCCCGCAAACCTGGTGAACCAAGGGATTCCGTCAGATTGACACACCTGGTTGATATATTGATTCTGCCAGTAATGCAAACTGGTACTCCTCCCGTCGCTGGAATGAACAATATTTTTATCGTTCTCGTCAGGAGCAACATCCAAATCAGGTAAGTTTTGGATCGAGCTCCTCTCTCTCCGGAATCCAGAGGTATCTTGATCCAAATTGGGCAGGCAGGATGTGTCATCCAGGTAAAGCTGTGTGCTGGATCCAAATATGGAGACCATCAACATGATAATGGTCAGGTAATCCATGAAGATGTCCCACCAGGGCTTGAAGATGCGGAAGGCAGGCTGCCTGCTGTCCAATGATGACACGTCACTGACTGTAAACATATCTGGAGAAATGCAAACCGTTTTAATAATAATAATAATCCTTGCATTTGATATAGAGCCTTATCAGGTCATCGATACATTTCAAAGAACTTCGCAAAATATACTGTAAAGTGGATTGACTACCTATTTTGTGGCCATTTGTTAGATGTGAGTTTTCTACCCTAATTCAGGGGGCCATAATGCACGTTTCAATATGTTTGAAGGGCACGTGATCACCAGTTAAACTGAACAGGCAGATACCCCAGTTAGGTATCTTATCAGAGACCCTCCTGAAACCAGCACCACATTGGAGCGTCAGCCTACAACAAGACAACAACAAGATTCCATTTATAAAGCGCCTTTCACGTCAGGAGGACGTCCCAAGGCGCTGCACAGTTGGGTCATGACCCGAGCAGGGGGGAAATGGTCAGGGTGAGGGGAGGGAAGGGAGGGAGCGAGGAGGGGGGAAATGGTCAGGGTGAGGGGAGGGAAGGGAGGGAGCGAGGAGGGGGAAGAGAGTCGAGAGGGGAGCTGAAGGCTCGGTCAAAGAGAAAGGTTTTGAGACCGGCCTTGAAGGAGGAAAGGGAGGAAGCGGCGAAGGCACTGGGGGATGGAGTTCCAGAGCCTGGGGCTGAGAGGCTGAAGGCCCGACCACCGATGGTAGGGCGGTTGGGGCGGGGGATGTGGAGCAGACCGGAGCCAGAGGAACGGAGGGTACGGGCAGGTAGGTAGGGGGATAGTAGGTCGGAGAGGTAGGAGGGAGCAAGGCCGTGAATGGCCTTGTAGGTGAGGATGAGGATCTTGAAATCAATCCTCTGGGGGATGGGGAGCCAATGGAGGCGAGCGAGGGTGGGAGTGATGTGGTCCCGAAGCCTGGTGCGGGACAGTACACGAGCTGCAGAGTTCTGAATGACCTGCAGCTTGTGGAGGGAGGTGGCGGGAAGGCCGAGGAGAGAGTTCCCATAGTCCAGCCTTGAGGTGACAAAGGCGTGAACCAGGGTTTCAGCAGCGTGAGGGGTGAGGTAATGCCGTAGTCTGGCGATGTTCCGGAGGTGATGGAAGGCGGTGCCAGTTGTGGTGCGGATGTGAGGGAGAAAGGACAGCTCAGGGCCTAGACTGTGAGTTCAAAGTCTCTATATATAGGACAATAATACCAATAATAATAACTTGCATTTGATACAGCGACTTATCATATCTTCGAGACGTCTCAAAGCACTTCACAGAATATACTGTCACGTGAATTGACTGTATATTTTGTGGGCGAAACAAGAATTGTTTCCCCTGGAAAAGCGATCCACCAATCGACTAACCACCAGGTTCCTACTTACTGCTACTTACTGTTAGAATATACACTTTTTGTATATTCTAACATTACTGCTAAACCCACAACCTGTCTCAGAAGTGAGAGTGCTACCAACTAAGCCAGACTGACATCTGATCTCTGCTCAAAACCGCCTTCCCCTTTTGGATTCGAGTGTTGTTACTCTCATCCAGCTTAGCAAACAGTTTCCCCATCGACCTGGGAAAAAGATAGAAATCCCACTGAGAGGAAAATACCCCTCCAGATATCATCAAGGACAGGTTTCACACTGGGTTCAATACAACTTTTTAAAGAATAAGTTACCCAATAATTTTATTTTCACTTCAAAAGGGGAGATTAATTTCCGTCAGTCAATTTTCCTTCAAGATTGAAAATACAAGTTGAAAGTGAGAAGGTTATTTCCAGCCGATAAAAAAGGGAAATAAATAGTGAATCAGTGCAGATTTTGCTACTTACTTAGAATAGATTGAGCTGGGGCTCAATGGAGTTTCCAGTAAACACCAGCCTTTGAATAGTAGTTAGGAATGTACCAAGATGACTTAGGACAAAATTCGTCAAAAATTTGCTGGATTTGTTTGATGAGTTTCTTTCCAGCTGTGTTTCTTCAAATGTGAACAGTCAATGGTTTGTGGGCTGGAGCCGGTCTTGGCTTGAAATATATGCCCTGAAGACAATACATTTGGAACAACTGATTGTCTCTCACAGTCCAATGTGTCATCGCATTCCAGCTCCGTTGTTGAGCACTTGGTTCCAGACCTGCAACAATTTTTTTTCTTTGGTCACATGTGGAAACCCATCACCATGCTTACGACCCTCCAAACCAAGCTGAGAATTCCATGCAGCCCACCCATACATGGAAATCCCAGAAGAGACCAAATTATTATTTTTTTTTTTGAAGGCGTTATTACCCTGGAAAAGTGATCCGCCAATCGACTAACAACCGGGTTCCTACTCACTGCTAGGCACACAGAGACGTGTTGAGTAAGGAAACTTGCCCATCATTTCACCCTGCCAGGAATCGAACCCAGGTCTTCTTGCTTGTGAGGCGAGCTCCCTAACCACTGAGCTACAGGGACTCATTTTCCTGTGTCTGGAATGGAATGTGTATTCTCAACTAGAGGGACACACCCTGTTTACCTAACTTCAGAGAGCTAAAGCTTGTGGACTCCAATCGATGTATTGGGGTACAACTGCTGGGCTTTTAAGAGCACTATCTGGCAAGCTTCCCACTGCTTGTCCAGCTCGGACAGCTCTACCGCTTAGAACTTGCAGAGTTAAATTAAGTGAAGAGCAAAGAATCTCTGCCCTCAGTGCCTGCACTAGCATCCACCGATGAATCAGGCTTTGACGGTCTGTCATCAGTGCCCTGGAGTCCAGCCTGGCTCAGGAACCAGATACAGTCACTGAAGTTTACAGTATATTCTGTGAAGCGCTTTGAGACATCTATCTGAATGACGTGATAAGGCGCTATATCAAACGCAAGGATTTTTATTATTTATTATAGAGACTATCACAGAGGGTTGACTCGATTCCGATGTTCTTTTTGCCAGCACAGCTCCAAGGTGACCCCTTTTATGTCCCTCCCAAGTTGGATAGTGTAGTTAGAGATGGCAAATGTAAGGACAAAGTTTGGCTGAAACAAGTAAATATTTATTCTCTCCCTTTGTTAGGATTGTTGTTCCTGTCCAAACAGAAAGTTGCTTTAGAATCTGAACACACAATAAAAAGGGTTGCATTTTGTTTTTGTGCAATTTAATCCGTAATGTGCCGTTTTGGTTTGGTTCTGCTTTGATTTTCATGGGAACACACTTTGCAGGCAGTTTTCAAAGGAGAACTCGATGGTGAGTTGTCTCTGATCAACATCACTGCCAAGCCATCTTCCTTAGGGGAAGGGAGTGTGTGGGTGGGGGGGGGAGTGGTAGGAAGGGGTGATTTTGAGATCGGCTTGAGTTGAAACGCACTGTTATTGTTCTCGCCTCTTAGACCCGTGTAAAGGAAGGGGTGGTGGGGGGGGGGGGGGGGGGGGGGGGGGCGTGGTTGGAAGGAATTAATCTCTGGTTTGATTACAAAATGGGTTGGGGGTTTTTCACGCAACCACAGCATGGTCTAGTTGAGAATGCGAAATTGTGGGCTGGAGTAAGAGCTTGACTTCCACCTCAGTTCCTGAATTGATAGCCATCCTGATCTCCAGAGGCAGCGAATCAAACAGGTACTGGTCGACCAGGAGCCCGTTTTTCTTCAGCATCGAACACTCGCCGAGCTCCACTGGCAGCTCCTCCAAATTGTTTTCCAGTAGTTCCAGCCGGGAGAGGTGGGTGAGCTGCTGGATCTTTCCGCTGATCACGGTGATGGAATTCTTGCTGAGTTTCAGCGTCTTGAGCTTCCGGCATTGGTACAGCTCATCGGGCAGCACGGAGATCTTGTTGTAGCTCAAGTCCAGGAACTGCAGGTTCAGGAGTTTGCCAATGTCGGTGGGGATGATGATGATCTGATTGTTGTTGAGGTCCAAGTGACGCAGCTTGCGGATGGAAAACAGGTTGGTGGGCAAGATCAGGATGTAGTTGTTGGAGATATACAGGTACTCAAGGTTGCTCAAGAGGTTGATGGTCTTGGGGATCATGTTGATTTGGTTGAAGCAAAGTTTCAAGCAGGATAGCCTCCGCAGGTGCTGGAAGCTGGAGATCTCCTCGATGACGGTCAGCTCGTTGTACTGAAGGTTTAACTCTCGCAAGTTGTAGAGGTGAAGGATGCCGCGAGGGATTTTCTTCAGGGCGCAGTTCTGCAGGTCTAACTGCGCCAGGTTCACCATGTTGCCCAAATTCTGGAACATGGCCAAGCTGCTGTTGTTGTTCTGGATGGACAGCTTGAACAGGTGAGGGGCCACGTAAAGCACGTTGAAGGGGATCTTGGAGAGGTTGCTGTTGATGGAAAGGACTTTCAAGTAACGCAGTTCCTTCAAGAACTCCAGTTCCAGGGCTTTGCTCTCGGTGTTTATGATCCCGGTCAGGTGCAACTCTCGGAGTCTGGTCAGCGAGTGGATCCAGTCAGGGATTTCGTCTGGGTTAGAAAATGTCACTCCTAAAACTTTCAGTTGGTTACTCAAGTACAGCAGAGCTGGGGCTTTGATGGTGACCGTGCAGTTGATAATCCACAGCTCCTCCAGGTGGATGAGTTGCGTTACCTTAGGGTTGATGTTCACGTCGTTGCAAAGTTCCACCTTCAGGACCTGCAGCTCCGTGGCGTCATACACCGACTCAGGAAACCCCGACAGCATGAAGAGGTGCAGCTCAAACTGCTCCTTGCTCGTCTTAGTCAGGTGTTGCTGCACCTTCTGCATAGTCCAGTCGGTGTTCAAGCTCAACGCTTTCAGCTTCTTCTCGCTGGCCTCCGAGAGGAAGATGGAGAAATGCTGGCAGTACAAACGGTCGTACTGATCGATCAAATGCAAGAGGAAGGCAAAGTCATTTTTCACGTTGGGAACGTCGCTAAACTGGCTCTCCCCCCGCTTCTCGAAGTAGTACTGCTTGAGCTGTTTGCGGAAAATCCAGACGAGCGTGTAGATACAGATGGCGATGTAGACGGCCAATGTGCACAGGTACAGAAGGAGCAGCTTCTTCAGTATGAAAGCAATACTGAATGTGCAGATGAAGAACTCATAGCCGGTCAATTGGTAGGTTTTGAGCCTGCACAGAATGTCCAACTTCACCGCGTTGATGAACAAGGAGAAGTAAATCAAGACCACGCTGCAGACCACCGTTTTGAAAAGGATTTGCCCCACATAGAGTTTGTAGATCGAGTCTTCCTTTTCAACATGGAGCCTGAATTTCTTCACCTTCTCAAACAGAGCCTTGGCCTGTTCTCCATCCTTCTTGTCTAGCATCTGGTAATGCCTCTGTATCACTGGGTTGGTGCGTGTGGCACCTCTAATGAAGGATTCATTGAGCATCAGCAACTCGGAAGTCCGCTCGTCCACGTCTTTGAGCGTGGAAGTCGCGCTACTGGGCTCTTTCTGTTTAATCACTACGGTGGGATTCATCTTTTCGGTGTTCCCAGACGCCGTCAGAGAAAGCGCGTCGGTCGTCCACGGCGACTCCATGCACTTCTCGAGTATGAACGTCAAGTGTTCAATCTTGGAACTGGTTTTGGGGAACTTGAACCAAAAGTTACTGGCGACCATCAGCCCGATGGTATGGATCAAAATGAAGTAGCAGAAGTATTTGGAGAACCAAGGCACGGCGCTGAAGTAGCACAGGTTGTTGATGTAGAAAAACTGTTGGAAGTCGAGATTGGTTTGGTTCTCGGTGATGGCGTAAATAGCTTGACTGCGGGTCAGAGGGCTGGCTGATTTGAACCTGATGTGAAAATCGTTGACCAGATTGCCACCCAAGCCCTGCACGGTAGAGTTGACTCCGTCGTAAACTCTGGTGTCGTTGATGATTTGGGACATGGTTTCGTTGAGGATGGGCAAACAAACGCTCCTGTTCTTGTAGATCTGTAAGGTGCCCCCGAATATGCCGATCATCAGCATGACTACGGCCAAGTAATCCATGAAGGTGTCCCACCAGGGTTTGAAGATGCGGTAGGAAGACGGGGCGGAACTTACTGAAGTAATTTCACCAAGGGTAAACATCCTTAAATACAAAAGAGCAACATTACACACCGTAGAGTTAGTGTGGATCGGTCCCTACGTACAATACCATGCGTGCACTCCCTAATATCCTTGGGATGAGATGTTAAACCGAGGTCCCGTCTGCCTGGCTCTTTTTGAAAAGTTTTTCTTTCTCCAGGTGCCCGGTCCGACAATCCCCCAAATAAAATTGGTCACTCAATCCACGACTGTTTGTGGGACACTGCAGTGCGCAACTGGCTGCCGTGCTTTGCTCACAAAATATTCAGTCAACTCCGCTTTAGAGTTTATCCTTTGATATGCTTTGAGACATCTCAACGATGTGACGCCTAATAATAATCCCTCCAAAAACAAAACAATAATAAATTGGTCATTTTCAATCCATGACTGTTTGTGGGACATTACTGTGCACAATTAGCTGCCGCGTTCGCCCACAAATATACAGTCAATTCACTTTACAGTCTATTCTGTGAAGCGCTTTGAGACGTCTTGAAGACGTGAAAAGCGCTATATCAAATGCAAGGATTATTATTATTATTATAAGGCTCTATATCAAACGCAAGGATTATTATTTAATTTAAATGTAAGAATTCATATGAAACCAGGAGATCGAGTCGCCAGGAGGGTGAAGAGAAAAACAAACAAGAAAATCATTTATGTTATTGATGTGTCTGTTTACTGTGGTCGTTGGTGACAGAAATAAAAGGCGGAAAATGGCTTTGAGGTTGGTAGCCAACACAGAGAATCAGTTACCGGCGGTTCTGATAAAAGGATTCATACTCACTTAATATGGATTCAGACTATGCAATATGTAAAGCGACAAAGTCCCTTGGCTATTATTATATAACTGAGACTTTCATCCTTTTTCTACTTGTTTTATCGAATAGAAGTCTTACTCTGGAGGGTGGAGCGAGCAGCGAGGGCGAAGTATCTATCTGGCATTGTCCAGTTGCCTCTTGTGTACTCTCCGTGTGTCTCTGACACACAGGAGAATAGCTCAACGGCTTCCGAGGCCATTGTGTTTAGAACAGACACATTGATGATGCTCATTTCAGAGTATTGAATCTCCGCAGGGTTCTGCCCTCTTCCCCACCCAACCCGTCAGCGACGCAGACTCACACAAGCAATTGAGGCACACACGACCAATTATCCCACATTCCCGTACAGCAAGGTGTTCTGATTTTTTTCCTCCACCTCATAAAAAATACAATCATTACAATATGGTGAAATATGAATATCTGTGTAATTTATTTCTTAGCCATTTTACGTGATGTCGGCACAAACACCTGGTTTCACCATCTTCACAAGATAGGTTTCATTCCAAGACATCTCACGGTATCCCATTGTAGTGATTGTTGGGAGGTGATGCAAGATGTACTTGAACACTGTAAGTAAGGGCTGTTCGACAGGAAAACAGCCACAAAGTCCGCTTACATTTTAAAACATAGAAAAAAAACTGTTCACTTCTTCCTAAATTCAGCGGCTGTGAATAAAGCGCATTTCACGGAGTGACTTAATACTTTCCGTTTGATTAAATGCGTAAAGAAGCCCCAGAATTAATTAGTCATTGACACATTTAAGACCATTTAAATAAGAACTGAAAAGTATAAAAATTGTTGGACCACCTGGGATTGCATTAGTTCCTGAGGACTGAAGAACTCTCTGTAGCACTAACAGCATTAGATTCGGATAACAGTGGTCTTGCACAAAGCCTGGCACGTGTACAGAGCACATCAACACTCTGAAGGCGAGCTGTGCAGCCATCAGTGCATCGACGTAGATCAAGTAAGAGCCTGCGCCAACTCTCTGCTCCCTGGTACACCCAACTACAACCTCAGGGTCTTTCCTCCCTGGACAGCCAGGTGCCAAGTGCAATATTGACTCAGTTTGTCTGCAAAGAGGGGGTAAAGGGGAAGGTCTGTCAAGTCTTCTCTTTTTCCTATGTTAACCCATCACTCATTCAGAGGCCCAGTCGTTGAACTCCTATTGGAAACCCGGCTGTGATTAGCTAACTGCTCTGCCGGGCATTGAGGCTGGGACCTTCTAAGCTATGGCTGTTTTGCCAGTGACTTTACCAACTGAGTCATGGTGTGGGAGGAGAAGGGGTGGGGGGGAGAGACAAAGTGCTGTAGACTGCTGTGGTTGGTTTTCCAAGAACTAAAAATATTTGGCTGGGAGCTCCCAACTGAGAGGCGCTTTCAAATCAAACTATTATATATGCTGCATATAAAAGAAAATCCCTCCAGTCCTCAGGAATTTAAATCATCTCCAAATTGCAGGGTATTGTTCCCAGAGACTACTGGCTACACTGGATAGCTTTCGATGTAAATGCTTCGCCCCCCTGCGCTGTCTCTGTCTCTCTCTCTCACACTGGCAATGTGACCGCACAGGCGATTAGAATCCATCTGGCATCTGGCGCACACACATTGGGGGGAGGGGGGGGAATGAGCCCCAATTCTATCAAGTTTTTATCTTCTTTTTAAAAAATAAAAAAAACAGCTTCCAACTTGAAATGAATATTTCTTGACCCCCAAAAAGGATTATTTTTTCTTTAAAAGGAATGTGGGGGGAGTGGAGGGAGAGGGTGGTGGTTGCGGAGATCGATTCATGCAACAAGACGGTACTGCCCGCTTTACGGCACGGCACATACACAGTTTAGTCCCGGTTAGAGCGACGGGCGAAATAAATACAAGGCATCATCATCATCATCAACAGTCGCAGTCTGTGTGGAGTGTCGTTTGGCTGTAAAATATTAGCTTGTTTGTGATTCGTGAAAGCAGAAGTGTGCATTGCAGCAAGTCCTTGCAACCGGACCTAGTTTCTTAAGTGATTCTCTGACCTCCCGGCAGCGTGGGTTCAGCTCCTGCAGGAGGAGCGGCCGGAGAGACAGACAGACAGACGTACGTCTTCGCTCCATCACAGAACGGTGGGTCGGTTCCGCCCGGCATCCCTACGCGGCAGACAGACGGCAGGCTCTGAAAAACTCGGCAAGGAAGGTCTTTTTCCCCCCTCTCTTCGTTTACATACACACGAGCGCGCGACTCAACCTCAGGCTTGCTCCTTGTCCGCTCTCCACAGCCCCTCCTTGACCTCGGAGGGCAGCGTGTTGAAGAGGTCGTCCTCCACCACCAGTCCGCTGCGTTTCATCAGCCGGCACTCGCCCAGCTCCACGGGGAGACACTCCAGTCTGTTCCCTCGCAGCTCCAGCTGCGTCAGGCTGGCCAGTTCCCCCACCCGCGACGGCAGGGACTGCAGGCAGTTGTTGCCCAGGTTCAGCGTGCGCAGTTTACGGCACTGGAAGAGCTCGGGCGGCAGCGTCTCGATCTGCGATCGGAGAGGAAACAAGATCAACATTGAGCACAAGTTGGAGGTGAGGAGTTTAAACAGCACCTGTTTACCTCTGTGCAAACCAAGGTGACATAATAATATTAATAATAATAATAATCCTTGCATTTGATATAGTGCCTTATCACGTCTTCGAGACGTCTCAAAGCGCTTCACAGAAAAGTAAATTGATTATATCTTGTGGGCGAAACGCATCAGCCAATTGCGCACAGCAGCATCCCACAAACAGTCGTGGATTGAGTGACCACATTTCTTTTTGAAAGGGATTATTACCCCAAGCCAAGGTGACATAATAATAATAATCTTTGCATTTGATATCGCGCCTTATCACATCATTGAGACGTCTCAAAGCACTTCACAGAATACACTGTAAAGTGGAGTGACTGTATATTTTGCGGGCGACATGTTTTGCAATGGAAGATCAGAATGGATCTGGGCGGGTCCGCAGTTTTCCAGGGCATGCTGATGACAACACAGCCCAGCCTGGCTCATCGGCAGGACTTGGAAAGGCAGACCAGTCACTGGGGGGGCAGGGAATGTTCCTACTCAGTACCTATTAATCTTGCAAGCCAAAACCCTAAGGGTCCTTGCTGAAGGATTCATTTACAATCAGAACCTAAACAGAGAAACAACATGTGATGGGCAGGGGAAGCAAAGGCAAAAGGCAGGGGAGAAACAACACAATGGAAAGATTGTGCACAAACTCACCCTGTTTGCAGTGACGGCAAAGTACTGTAGGTTCTGGAGGAATCCAATGTCCTGTGGTATCGAGGTCAAGTTGTTGTGGCTCAAATCTAAGTACCGCAGCTTGCGACAGTAGAAGAGCTGAGCAGGGATTTTCTCGATCTTGTTGCGGTTCAGGTAGAGCCTCTCCAGGTTGGTGAGTGTGCCAATCTGGATGGGGATGTAGGCGATGTGGTTGTACCACAGCTTGAGGCAGACCAGTCGCCGCAGGTGCTGGAAGCTGATGATCTCCTCGATGGTCTTCAGGTTGTTGTCCTTTAGGTCGATCTCCTGCAGGTTGTGGAGGCTGAAGATGGAGTGGGGGATGCGCTCTAGATCGCAGCGGATCAGCTCCAGCTCCGTCATGTTCACCATCTTCTTCAGGCTGTTCAGCACCATCAGCTTGGTGCCCTCATTGTTGATGGAGAGCTTCTGCAGGTGCACCCCAACATCTGTCACCACCTGAGGCAACTTGGTCAGGTTGCTCTTCAGCCTCAGCACCTTCAGGCACTTGAGCTCCCGCAGGCCGTCGATCACGATGTAGCGGTTGTTCTCGGCGCTCAGGTTGCCCGTCAGGTGGAGCTCCTCGAGGTTCTTCAGGCTGTAGATCCACAAGGGAATCTCCTTGATGTCGGTGAACTTGATGTGCAGGGACTTCAGGTGTTCCCTCAGGAAGGCCAGAGCCGGCGCTTCGATCTTGGCCGGCGTGTGGTAGAGCCACAGCTCTTTGAGGTTGGTGAGTTGGGCAATGATGGGAGGGATAGTCACATCCAGGATCATCTCCAGCTTCAGGACCTCCAGCTCAGTCAGGTCGAAGATGGTGTCGGGGATGCCACTCAGCATGAAGAGATGCAGTTCCAGTTTGTCCAGCGAGTTCTTCATGATCCTCTGCCTCAGCTTCTCCAGAGTCCACTCGTTGTTGAGGTTCAGCTGCCGCAGCTTGTTCTCACTGACCTCGGAGAGGAAGACAGCGAAGCGCTTGGAGTAGAGCGGGTCGTACTGGTCGATGAGGTGGAGCATGAAGGCAAAGTCGTTCTTCACGTCGGGGATGTCGCTGTAGCTGCTCTCTTCGCGGATGGACTCAAAGGAGTATTTCTTGAGCGAGCGACGCAGCATCCACCAGAGCGTGTAGACGCAGATCAGTCCGTACACCACGACCAGACTCATGTAGAAGGAGGCGAGGATTTTGAAGAGGGTGGCTAACGGGTGGGCGCACTGATACACGCTGTAGCCCGTGAGGTTCTTGATGTCCACCTCGCAAGACACGTCGAACTTTATATCATCCACATAATACGCTGAGTAACAAATAATAAGAGCGAATTTCATGACTTTGATAATCGTCTGCCTCATGTACAGCTGGTAAACAATGTCCCCTTCCTCCACGTGGGTGCGGAATTTCTTGACTTTCTCGAACAGCGCCTTGGCCTGCTCCCCCTCCTTCTTGTCCAGAACCCCAGTCTCCGAGCGATCCACAATTCCCTGCTCGATCCGGGACTTAGTCCTCTGCAGCATGGGCACGCTGGCCTCCACGTCCTCGCTGGCCGTGGAAGATTTCTTGGCCACAGAGCCGTTCATTTTGCCGAAGGACTGCTTGGGGTCGCTTTCTTCCACCACCGTCTCGGACAGCGCCCGCGTCGTCCAAGGGGAGTCGAAGCACTTGAGGAGGATGGACACGAAATGCTCCAGTTTGGAACTGGTTCGGGGGTACTTGAACCAGAAGTTGCTGCACACCAGGAACACGAGCGTGTGCAGCAGCACCAGATACGGGAAGTATTTGGCGAACCAGTGAAGCTCGTTTTCGTAGCAGACGGCGTCCACGTAGTTATACTGGTGTCTGTCCAGGTCGTACTTGATGCCAGTGGGGAGAGTCGGGAAGGTGTCCGACGGGGGAATGGACGAATTCAGGTACTCGGTGACTATGGGCTTGGACGTTAGCTTCTGGAAGGGCTCCACGCACGACTTGTTCAGAACCCACTTGCAGGGTAAGCAGATCATCTTGTCCTGGGTGACCTGCAGCGTGCCCCCGAACACGGCGATCATCAGCATCACGATGGAGATGTAGTCCATGAACACGTCCCACCACGGCTTCAGGATGCGGTAGGCGGGCTGGGTGTCGGCAAAATACCGTAACTCTGTCACTGGAATCATTGTGGACCTGCGGCCAAACCAGAGGAACAGCGTCAGCGGCGATAACGTGACACGGTGTTAAACAACCCCAGCAATGTTTTTGAGCGAGTTATTGCAGACAGAGCAGATGCCACGACGTGGCGCCTCAAAAGCGTTTCACAGAATATATTGTAAAGTGGAGTGACTGTGTATTTTGTGAGTGAAACGCGGCAGCCAATTGCGCACAGCAGTGTCCCACGAACGGTCGTGGATTGAGTGAACAGTTTTTTGGGGACGGGATTATTACCCCGGAAAGCGACGCGCCGATCGACTCTCAACCGGGTTCCTATTTACTGTTAGGTAAACAGAGGCGTGTGGAGTAAGGAAACTTACCAAAGTTCCCTTTTGGTGACAAACGCAAGTGATGAGAGCTATTGATCTCCCAAAGTACCGAATGTTTGCACCGCTGCGGAAGCCAAAGCTCAGCACCACATGCCATGTGACTCCCCCCACCCTGATAGACTTATGAAATCCCCCAGGAAAAGGCAAGGTCCACTGCACTGATGTGGGCAGCTAAATTTGCCTTAAGTATCAGGACTCTGGATGTCTGCTGCCTCAGATACAGAAAGAAAATGCAACTGGGGAGAAGAGAACTCTTTTTAAATCATTGCCCACCTAACTCAGCTGGGTGTGGATTTGACGTCAGGTGCTGAGTTAGGAGCACGATGGCCAGTTTGTAACAGAGAAGTCACTCTATCCCTCGGGTGACAAGGTTGCACGGGGTGGGAGGAACGAAAAGAGTACCATGGCAGCAAATGCGTCTGTCTGGTCAGTTAGGGAAAGGAGTACAGAAAGCGATTGCCTGGCACAAACAGTGGGAACAGGAAAGAACAATTCCCCTCTGGCTCAGTGAGCTGACATTTCTGTGTCTCTCCAGCAGTCTCCAAGCACATCCTTCACACACCCACTCCCCTGAGAGCACGGATGAATTGCACAGCTGGTGAGAATCCCGAATGTCCTCGGTCTCATGTGACACTGAACTCTTGTAGAGTTTGGATCAAATTCAAAGAGGCTATCTGAGTGAAGAAGCTTAAACATTAGCTATTTCGACAGGCATTCTGCCTGGCTTTTACCAGTGGGCTAATGAGAGCGGCTGAAAGGCCACAGTTTATCCCAGATTCCCTTTTTCACAATCCTGAGAATTTTCCCACGACCCGCAGCTACGCAGCTGGACTGACATTTGCCCTCATCGCTCAATGCCGAACGTAAGCTTTTATTCCGACTGAATAAGAAGAAAGTCGGTGGCCAGTGCCCTGCATCCAAACAACAGAATGAAGTGAATGATGAACTAGATTGGCATAAATACCCGCTGTGAACCTCACTGAGGTGGAGCAACAGAGGTACATGCACAACACAACAAAACACACACAAACACACACCACACGATGCATGTGGAACCCGGCTGTTAGCCGATTGGTGGATCGCTTTCCGGGGGTAATAATCGCTCAAAAAAAACGTGTTCACTCAATTTTGTTTGTGTTTGTGGGACACTGCTGTGCGCAATTGGCTGCCGCGTTTGCCACAAGATACAGTACAGTCAATCCACTTGACAATATATTCTGTGAAAGTGCTTTGAGACGTCTCAAAGACATGATAAGGCGCTATATCAAATGCAGGAATTATTATTATTATTGTGATACGCACAAGTAGACACAGGTATAAGTGTGCGCATGCCCTTACTCCCTGCTTCACGAATAGAAAACGAACACAGCAACGCTATCATGTTGTGCAACAAGTTTACAACTTGGATTAAAGTTTTAACAATGTCCAGCATTTGCACTTTCAATGTAAGCCTCCCCTTTGCCAAGAACTCCAGCAGCCAGTGGCAGATCACACTTGGCCCAGGAGTCACTTTAAAACAGTGGTAAAATTGCTTCAATGGCTTAATAAAATGTAAGATACTCAGGACCCCTGTCTCAGTGCCTCTCCCACCCACCACGCACACACCTTACTGAACAGGTCACACCATAAAGATCTGAAGTTCTGTTCAATCAGTCAAAATTCCCAGCAAACAAAGTCTCTCGTAGAAACCCCTAAGACTCCACGTGTCTCAGTAACAGCGAACAATGCAAATTAAAAGAATAACAAATTGCATTTATATAGCGCCTTTCATGTCAGGAGGACGTCCCAAGGCGCTGGCTGTACAGTCGATGGTTTGCACCCGAACTAGGGATTGAATTTGAGAGGGGAGGGGATGGGATGATGACCGATGGTGCGGGCAAACTGGAAAGTCTTGAGATGTACAAGAAAAACAGAACAGAAAAGGAGAACCCAGTAAACCATAAAGAGCGAAGCTCAGATTCAGGACCACAGGAGGAGACCCTGTTTGGAACCAGAGAAGTGATCCCGATCACAGTGACTGACATTATGTTTCTGTGACTAAGTTCACAACCACAATACCGGTTTGCTGGGACAGAGAGCACCGTTTATCACAAGAGCTTTCAAAATTACCGATAAATATTCTTCCGCTAATTTTAGCTCTCAACAGAATCAGGGAGAGAAGACATTCCCACACAGGATGCACGATTTACCATGTGAGAGTGATGTCAGTGGTGACCCAATCTCTAGAAGTGATGACTTTGAGCTGTTTGTTAGTTCATTTTAACTTTTTTTTAACACTAATCTTAGTCTGATTTTACAAACCCAAACCTCTGCCAGTGTGGGCGTCCTGCATTTCCTTCCTTAACTATTTCTCTCCTGCTCAGTTCCTGCCATTCAAAAGGCTGGCAAGTAACTATTGCCATATCCCCCCTCACCCAGTGTAGCTTTCACCTTTTATTTATAATAATAGTCTTTGCATTTGATTTAGCCCCTATCACGTCGTTGAGATATCTCAAAGTGCTTCACAGAATATACTGTAAAGGGAATTGACTGTGTATTTTGTGGTGTAGTAGTATTCCACAAGGCAGCAGTGGATTGAGTGACCAAATCAATTTATTTTTTGAGGGATTATTACCCCCGGAAGCAATCTGCCAATCGACTATCGAAAAAAGTTCACTAGGTATGCAGAGGCCTGTGGAGTAAGGAAACTTACCTAATTGAACTAGGGTCATCTCGCTTGCGAGGAGAACTAGCTAACCACTACGCTATGGGATTCCACATTGTAGAACACAGTGGAAGGGGGGCGAGAGAAAGTGATCGAGGGCACGGTCAAAGAGGTTGTTTTCAGAAGTATTTCGAACAACATCCATCATGTGCTCAGCGCTGTTCCTTTATCTGTCTGTCTCCTAACTTCCTTGCTTAAACAGATATTTTATAGCTGGCCCCAAACCAAGACCAGGTTGAAAGCTTTTCCTCACTGAGTAAACAGAAATGAGCACAAGCTGATTCAGAGGATTACAGGAAATCGTTTAGTCAATCCTCCCCCTCTCCCCATTCTATTAACTATTAAGGGGCTGGGGGGGGGGGGGGGGGTAAGAGAGAGAGAATTCCCTCTAGACTGGATGTTATCTGACAACAATGTTTTTAGCCACTGAAACTATTCACGGGAAAATAGCAATACAAGATCTTTCAGGTTATATTTTGGGAAAGTGACTCAGAGCTTGGAAAGGTTTTCCTGTTGCTCATTGTGTAGGGGCTACTCGTTTCTTCTTCCGGTTGTTAGTCACTAAACTGGCTGAACAAATGTTAACATACTTAGTGAGTTCAACCTTTGAGATGCAACAATTCATTCAAATAATAATCCTTGCATTCGTTACAGCCCCTTATCACGTCTTCGAGACAACAACATTACATTTGTATAAAGCCGAGATGTCTCAAAGTGCTTCACAGAATATACTGTAAAGTGAATTGACAGTATATCTTGTGGGCGAAACGTAGCAGCCAATTGCTCACATCAGTGTCCCACAAACAGTTGTAGATTGAGTGATTTTTTTTATTTATATTTTGTTTTGAAGAGATTATAACCCCTGAAAAAGCGATCCACCATTCAACTAACAACCGGGTTCCTACTTACTGCTAAGTAAACAAAAGTGGAGTAAGGAAACTTTTCTAGCATTTTACCCTGCTGGGAATCGAACCCAGGTCCTCTCACTTGCGTGGTGAGTGTTCTAACCACTGAGCTACAGGACTCCACTGCCCCAATGGGATTCTTTATTTTTCTTTGTCCGCTGTTCATATATGCTTCTTTTGCGTTCTATAGCAGCCTGTTTTGTAGGATAGTTTCACACACGCTGGGTTAGCTTAGGGCTCTTCTGACTGAAATCACAGAGGCCAGGATTGTCTATGATTAAATGAATCAGCACAGGCTTAGTCATCTGTCTTTTTCCCCTTTCAATACTTCTGAGAATTAAGAAATACTTTTTTTTGTTCCCCATATAAAATAACTGCTTGAATCTACAGATAAGCTTCTGCAATTTCACAGAACATCTGCGAGTAAAATGACATTAACGGAGTTCAGAATAGAAAGAGCATGCACAAGCGAGTTTGGAAAGAATTACTATTAAAAGGTTGGTGGAATTTCCAAGCCTACGACCGAAATACGATTGGAATACTTGTGTGGATAGATTCTATGAAAACTTAATTAGTTGTAAGTTTAGAAGCAACACAGTAGGATTCTCACTGGAAGAGGTTGGAGGAGGACAGAAGAAACCTTTTCAAGCAGAGACTATTAAGAACGTTTTTGCTACACAGTGGAGTCCTATAGAGTAGTGGTTAGCACGCTCACCTTGTAACTGAGCAGAGCCGGGTTCGATTCCCGGGTGGGGCAAAACCTTAGGCAAGCTTCCTTACTCCACACACCTCTATTTACCTAGTAGTAAGTAGGAACCCGTTTGTTAGTTAATTGATGGATCGCTTTGCTGGGGTAAGTGCTTTGAGATGCATCAACGACGTGATAAGGTGCTGTGTCAAACGCAAGGATAATTATTACTAAGTGACCATTGAAGTTGGTCGCTGAGCAAGGAAGGGCGAAGGGGAAAGTGGCCGTAAGCACGGTCGAACAGGTAGGTTTTAAAGTGGGATTTAACGCTAGATAGGGGCAGCGAGGTGGAGGGATAGAGGGAGGGAGTTTCAGCGGTTAGGGGTGAAATGACGGAAGAATATACAAAATTACACGGAAAGACCAGGGGTTTGGACCGGAAACAAGCGGGGAGGTGTGGGGAGTGCAACAGGAGAGGAAAATACAACATTTCATTTTCCAGTTTGGCAATGACACTGTGTGCTGTGTTCCCTGCTGTACTCACGCTGTTGGTTATCGGTAATCAGACTCCAGGGGTGTCAAGCAGACGGCCCTTTGTGCTTCATCCCACCAACTCTGGGCACCTCGCTTTCTCCTAGCTCCATAGGAACGGCCGACGTCACTGAAAATAAATGGAAACACATGAGAAAGTGGCCGAGTCACTTAGTGTCAGATAGTTAGCCAGTGACTGACTCCTGGAGGCTGAATAAGTCCCCACGCCTAGCACACCCAGACACTAGCTTCAGGAGAGGAGCAGAGATTAGAAAGCACTCATCATCTATAGCGAGCAAGCGCGCCATAGAAACTGTTTCCGGGATCAACAGAAGACTTACAACATTTAAGCTTTGCAGAAAACAATTGCTCAAGTGACTCACAGGTTAGATTGTGTCAGAGGGTGGTGAAGGCTTTGGAATTTATGATCCTGTATCCAAAAGCAATTCCCATAAAAGGCAGTTTAGGGAGCTTTTGTTCTGGAGATTTGTGTGAAAGGCATTAAGCATGGCACAGCCCTTCACCCTGCCTGAACATAGCATTCGATTGTAAGATTTTTTGCATCGAGACTTTAATGACATCTCTGAATTATCTGGCAGAGATCAATCAAGATTTAATTGATGGCAATTTTCTACTCTGACCGCAGAATTGTAAAGTAAAAATTCTCAAACAATGAAGTGAGAGAGAGAGAGAGAGAAACACCATTCATTTCATTTTAATTGAAATGTCATAATCCACTTGATTCACTTGCCGGGTTTGAGAATTGTGTCTCCCTGGGGCCAGAATTTCAGATGAGCTTAGTTTGCTGGGGCCAGAATTTCAGATGAGCTTAGTTTGCTTTCTGTCTGTCCAGACAAACATGCTGGTATTTAGTGAAACACATTACCTCTCGAGAAGTACAGTAGTCAACAAACGGTATTGAGAATGAGTGGGTGGTGCTCAGACTAATATCTTACAAGTCTTTACAAGGTCTCACTGTTTGGGCAAGAGGTTGGATTTGTTTGTGCAGCCCACTGCTTGTCCAGCTAGGTAGGGTGGTCCCAGCTGAACAAGCAGCGGGAAACCTTGCCGCCAAGCAATATCAATGACAAGCTATGCAGTTTCAGATGGTTAGATTCCAGCAGTTACCGCAACACACACCCTGGGATCCCCAAGCCTTGGTTCTTGCCTACCTGCGCCTAATACTTTCAGGAATTAGGTAAGCAGGATGCGTCACTTCAGGGAGGGAGAGAGAGAGCATTCCAGTCCAACAATCTATCTCCTGGATTTCCATGTGTAGGTGAGATGCATGGAAATCTCAACTTGGTTTGGATTACTCTTAAGCACGGTGATGGATGTCCTCAAGTGTCAGACCAAAATTAATAAAAATAAATTCATGGAGCCTCTTCCTTATTATATTATATTTATAGAGTGCCTTTCAGGTCGGGAGGACGTCTAAAAGCGCTGAACAGTCAGCTGTCGGGGCCCGAGCATGGGGGAGGGGTGATGTAGGGGTGAGGGAAGGCAGAGAGGTGGGAGGGAGACCAAAGGCACAATTGAAGAGAAGGGTCTTGAGACCGGCCTTGAAGGAGGCGAGGGAGGAAGCGAGGCAAAGGGACCGTGAGATGGAGTTCCAGAGTGTGGGGGCAGAGAGGCTGAAAGCCCGGCCACTGATGGTAGGGCGGGTCGGGCAGGAGACACGGAGCAGGTCGGAGTCTGACGAATGGAGGGAGAGGGCAGGTTTGTGGGGAGTCAGCAGGTCAGAGAGGGTTTAGGATCAGAGTCTCAGGAAGATCAATACAATCTATAATTGTCAGTTCAATGACAGGTGAGAAACACGACTACATGATGTCATCAGATTGCAAAAGCTTTGAACAAGGGTATTAATTAATTAACAACAAGAACAACTTGGATTTATATAGCGCCCTCCACGCCGGACGGTGAGCTTTAAAATCTCAAACAGGTCTTTTATAACCCAAATCTTACTACTGCATTCAAAATATGATCAATTGACCATTTACCTTATGACAATTTAACAACAACAACTTGCATTTATATAACGCCCTTCACCCGGGGTAACATTACAGGTCTCTACTGTGTTTGTCTACAAATACAGTCACTGGATAGTAACTAAGTGGGAAGCTCTTTGAGACGTTCCAACGTAATAAGGCGCTATATAAATGCTCATTCGTTGTTATAGGTTATTCAAATGTTAAGAGATCAGTTTATCTCTCACAAATACCACAGGACATGAACTGCAGACAAACACTGAGGCACCAGCTGCAACTGGTTAGAGACCATGATAAGGTGCTATAAAAATGCAAAGTTATTTCCTCACTATGAGGGACCCATAAGCAGTGTGTACTTACACTGGTCTGGCTTATTGCATCAGTTTAAATGTTACATTCCATGGAGTCCTGTAGCTTAGTGATTAGAGCACTCGCCTCGCAAGCGAGAGGACTTGGGTTTGATTCCTGGCAGGGCGAAATGTTGGGCAAGTTTCCTTACACCACACGCCTCTGTTTATCCAGGAACCTGGTTGTTAGTCGATTGGCAAATCGCTTTTCCGGGGATAATTATTCCTTCAGAAAATAATAATAATTTTGTCACTTAATCCACGACTGTTTGTGGGACACTGTTGTGCGCAATTGGCTGCCACATTTCGCCTACAAAATGCACAATCACTACACTTTACTGTATATTCCGTGAAGAGCTTTGAGACGTCTTGATGACGTGATAAGGCGGTATATCAAATGCGAGTATTATTATTATTATAATAAAACAGCCCTCCATGTGGAAGTGAGAATCCTGCATCCAACTGGTGTTTAGGGGAGGGTGGAGATAAGGCCCTGATCCATTTGACTGCAATATTACACTATAACGCCATCCTTGGTCCTCTCCCATCCCTGAAGTGAATTAAAGTGACTGTCTTCCAACTCGGCTCTTAGATCACTTGCAGCTACTGATCTTGAATATTACTTACATGTGACGCAGCACTCCGAGTAGCTGCCAATTTCATGCAATTCCGGATAGCACGATTACAGGCGGATTTACAGAATTGAAAGGAACAGAAATAAATCAGAGGGAAAGAGGACTATGGATTCAAATAGGCTCCGTTTAAAAAGCCAGGAAACGCAGGCAATTTTAAGCTTTGTTCCATCCTAACCTTACAGCCTTTCAATTGGTGTTTTATCTGACCCTCGTCTGCACGGGAGGCTCTTTGGGATTTCTAGGGAGGAGTTGCTTTTAAGCTACTCTTCCTCCCTTCCCAACCCTGTAAATTGACTGCACTGCCACAGTGAGAAGATGGACCAGTCAGCCGGGGTTGGGCACTTGCGCAGGCCTGTTTCATGTAGACTGAAGTGACTCCCTCCTCTCAAAGGCTCATTTCAAACGTGGTAAAGGAACTGAATCACACAGTACACTAAACAACAAGTTGCATTTATATGGCACCCCTCATGCAGGGTAGTAGCCCAGAGCCCATAAACTGCACCTACATGAGACGTCTTCCCCACTTCCCCAAATTTACCCACATCCGTCAGGGATACAGTCTTTAAAAACTAAAACTCAAATACGTCTGGGGGAAGCTAGGAGAATAAAAAACACCCAGTGGCTCTTGAACTTCATAAAGCTGAGACAAACAGGATGACTGGGCACCACACCTCAAAACTGAAGACCTTGACTTCTGTCGGTGCAATGGGCTGAAGCACACACCTTCTTAGAACAATTCCATGCACAATGCTTGGCAAAGGAGTGCAGTGCAGTGAAGCCATCATCTGACCCGACGAAGAAGTTTTCAATGGAACTTCCTCTCATTTCAGACAGTCTGACTGCCAGCTGGCTCCAACCTCCACAAAGCCTTCAAAATGTTAATCCCAAAATGCAGCTAAACTTTCCTCTTTCAATCTACAGTCGTGACAATTTAAAGTCTGTCTGAGGACCTTGCCTTGAACTTATTGTTTTTTAGTATCTCTACACAATGGTTGCGTGTGTATGGGCTATGTGCCTTCCATGACATTTGTAGCAACAAACAGCTGGTATTTTCAATAAGTTTAAAAATATTTTGTTAATGTTACACTAGCCATAAAACTACAGGATCAGTTTAAAACTATATTAAGCGTATGTGCGGGAGGGTAGAGCTGGTGGGACAGTAAACAGCTGGGATGCGAAGCTCTAGACTTAAGAAATAAACAATGAGGATCAACTGAGCAGGGAAGGAAGGAGGGCGAGTTTGAGGTAGTTGACCAAAGGCACAATTAAAATAATTTTTAAAGAGGGTTTGAGGTGCAGAAAGAGTGGGCTCAAAGCAAAGGCATTTGGGGAGAGTTCCAGAGGAGGGAGAAAAGTGCTGGAGACTTTTGGTAAAGCAGAGGGTACAGGAGAGTAGCATCGGCAGATATTACAGAGGTATAGTGGGGCAAGATAATTTTTTTTAACTCAGAACAAGGAACTGGAAGTCTATCTGCCTGGGCTGTGGGGATAGTACTCATTAACTATAATAAGCGTGTGTGCGTGAGGGTAGAGCTGGTGGGACAGTAAACAGCTGGGATGTAAATCTTCTGAGTATTTGATTTTACTGCAATAATAGGGGGAGGGGGGACTCGGGAAACAACAGATTTCCAGTCAGTACAGAAAAACCCCTTTCCTGACAATTTCCAAATAAAAATTCCCTGTGCTATAAAGGCTCTGACGCTAATACCTTTTGTGGTGATTCATTGTGGGACCGGCCATGAACCTGTGGAATCTGATTCCCAATGTTTCAGTCACGCGAGCAGGAAGTATCACAGGGCAAGGTTCAGTACTGCTTGAAATGCAACCTTCTATTTACATGAACAGAATAAAGGGACTCCTCGAGTTACAACAGTCTCCCCTTATGAGAAGGCTGATGTTATTTGCCAAAGATAGATAATATGGTAAGTAAAAAACAAAAATACTGAAGAGATGAAAAATACTCGAAAACATTAGGAGTCATCTCTCTCCCTTGCTGACATCATCTCCACACATTAACAATGTCGTTTTAACACTAGACAAGGTGAGGATTCTCAGCTCAATGCCAGTCTCGATAAACTAATAATAATCATTGCATTGGATATAGCGCCTTATCACATCTTCGAGACGTCTCAAAAGCTTCACAGAATATACTGTGAAGTGAATTGACTATGTATTTTGTGGACGAAACATGGCAGCCAATTGCGCACAGCAGTGTCCCACAAACAGTTGTAGATAGATTGACCAAATAACAAGCTGCCAATTTCTCAGAAAAATAATAAACATCTTTGAGTCTCCCCAGAACTTGCTGTCTCTGAACAACATGCTCCCAGCTCCCTTACATAACGAATTTTAAATGAACAAGACAAATCTCTCTCTCTTTTCTCCCCCCCTCCCCCCCAGTAGTCAACATGATAAGTTATGAAGAGAGCTACATCAGTGGATCCAGATCAGAACTCTTCTTGGCCACAGGTGCTGAAACTCTTTTGTGCTAAGTTGGCTCAGTTAGTACAGTAGCACTTTTACGTTCTGGGTTAGAAAGTTGTATGTTGTACATTTTGCCCACAAACTATGCAGTCAATTCACTTTACAGTATATCCTGTGAAGTGCTTTGAGACGTCTCGAAGACATGATAAGGCGCTATATCAAATGCCAGGATTATTATTATTATTATTATTATTGGAGCCCTAAGACAGAACTAACATTCTAGGCTGGATACTGTAGCGGTGAGAGAGCTCTGCATTGTTGATGTGCCGCCTTTTGGATGAGCTGTTGAACCGAGATCCTATCTGTGCCGGTTTAGGTGGACGTCAAAGATCCCACAGCACTAGTGGAAAAGAGAAGGGAGTTTTCTCTCTCTCTCTCTCTCTCCCGGTGTCCCAGCCAGAATCCACCAAATAAAATTGATCGCTCACTCAATGGCTGTTTGTGGGACATTGCTGGAGGGGGGGGCGGTGGGGTGACAAATTGTCTTACCACTTTCTCTCACAAATACACATCTTAGTGGATTCCTGTAGCTCAGTGGTTAGAGCACTCGCTTTGCAAGTGAGAGACCCGAGTTCAATTCCAGGCAGAGGGCGAAACCTTGGGCAAGTTTCCTTACTCCACACAGAGCCTAATAATAATCCTTCCAAAACCAAAAACAATAATAAATTGATCATTTTCAATCCACGACCGTTTGTGGGACATTGCTGTGCGCAATTGGCTGCCGCGTTCGCCCACAAATATACAGTCAATTCACTTTACAGTGTGTTCTGTGAAGCGCTTTGGGACGTCGAGAAGACGTGAAAAGCGCTATATTAAATGCAAGGATTATTATTATTATTATTACACTCACAGTAAAATCCTGCAGAGCCTGTGTGATGAATCACGATCAATGTACTGTGATCACTCTCCACACAACCAGAACCGTCGGTTTTCTTGCCTTTCCCTTTCAATTTGCCACAACACAAATCGCGGGGTGTGTGTAAAAAAAAAGGCAATCACACTGCAAATAATCATCATCATCATCATCATCTTTGCATTTGATTACAGCGCCTCATCCCGTCTTCGCTTCGCGGAACACACCGTAAAGTGTAGTGACTGTGTTATTTTTTGCGGCTCGAGGACACGGCTCCGCGCCCGACGCCGAAAAGGCATGAAATCGACCTAACAATTACGATAACATTATTTCCTGATATTGTTTACCTCTGGGCCGGGCCGCTGTGTGTGTGTGTGTGGGAGACCCCGGGGGGGCCTCTCCCCTCCGCCCCTCTCTCTCTCTCTCTCTCTGTCCGCGGTGTCGGGGGCCGGAGCCTCGCCCTCTGCCTCCCCGGAGCCTGGGCCTAAAGCCGGGGCCTGGTCCCGAGTCTCTCTCCCTCGGGCCGAGGCCTGAAGTCGGGACTCTCTCTCTCTGTGTGTGTGTGTGTGTGTCTGTCTGTCGCTCTCTCAGGGTCTCGTTACCGCGGCGGCCGCCATGTTGCTGTGGGTCCGCTGATGTTGGTGTCCCGGGGCCGCGCGTGTCTCGGATAAACGGTCCCCCCCCGCGCCCCGCGCCCCGCCCCGCGCTGGTGTCTCTCACACAGGCTTCCCCCGGGGGGGGGGGGGGCGCGGCCTGAGTGCGCGCGGACAGGAGCGCGCGAGTGATTGTCAGCCCAGACCCCACCGCACAGACTCAGGTGAAGCTACTGCCCGACACACACACCCACACACACCGACACACACCCACCGACACACACACACACACACCGACACACACACACACACCGACACACACACACACACACCCTGACACACACACCCCGACACACACACACACCCTGACACACACACACACACCCTGACACACACACACACACACCCTGACACACACACACACACACACCCTGACACACACCCCGACACACACACACACACACACCCTGACACACACACACACACCCTGACACACACACACACACACACCCTGACACACACACACCCTGACACACACACACCCCTGACACACACACACAACCCCGACACACACACACATGACCCCGACACACACACACACCACCTTGACACAGACACACACACACCTGACACACACACCCCGACACACACACACACCCTGACATACACACACACCCTGACACACCCGACACACACACACCTGACACACACACATCCTGACACAACCACCCTGACACACACACACCCTGACACACACCCTGACACAAGCACACACACACACCCCGCACAGACTCAGGTGAAGCGACTGCCCGACACACCCCCACACACACACCGACACACACACACCCACACACACACACACACACCCACACACACACACTGACACACACACACAGACACTGACCCTGACACACACACACACCCTGACACACACACACCCACCCTGACACACACACACACACACACCCTGACACACACACACACACCCTGACACACACACACACACACACACCCTGACACACACACACACACCTGACACACACACACACACACCCTGACACACACACACACCACCTGACACACACACACACACACCCTGACACACACACACACACCCTGACACACACACACACCCTGACACACACACACACACTTGACACACACACACACACACCCTGACACACACACCCCGACACACACACACACCCTGACATACACACCACACACCTGACACACACACACACACACCCTGACACACACACCCCGACACACACACACACACACCTGACACACACACACACCCTGACACACAACCCGACACACAACACACCACACACACCCTGACACACACACACACACCCTGACACACACACACACACACCCTGACACACACACACACACACACCTGACACACACACACACACACACACACACACACCCTGACACACACACACACCCTGACACACACACACACACACACCTGACACACATACACACACACACACCTGACACACACACCCGACACACACACACACACACACCCTGACACCACACACACACCCTGACCACAACACACACACACACACACACACACACACCCCTGACACACACACACACACACCCTGACACACACACACACCCTGACACACACACACACACCCTGACACACACACACACACACCTTGACACACACACACACACCCTGACACACACACCCCGACACACACACACACCCTGACATACACACACACCCTGACACACCCCGACACACCCCGACACACCCTGACACACACACACATCCTGACACAAACACACACCCTGACACACACACACCCTGACACACACCCTGACACAAGCACACACACACACCCTGACACAAGCACACACACACACCCTGACACACACACACACACACACCCTGACACACACACACACACACCCTGACACACACACACACTGACACACACACACACACACCCTGACACACACACACACACACCCCGACACACACACACACACACCCTGACACACACACACCCTGACACACACACACACACACCCCGACACACACACACCCTGACACACACACACCTGACACACACACACTGACACACCCCGACACACACACACACCCACACCCTGACACAAGCACAAACACACCCTGACACAAGCACACACACACACACCCTGACACACACACACACACACCCTGACACAAGCACACACACTGACACACGACAACAACAAAATGACATTTATAGAGCGTCTTTCAGGTCAGGAGGACGACCCAAAGCGCTGAACAGTCAGGTGTCGGGGCCGAGCACAGGGGAGGGTGGGGTAGGTCTGAGGGAAGGCAGAGAGGTGGGAGGGAGACCAAAGGCACGGCCGAAGAGAAGGGTCTTGAGACACGCGCGCACACACACACACAGACTACACCGCGCCCTGACCCAAACACACACCCTCACCACCCAGTGCCAACAATCCCCCAAATAAAATTGATCACTCACTCCGTGGCCGGTTGTGGGACACTGCTGTGCTGCCACGTTTCACCCACAAAACACAGTCACTCCATTTCACAGTATAATCCTGTGAAGCACTTTGAGACGTCTCAACGACGTGCGAAGGCGCTATTCCAATGCGAGGGTGATTATTATTTATTATTATCTTACGGTAATTATAAAAACCAGTCAACCCACAGGTGAATAGCTCCTCGACATATACCCAGGTTTACGCGTACGAAGGAGAAAGGGACAGAAGGGTATAAACTGCCACCGAATAGCTGAGCTGAATTGCCTGTTTTCTGTATTGGACAGTCTCCGTATCGGGTTATTTTAGTGTCGAGCTTCAAATTTCATGTTGTTTGTTATTCAAATGACACCTTTACGTTTTATGCCAAGTAATGGTCATTTGACTCGACTCACACCCTGGCAGTATTTAAGTTGTCGTCTTCACCATCTTGTTCTTGGTACAGCTGTTGATATGTTGAGGATAGCACACGTTGTCAAAGGGAGCAATAGGAACTTCGTCAACCATATTTTACACACAAGTAACGTAAGTGACTTTTACTCCTTGCAACGGTTTAGCTTTTTTAAAACATAAATTGAAGGGGTGATGTTAGAGTAAATAGGGAGACGTTATTTCTATTGATCGCAGAGACTGTGACCAGAGAACATACAATAACAACTTGCAATTAGATAGCGCCCTCCACGCAATTCACTTTCCAGTATACTCTTTGAAGTGCTTGACACGTGTCGAAGATGTGATAAAGCGCTATATCAAATGAAAGGATTATTATTATCATTATCTAACCACTGTTTGCCATGTCTTGTTTCTCTGATACCTTTTCGAGATTTGTTGCTCGTCTGCACTATGGCGTTAGACCCTTCTTAATGTTAATAAAATCAAGACATTGGAATGCAATTCACTGACCGCAACATTAAAGTATAACTAGAGATGCTAATGTACAACTAAACCGTTTGTGGGACAATTGGCTGCTGCACTTTGCCCACAAAATATACAGTCTATTCTGTGAAGCGCTTTGAGACGTTGAGAAGACGTGAAAAGCGCTATATCAAATGCAAGGATTATTATTATTATTTAAATGTTCTCTAACTGTGTTGTAATTCTCATCGATGCTGGGAATCCAAGGTTGCCAGAGGCTTTCTGATTGAAGGCGTGGGGTTGTCTTAAGGATGATGATAATAATAATCCTTGCAATTTGATATAGAGCTTTATCATGGCTTTGAGACGTCCCAAAGCGCTTCAGAGAATAGATTGTGAAGTGAATTGACTGTATATTTTGTGGGCGAAACGCGGCAGCCAATTGTCCCACAAACGGTTGTGGATTGAGTGACAGAATTTCTTCGCTTGCAACCAAAGGATCCAATATGGAATGTAGATTGACACACAGAAAGACATTTCATCTTTATCTATATTCATCCGGGAGGACTCCTGTGGGAGGACTCCTCTCGGAAGGACTCAGTGGGAGGATTCGGTGCTTTAAAAATGTAATGCTGTTGTTGTTGCCGCAGCTTAGCTTCGTCTGTGTTCTTTATTTTGTTCCCACCGCTCGGCTACGTGCAGGCTCTGTGACGCAGGTTGCCACAGCGCCACGGTCAGCCGGCGCGGCCAGCAGATGTAACTGCAGTGTGTGCACACACAGGTGGGCGCTCTGTGACCCACGATGCCACAGCGCCGCTTTGACTCGGCGGCCGCCAGGTGTAACTGCAGCGAAACTGAAAATAACTCCTGAACGATAGGAGATACCTGAAAATATGCCCACGTTACTCCCAGCGCACCTTTCCGATGAGGTATAAATCATGTCTCTACGTCAGTCGGTTATTGAGATCCTTACTGAAGCGCAGACAGACATTGTCGTTTTATTTATATGTGTACATATACCAGAAGATCAAGCGGAGGGAACGGACATCAATCACGTCCCGGCTTTTGGGAAAGATGAGCTCATTTTCAGCAAAGGAAAGGTACTCAGCACCAAACTATATTCATGCGATATGCAATTCATGCTATTCATGCAATTAAACTATCCGCACCTAAGGTATTTCCCTGCTTAAGAGTATCCAAATCAAACTGCTGGGAGTTTGGTATATTGTTGGCTTATCCGTGTCTGGGATGGGGTTGGAGTGCGTGCTCTTCTCCCCCACAGGGACAAGCCTTTGCTCACTTAATCCCAGACAGTTTAGGTACATTACCAAGCAAGTATGTAACCTGTCCTTCGGATAAGAAGCTAAACTGAGGACCCGTCTGCCTGTTCAGGTGGACGTTAAAGATGGGACGGGTGTAACTGGAGTTTAACTGGAGCTAAAACCATTCTGTTTTATGTCCCGAGTTTAACAGTGAATCCTTGGTTGTAAGGAATAAAACCCGGGGTTCCATTTTTTTTGTAGGTAAAGATGTCCAATCAAAAGAGTGCTCGGAGGATTGAAGGTTTGGACAAAAATATTTGGTAGGTGTGATATTCCTCCTTCTCCTCCCCCCCCCGACAGAACTACACTCAGTAGGGGGGCAGTAACTGTCTGCTTGTTGCAGTTGGAATGCCTGCTTTTTCTATTGGGCAGGTTTTTCTATCAACCCTGCCCTTCCTAGCCAATGCCCTGGAACCCATGGTTGCAAACCAACTTTGTTCACACCTCGCCTTCCACTCCCTACTCGAACCCCTCCAGTCCGGTCTCCACCCAACACACAGCACAGGGCCAGCACTCGTCAAAGTAACAAATGATGCCCTCTCTCTATGTGACCAGAGCCTCCTCAGCCTCCTGCACCTCCCTGCTACATTCGACACAGTCGACCACGCCATCCTCTTCCACCACCTCTCCTCCTTCATCCACCTTAGTGGGACTGCACTCACATGGTTTGAGTCCTACTTGACCAACCGCTAGCACTTCATCTTGACCAATGATTTTACCTCTCTCCCCGCCTGGTCACCTGTAGGGTTACCCAGGGCTCCATCCTTGGCCCCCTTCTTTTCCTCATCTACATGCTCCTTCTCGGCGATCTCATTGCAGGTAATGGGGTCAACTTCCAGATGTATGCGGATGACACTCAAATCTATTTCTTCCCCTCCTCCAGCTGCGACTCCCAGTCCTCTGATATCCTGTCAGCTTTTTTTGATGATTTGACATCAAGGTCTGGATGAGCGCAAATTTCCTGCATACTCTTTGGCTCCCGTCAACGTCTCTCCTGTAGGTCTGAACTCTTCAATCTCCCTGGGCTCTCCCTCAGTCTCTCCAAACCCGTGTGCAACTTAGGGGTCGGGTTCGATTCCCAGCTTTCCTTTCTTTCCCACATCCATTCGCTAACAAGGACCGCTTTTTTTCACCTCTGCCACATTGCCCGCTTCCGTCCATACCTCACAACTGATGCAACTGAAACCGTCGTCCACACCTTCGTCAGTTTCTGGCGGGTCTATTGCAGTGCCCTCCTCGCTCGTCTCCTGAGCTCTACCATACATAAAATCCAATTAATTCAAAACTACACCGCCCGGATACTCAACTGCACAAAATTCCGTACCCTCATCACACCGGTCCTTGCCTGGCTCCATTGGCACCCAATCACCGAATTGCTCGATTTCAAGATCCTCTCATTCGTTTTCAAAGCACTTCATTCCCTCGCACCTCCCTACCTATGCAACCTGCCTTGCCCCCATTCCACCACCTGCTGCCTCCTCTCGGCTGGCTCCAGCCTCCTAATTGTCCTTTGTGCCCTCCACTCCACCATCAGTGGCCGTGCCTTCAGCCACTACGCCCTGAAACTCAGGAACTTTCTCCCTCGATCACTCCGCCTTGCCCCCTCCGTCCCCACCTTCAAATCCCACCCAAAGAGCTTACTTTTTGATCGTGCTTACGGTCACTCCTCCCCTCCCTCTCCCCTTAGCTCATTATCAGACTACCCTCCTGTGAAGCGCTCCGGGACGCTACCCTGTGTGAAGGGCACTATATAAATGCAACTTGTTATTGTTGTTTTCTGTTGGCTTCAGGGTGGAAATTACAAAGCTTGTCAGCCAACATCAGGTAGTGAACCTTGGGCAAGGCTTCCCTGACTTCTCACCACCACAGTTTGTAAAAGAAGCTTTCATCAGGGCTCTCAACAGTGAGAACAGCCTCATGAACCAGTACACCAGGGGCTTTGTAAGTACTCGCAATAGAGTCCCGCAGGGTAGTGGTTAGGGCACTCACCTCGCAAGCCAGAGGACCCGGGTTCGATTCCCAGGCAGGGCGAAACCTTCCTTACTCCACACGCCTCTGTTTACCTAGCAGTAAATAAGAATCCGGTTGTTAGTCACTTGGTGGATCGCTTTACAGGGGGTAATAATCCCTCAAAAAAATTTGGATTATGGCTGTTTGTAGGATACCACTGTGTGCGATTTGCTACCAAGTTTCTCCCACAAAATATACAGTCAATTAATTTTACAGTATATTCTATTAAGCGCTTTGAGACGTCTCACTGATGTGCTAAGGTGCTATAACAAATGCAAGGATTATTATTATTATTTCTCGTCCTTGGTGGAGTACACTCCACAAATGCCTGGTGAACAGGCATTTGTGTTTCTGAAGCTGTCAGGTAAAGCCAGGGTTCCAGCTGTTTTTTTTAAAAAAAAGCTAAATGATCCTCTCCTACTTTGCTCCATCAGGAACCTTCTCCCTCAAGTATCAAAATTTCTGAACGCAGGAATTGCTGGACAAAAAAAAAACAAGGTCCACCTCAGTTCACCTTCTTTTTGGAACAGAGTGGAGGAAAGCTTTGGGAACCTTAGACCCAAAGTTGCCTGTTTCTTCCTGGCATACTACACTTTACTATACGTCATGTCTCAAATGACTCATATACACTGTATCCCAACATATTATTTTCTAAAAGAAATCTATCTCATCGACTATATCAAAAACAAGGGTTATTGTTATCCTCTTCTCATTTATTGGGCCTTTTTATGCATTCCCACTTCCCTCCCCCCCCGAATAAGCAAAATCTCTCTCAGACAGGCAACAGTTAACAGAGGTCCCGCCAAGCTAGGTTTATTGCACCTGGTGTTATAATGTGATTTACTGAGTGCCACACACATTCACACTGCTGTGCTGTCTCCTGCTCTGCCTCTCAGGGTCACCCTCCGCTGGTAAACATCTTGGCCTTGTTTTTCGGGAAGCTGCTGGGACGCGATATAAATGCCTTGGACGAGGTGTTGGTGACGGTTGGTGCCTACGAGGCCCTCTTCTGTTTCTTCCAGGCGATGGTCGATGATGGGGATGAGGTACGATACACAATGCAATACAAAATTATATTTGTATAGTGCCTTTCACGTCACAAGGACGTCCCAAGGCACTGGATAGTTAGGGATTTGGACCCGAGCAGGGGGGCAGGAGTTGGGATAAGGGAGGGTGGAGGGTAGGGAGTGTCATGGGATCTTTAACATCCACCTGAACAAGGGACCTGGGTTAAATGTCAGAGAGCAGAGATTGTAGGGTGGGAGGGGATTACACAAATGAAGAATGCAAATGAGATAGTTCCAAAGGGTGGGGGCAGAGAGGCTAGAGTCTCGACTAGAAACTTGGTTGTTAGACGTTTGGAGGATCACTTTCCGGGGGGTAACAATCCCACAAAAAAATTGGTCACTCAATCCACAACTGATTGTGGGACCCTGCTGTGTGCAATTGGCTGCCATGTTATGCCCCAAAAATACAGTCAATCCACTTTACAATATATTCTGTGAAGTGCTTTGAGACGTCTCAAAGACACGATAAGGCTGCATGTCAAATGCAAGGATTATTATTGGAGTTTCCGACTTTTTTTTCCTTTTAAACCTGGTTGCATTTGGCCTCGCTCAGTCAGACATGAACCCACTCCGTGACTATTGCTTCGATTTTAATTTTTACAAAGTTTTTATTTGAAGCCAGTTGTGCAGTCGGTTCCCCCCTCCCTTCCTCACTTGGGCCAGGTTGATCGACCAAAATGTGTAAAGCACTTTTATCTCTGCAGGTGATCATTATTGAGCCCTTCTTTGACTGCTACGAGATGATGGCTCAAATGGCTGGAGGCCGGCCTGTATTTATCCCACTGCAGCCGGTGAGTAGCGGAAGCCAGATGAGGGCGGCACCTTTGCCTGATTATTATAGTACGTGTTATATGGAGAGATCCCATACTTGTCTGTGCAGGGTGTCCATAAAGTCCTGTTACCCCCTTTATTTTTCTCTTTCTCTCTCTCTACAGTGCACTGACCAACAACTGAAACACGTGGAAGAATGATAATAATTGTATTTACAAGTTACTTAATTGTATTCAGTACAGATACAGATAAACTATTGCCTCTGGTGGGGGAATCCAGAACAAGGGTACATAATCTTTAGGAATGAAATTTTTTCGAAGGCAGTTTCTCATCCAAAGGTTAGTGGAAATTTGGAAATCTCTTCCCCCAAAAAGCTGTGAATGCTGGATCCATTCACATCTTGAAGACCGAGGTGGATAGATATTTGTTAGGTCAGGTTATTAAGGGATACGGAGCAAGGGCGGGTAATTGGACTTTTGGTCTTATAGAATAGCGGAACAGGCTCGAGAGATGAACGGCCTGCTCCTGTTTCTATATGTAAATGCCACCATTTTCATGGCAGATAAGGATCCGTTGCCATGTTCAGTGCCACATTTTCCGTAAGGTGGATGGATGGATTGAGTGAGGAGGCGAAATGCATCTCTGGCAGATTGTTTCAGCTCCTCCATAGTCTCATATCACTATTTTGTAACAGGGGGTAACAGGACTTTATGTACACCCTGTATAATACGCTTCAGAGGAAGAATGTGAAGGTTTCCCTGTTGTATCTTTCAGAAACCAGTCTCTGGCAGGATGGTGACCAGTGCTGACTGGGAACTGGATCCAGCCGAACTAGCAAATAAATTCACCAAACGCACGAAAGCAGTCATTCTCAACAATCCCAACAACCCACTTGGTAAGGTAAGAACGAAGTCACAGACGTCCTTCCGCCTTGCCCCCTCCTTCCCCATCTTCAGGTCCCACCTGAAGACTTCCCCTTCAACCGCAATTACAGTCACCTCCCACCCTCCCCCCAGTTGGGCGTCGTGCTCCAACTGTCAAGCGCTCTGGTACACGGGCCTGTGTGAGGGACGCTGTGTAAATGCAAGCTGTTTTGTTAAGGTTTTCACACGGAAGGAGCTTGAGCTGATCGCGGATCTGTGTGTGAAACACGATGTGCTGTGTCTTAGCGACGAGGTGTATGAGTGGCTGGTGTACGATGGCAAAGAACACGTACGGATTGGTAAGAAAAAATGATTTGTTTCAAAATCAGGTAAACCTAGCCGATTGCAGAAAAAGGGCAACTGGTTTCTCTTCGACCGTATTTACAGCCATCTCCCCCACCCCCGGGTACGGAGTTAAGCACCCTGATACGCTAGTCTGTGGTGTGCGCTATACACGTGCAAGTTGTTGTTGCATAGTGTCTTTCACATCGGGAGGATGTCCCAAAGCATTGGACAGTCAAGCATTTGCACCCGACGTTGGTAGTTGTGCTGTAACCTGCTCTTGGAACTGTATTGCCACCACGCTCGCCTCTGTATGAAGCGCTTCCTCCATACCTGCGTCAATCTGGTTCTTGTTTCCCACAGCCACCCTGCCCGGGATGTGGGAGCGGACAGTCACTGTGGGGAGCGGAGGGAAAACCTTCAGCGCCACAGGTTGGAAGGTGACAAACATTTTTGATGCTCCGGAGCTCAAGTTGCCGCTTGCGATGAAACAAATGCTTGTCTAACATTTGCCTCTCTGCTCCACGCAGGTCGGCTGGGCAATTGGGCCCAAACAGGTCCTCAGGCACCTCCGGACAGTCCATCAGAACACAGTCTTCCATTGTGCCACTGCAGCTCAGGTGAGAGGCACAACTTAGCGTAGTGGTTAGAGCGCTCGCCTCGCAAGCCAGAGGACCAGGGTTCGATTCCCAGGCAGGGCGAAACCCTAGACAAGTTTCACTAACTCCACACGCCTGTTTACACCTTGCAGTAAGTAGGAAACCAGTTGTCAGTCAATTGGTGGATCGTTTTCCGGGGTTCAATCCACAACTGTTTGTGGGACCTGCTGTGTGCAATTGGCTGCCGTGTTTCGCCCACAAGATACAATCAATTCACGTTAAAGTATATTCTGTGAAGCGCTTTGAGACGTCTGATAAGGCGCTATGTCAAATGCAAAGGATCATTAATATTATCGTGCGGTTTTCCCTGTGCTGTTTTGCCCTCAGCAAGCAGTGGCCGAGGGATTGACCAAGGAGTTGGAGTGCCTAGGAAAACCAGAGAGTTACTTCATCAGCCTACCCCAGGAGCTGCAGAGAAAGCGAGACCGACTGGCTGCCTCCATCAATGCCGCGGGATTAAAGTCCATTCTCCCAGAAGGCGGCTACTTCCTGATAGCAGATGTCACAGCAACCAGTGAGTTACCTTGTGCTACAGTCCCTCTCGAGGTCTGCATATTGTGCCCGTTTCTGGTGAGAAGTCGCCCGTTTTTATCCCGCGCTCCCGTTTTACTTTCACAGGGTTTGACCTGCCGGATTCTACCGACCCCGAGGAGCTGTACGATGACAAATTAGTGAAGCGGATGATCACTGAGCAGGTGAGTGCAGAGGTGCCATGCGTGGGCCGAGGCAACACATGAGGGACACGGGTGGGCAACACACAAGGGACACGCGTGGGCGTGAACGGAGGTGACACGAGGGACACGTGTGGGCAGAAACGACACGCAAGAGACACATGGGTGGGCTGTGCGGAAATAAACACACGAAGAAGCGGGAACATATTACTGGTTGTGGGGAGCTCTCCGACACACTCTCCCACTTGGCCCCGGGTTCAGGAGGGGGAGCTTTACAATTAATTAGCGGCTATAATAAAGATTGTGACGGCAATGCTTACCTACGCAGGGCCTGGCAGCCATCCCGGTCTCTGTCTTTTACTCAGCTGAACACAAGAAGGAGTTTGAAAACTATATTCGATTTTGTTTTGCTAAGGTGAGCTGTGAAACACACACATAATAATCCTTGCATTTGATATAGTGCCTTATCACGTCTTCTAGAAGTTCTCAAAGCGCTTCACAGAATTTATTGTAAAGTGAATTGACTATGTATTTTCTGGGCGAAACGGGGCAGCCAATTGCGCACAGCAGTGTCCCACAAACAGACGTGGATTGACTGACCAAATCATTAGTATTTATTTTGTATTGTTTGAAGGGTTTATCACCCTCGGAGCAGCAACCCGCCAATTAACTACTAACCGGGTTCCTACTTACTGCTAGGTAAACAGAGGCGTGTGGAGGAAGGAAATTTGCCTAACTTGTCGCCCTGCCCAGGAATCGAACTCAGATGCTCTTCCTTGCAAAGCGAGTGTTCTAACCATGTTAAATATTTTGTTTTACTTCCCAGGAGGACTCGACACTTAGTAAGGCGGAGAAGATCTTGCAGGAGTGGAAAAAGTGACCAGCCCTGCGCGGGAGGCTGTGCTCACACACGCAGTAAACTCAGGAATTTTTACTGCAGCAGCTTTGCACTTTGAGAATCATTTGAGTAGAAAATGTAGTTTGTTGAAAAGGACGTGGTGGCTGCCTTCACTTGGCCCTTCCCAGGGGCATAACCTGCACTTAGAAACCAGTCATTTATAACACAAATGAAACTCTCCTCACCCTTACCCATTACCTTGCTCCTCAAGAAGCTTTGAGCTGGAGGGGAGCAATCCATTTGGGGCTATACACCAGTCTCCCCCCTCCCCCATTTACCATTATAAATTACTCCTCTTTAGATAGTTCCCTTGTGAAGACTAAGGATCCTACCTTGATCACTGCACTCACAGCACATTGCACATCCTAACAAGTCTGTGTTAAAAGACAACGAAAAGGAAAGCATTTATAGAGTATCTTTTAAGTTGGGAGGACGTCCCAAGGCACTGGACAGTCGAGGGTTTTCACACGGGCAACAAAAAAACTCCCATCTCCCCCTTTATTCCCATCCCTGTCCTGTTCACTCTTCCTCCCTCTGTGGATATTCACCCACTTACTAACCTCCCTAACTAGCTGGCCTGTGGGATGGTGTTCCAAGAACTCTTCCACTCTACGACCAAGTGTCGCCAGCTGCTCCTCAAGGTCAGAAGCTTTGAGCTGGAGGGGAAACAGCTGGACACCGTGCCCACATGTGCTCCCATGTTAGGCAGTCTCAGCACAACACAACCATCAGCCGTGGGGCTGTTGACGCTCAGTCCTTGAACATATTCAAGACTGAGACAGATAGATTTCTTATTGCAAAAGGGATTAAGGGATATGGGGATAAGGCAGGGTTAGGTTATTAGCTGGAGTTAGATTAGAAGATCAGCCATGATTGAATGGCGGGGCAGGCTCGAAGGACCGAATGGCCTACTCCTGCATGTTATGCGTCTCCACACTAATTGAATGAACTTTCAGAAACTTTGTGGCTCACCCAATTGCTCTGTTCCCTCTTGAAACCTTTATATGTGTGTCCACAGACCTGACAGTCCCCAACCCTCACTTCTCCATTGAAACCCAATGGGGCATTATTATACTGCTGCTGAATATAAACTAGGGATTGATTATGGAGTGATTAATGAATTAAAGCCTTGTTTGTAGATATAATGTATTGCCAATGAAGAATAAACAATACTGCAATTCCCTGGCTCTCTTGGTTTCTGTGTACTTTGCATCCAGTTTTTACACCTTGTACACTTCAACAACACTGGCACGTTGCTACTTCTCGTCTCTAACTTGATGAACCGCTCGCCATATTAGACTCTTCCTTCTCTCTGGGGCACAGAACTTTGGCTGTGATCCCAGTCAGTCTTTTACTCCTCTGAGCACTACAGTTATGCAAATTTCATGCAGCTGAGCTTTGGCAGCCCTGGACTGACTACTGGCTTCCTAACCAGCCAACTTCACAGAACTGTTACCTATACTTGGCGCCCAAAAACATGTGGCTCAGCAATGCCAACACTAGCAGCCGCCTGGAAGCTCTTTCACCTCTGAGGCACTGACAGGGCTGTGGTTTCAAGCCTCTTGTCGGGACTTTGAGTTCACAAAGTCTCGGCTGACGCTCCAATACAATGCTGCAGGCTGTGCTTCAATGTGGCACCAAATCATTGAATACGATTTGAGAAAATATCATCCAAGTGTGTTTAATACAAAAATACAATCCAGTTGCTGCAGTATTTCTAGCAAAATCATCTAAAACCCTGTAAAACTAGCAGCATAGTCCCAGGTAACTCCAGGTTACACATGAGAGCTACCAATTACCCAGATAGAGCGCTGACACGAACTCTCCCCAGACTCCAGTGAACAGCAGGTTGATGAAGTGGATGTAACTCAGTCCCAATCCATTGCTCAAATGAACAATGTGCTTATGGAGAACGCTTCCAGAAAGGTCAAAATAATTTACTTGAAGAGGATCCTGGCATCAATGGCAATGGCAGGAGGTGCCCGGCTGCAGGGCATTCTTCGTTCATTTGGTCTCTGCCTCCATCGTAAACCCTGACCACAGCCCACTGCAGCTCCTCAATCCACAGGTCAGGCTCCTTCCTGCATTACTCAGTTTGTGGGGTAAACATTGCAGCCTCCAGCAGACACGGGATATTACGTGTCTTGGCTTGTAGAGGTGGCTCCGTTGGCACTGACGATCTTCGGCCTCAGCGCGGAGAGGGAGATGAGAATGGCTTCCTATGGGAAATGTGAGAACAGTGTGAACATCCCCGTAGCATAGTGGTTAGAGCACTCTCGCAAGCGAGAGGACCCGGGTTCGATTCCCGGGCAGGGCAAAAACCTTCGGCAAGTTTCCTTATTCCACATGCCTGTTTATCTACCAGTAAGTAGGAACCCAGTTGTTAGGTGATTGGCAGATCGCTTTCTGGGGGTAATAATCCCTCCAAAAATATAAAGGGCTAAATCAAATGCAAGGCTTATTATTATTATTATGCGTCACTAGCTTGCAAGAGATCTTAAAAGCTCTGTCATAATACTTTGTCATATCCCCGTACAGAGACACAAGAGCTGAGGGGATGGATGAAAAGAGGGGACAAACAGGAAGCCACTCATTTTAACCACCTGTCTTTCCGTCTTTCCAGTTACTACAAGGGCCGAATGGCCTACTCCTGCTCCTAATTCTTTTGTTCTTATTTTCTGACAATGCACATGACACATTTCGCACCTGATGTCCACCAGTTGTCTGAAGTTTTGTTCAGTTCTGTAATCTACTCAGCGACAGCAACTACCAAACAGCTGAATCATTCCTACTCAGACACCAGAGTTTGAATCACTGACTTGATGGATATTTGCACAGAACTTCCCCCCCAGGGAACAATTATCATTCTCAGCCAGATTGCCTCAAGGCACAAAGGCAGCAACCCAAAGGGGCCTAAGTGGGTCAAATATTTTCTGAATAGCTGTATGTCTCAATGTGCCTTTCTCGGTGACGGATGGAGCCTGAGAAGCTTTGGTACCTCGGTGCGGATGGTGCGGCTGCCCTGCCCCGGGCACGTGTCCAGGTAATGGTGAAAGAGGAGCTGAGGATCAGCCACCTGGAGATTTGGGTCGAAGTCCACACTGGTCTCCAGGCCCTGCAAGCCTCCGAACACCATCAACATGTGCCTGTGGAAGGGGGGGGGGAAGAGGGGGAGAGAGAGGGGGGGTGGGGGGAGGCGGGAGAGAGAGAGAGAAGGGGGAGCATGTTACTGGATGTTCCATTCCGATTTCAGGCAGGTCCAAACCTTAAGCAATTCTTCCTTGTTCCACACGTATATTGAGCAGTAATTAAGAACCCGGTTGTTAAGTCAATTAAGGCAAGTTTCCTTACTCCAATAATCCCCAAAGAAAAAATAATAATAATTTGGTCACTCAATCCATGACTGTTTGTGGGACACTGCTGAGCGCAATTGGCTGCCGGGTTTCGCCCACAACATATACAGGAATTGGTTACAGGCTAAAGCTGAAGCAGGCACCTGAATGAAGGCAGCGAGGCTTGGTCAATGCTGGATCCTCGCTCTGAGGTCCCGATGGTGAGATCGTATCCCTCCTTGAATGGGCACTCTGTGAACACAGCACCTGCAAACACCAGCTCATGTCAGGGAATTAGAAGATAGTTAGTTTGATTCAGCCCGTGTGACAGAATCCAATGACCCGTCACCGAGTGCGCAAACTTAGTGGACGTATTTAGCGCCGGGGCTACTGTCACTTTTACATAGGAACAGGAGTGAGCTATTCATACCCTTCAGTCTATTCTGCCATTTATAAGTCCAGTTACCAGCCCTTACCCCATATCCTTTAATACCCTGACCTAACAAATATCTATCTATCTGCGTCTTACATTTCCTCATTCCACAAACAGACAGAAAGTTTGGGACCAATTCCTCCCGCCCCCCCAGTTGTCCCTCATTCTGAAATAACAGACCCAGAGGTCAGGAGACAAGAGGGTATTTTTCTGCTAAAGGTTTTGTACCTACGCTATGTATATGTAGACAACAGGACAGTGGGGCTAGGCTGGGGCAGCAGTGATTAGAAACAGAATTTCAGACGCTGAGTATTTCTGGAACTGAATACATAAAAAAAGGATTTCTTCATTCCCCCTTTTTCCCTTGTTTTACGATGTTTGGGGCCAGAGTTAGGAACGTAGAAATGGAAGGAGGCCATTCAGCCCCTCGAGCCTGTTCTGCCATTCGACTAGATCTGTACCCGCCTTTGCCACATGAGTTAAATAATTCTGTAAGAAGGCATTAACATTTTAGCTTTCCAGGGATAATAATCCCTTAAAAAAATTGGGTCACTCAATCCGCGACTGTTTGTGGGACACCGCGGTGCGCAATTGGCTGCCGTGTTTCGCTCACAAAATATACACTTTACAATATATTCTGTGAAGCGCTTTGAGACGTTTCAACGATGTGATAAAGCACTGTATCAAATGCAAGGAATATTATTATTATCCCTTGATACCACGATTGAACAAAAATCTATCAACCTAACCCAAGAGGGATGAAAGACTCACTGAGGCAGGAAGCCAGACGCACGGTGTAGCCCCAGTACAGGCCGGACCTGGTGCGAGGCAAGTGAGGGGCCACCACCGTCCCCTTCTTCACTTTACTGTCTGAAACACACGCGGAAACGGGGGATTATCACTGAAAAGTTAACGCCTGGAAATGCCAATGGCAATGTTGTTAATGTTAATGTCGGTGTCCCAATGTTGTTACTGTCCATTCCACACGCAGTTGTCTCCTGCTCATACAACATTACGTGCGTGTTTCGCAGTCAATCCACTTTACGGGGAATAAAAGAAATAAGAATAATTTTGTCACTCAATCCACGACATGTTTGTGGGACAATTGGCTGCCGCTTTTTTGCCCACATATACAGCCATTTTACTTTACAGTACATCTCGTGAAGCGAGATGACGTGATAAGGTGCTATCAAATGCAAGGATTATTATTATACCTGGGTTTTGGTCCCCGTCTAATTGCACTGTGACCCGAAGTCCTGCCTGAAGCTGTCGGTCAATCCTCACTTCCTGGTTTTAGCAGAAGAACAAAGGATCAGAAATGCCTGCGATGGTTGTGCCATGTCCAAACACGGGAGAGTTTCAGCGAACGAATGTTTCTCGGATCCACCACAGGGAATGCAATTAACTGCCATAATTTCCCTACAGATACACGGTCGCTCCACTTTACTGTATGTTCTGTGAAGTGCTTCGAGACAGCCTCAAAGACCTGATATGGCGCTATATTTGTGGTTGTATATCAAACGCAAGAATTATTATTATTATATTCTGTTTTAGCCACGTGGCGCGAGCTGCAACACCAAACTGCATTTCTATAGCACCTTTCACATCTGGAGGACGACCCAAGACGCTGGGTGCATGCAACCACATTGCCATGCACCAAGATTCTTATGTTACACTCACCTTTTTCATCCCGCAATTGACGAGAGAGCCTTTCCCAGGCTTACTGGGTCGGTCTACCACCACCCCCTCACGGTACTCAGCCGCCTCGTCCAACCGCATGTGGTGGGGGCTGTCCAGGGGGTTCAGGAGGCCTGGAGCAAGCCAACACAGCATACAATTAGGCAGTGCAGCAACGCACACCCGGGAACTCAGCCAAACACACGGATAACCAGCAGACAGTTTCACAGACAGAGGTACAAGAAGACGTAATTACAAAGGAAGCCCGTGGGGATGGATAGGTGATTAACAGTTTCAATTTTCTATCTACAAGGAACAGAAATCAAAGGCATTATTTCTGAATTTGATTACATCTCACGAGAAACGCAGACCTGTCACTGACTGCCACCCAGTGGCCAAAACCGAATGCCGACTGGAATACAAACCAACGCTGAACGGCAATTGTTGAGTCCCCGAAGCCCAGTGGTTAGCGCGCTCGTCTCGATTCCCCGACAGGGCAAAACCTTAATCCACGACTGCTTGTGGGACACTGCTGTGTGCAATTGTCTGTCATGTTTCGCCCACAAAATACACCATCAATCAATACACTTTACAGTCAATTCACTCTACAGTACATTCTGTGAAGCGCTTTGAGACGTCTCAGCTACATGATAAGGCGCTGTATCAAAATGCAAGGATTATTGATATGGGGTATCAGCTGGCAACAGGAACAGATCGCGAGTGTCTCGGGGCAGCTCACCTGCAAACTGAAGGTCGTGGTGCTTTGGGAAGAAGGATTTTCGGAGGTACCTGTTGGCACAATAATTTTAAAAAAGTCACATCAGAAACAAAAGCATCTACGTTTAGAAAACGAGGTTTGTCATCAAAACACCCACGCAGGGCGGGAGAGCCGTGCAGAAAGCCAGTGCCCACCGAGCAGAGGGAGCGGGCAGGTTGGTAAGACACAACGAATCGAGAGAGAGAGAATTAGTTAGTAAAGCTAAACAAATAAAACCAGTCCCAAAGGAGCAGGTGCAAGAGGAAGGACTCACTGGGGACATTCCAGGTACTGCAGGATGCGGGCCAGCTGTACACTGCCGTGGCCTTTCTTCCCGACTCCTCGGAATTCACCTTCCACACTCCTGGGCACAGACACAAACATAAGAGCATAAGAACTTGCTAAGCGAAAGAAGACCAAGGTCCATCCAGTTCGCCTTTCACCATCCTGGCAGTCGTTTGACCTGTCATGTCCCAAACTATATACTGTATCCCGAGATATTATTTTCCAGCAGAAATCTATCGAATTTGTTCTTGAAACAAATGACATTTTCTGTTTCCGGCATCTCCCTAGGGAGCCTGTTCTCCAACTCGCTCACTGAAGTAGGGTTTCTGCAGATTTGTTCTGAATTTACCCCCTCCTTCAATCACAGCCCGTTTCCTCTGGTTCTTTCAAACATCAGCGTTCCCATCAATCCCCGTGGGGTTTCCCCACTCTACCCATCTCCGCATTCCCTGGAGAAACCTGGATCTATCAGTCACACAACTGGTACTCAACGGGATACAATATATTAGGAAATAATGTGTTGGGATACAGTACAGAGTTTGGGACAAGACATGTGCACGCGACATGTGCCTTCTCCTCCCACCAACACCCCACACACTTACTTCACATCTTCACCTTGTTCATCAAAGACCACAATCTCATCAACACAGAACACGGTGCAGGCCCGTGCGATTTGTCCAGCCAGGTACGTCCGTAGCTCTGGAGATTGGGCGTTGTCCAGCACCGATCCCGGCAACGCCACACTCACTGTGTACAGGCGCCCTGGAGGGGAGTAATGACATGCTCAGTGTAAGGAAACGAGCGTGATCGCCTAGCAAACGAAAGGATCTGGGTTTGATTCCCGGGCAGAGCCAAACTTTAGGCAAGATTCCTTACTCCACACGCCTGTTTATCTAGCAGTGAGTAGGATTGACGGATCACTTTTGGTCACTCAATCCACAACTGTTCGTGTGACACTTCTGTGCGCAATTGGCTGCCACGTTTCGCCCGCAAAATAAGCCGTGATCAGCTCACTGAAAGCAACTTCTGCAAGTAAGCTACACAGTATCCACATCCGAGACGTCTCAAAGCGCTTCACGGAATATACTGCAAAGTGAATTGACTGTGTATTTTGTCGGCGAAACCCAGCAGCCAATTGCGCACAGCAGCGTCCCACAAACAGTCGTGGATTAAATGACCAATTTATCACCACCGGAAAAGTGATCCGCCAATCGACTAACAACCGTTTCTCCTACTTACTGTAGGCAAACAGAGGCGTGTGGAGTAAGGAAATCTGCCCAGCGTTTCGCCGGACACCAAACCCAGGTTTCTCGCTTGTGAGACGAGAACTCTTACCACTGAGCTACAGGACTCCAGGACGTGTTACAGGTTTAGCGATTCTACATTAAACCTTCACAACATGCGGGTTACCTTTCTCTTCCTTTGCTTCTTCGAGATCTTTTTGTACCTTCATTTCTTTTAATTTCTGTTTTTCAAGCTTCTTCAGCAAATTCATCTCTTTAAACTGCTTGATCTTCTGCTTCCCTGCAGGGACGGAACCAACAATGCAATCATTGTATCTGCTAGTGTTTACAGACGGACAATGAGCTTAACGGTAGCACCGACACTGCTTGGCTAACCTGGTTGGGAACAGTGAGCTCAAATCGCTATCTAAGCCCTGTTGACGGGCCAGACCGGCCGTGCTGTCACCACATGGCTCAGGAACTGGACTGGAGGCAGACAGAGAGCTGGTTCGATTCCGACATTCCGGGTAAGCTCCACGGAGACCCCGCTTACCCCGTACCCCCCCCTCCCTCCAAGAACGGACGCGAGTTGGTCATTTGAGACAAGAGTGGGTCTGAGCTCCCACTCGGTGGATGGTTGGTACCAAGAACTCCCGGCGAGCGGCCGAGCGGACCGCACGGCTCAGCATTAAATCTGTGAGACCATTGCCACCGACTTCCTGTCCGCAGCTCGGACACGGTGGGTCGGGTGGACATTCTGAGAGGATGGAATCAAATAGGCCAAAGGGAGTTTTTCACCTGCAGAGCGCTGTCACCGGGGATTGAACCCGGAGCGGGAGAGCAACAAACAGGAACAGCCGTAGAGAAATAAACTCACTCTCCGCCCGCGTTTTCTTCCATCCACTCGCGGGTTTCTCATCCTTATCCATACATCAGAGAGGGAAGAAAAGCCATGAAATGTGGAGCTGCCTGACCCGGGGCCTGGTCTCTCCCCCCCCCCCCACCCCCCCCGGCCTCTCTGTCTCTCCCCCACCCCACCCCCCCCGCCTCTCTGTCTCTCTCCCCCCCACCCCCCCCCCCGGCCTCTCTGTCTCTCCCCCACCCCCACCCCCCCGGCCTCTCTGTCTCTCCCCCCCCCCAGGCTCTCTGCCTCCCCCCCCCAGCCTCTCTGTCTCTCCCCCAGCCCCCACCCCCCGGCCTCTCCGTCTCTCCCCCCCCCACCCCCGGCCTCTCTGTCTCTCCCCCCCACCCCGGCCTCTCTGTCTCTCCCCCACCCCCCCGGCCTCTCTGTCTCTCCCCCACCCCCCCCCCCCCCGGCCTCTCTGTCTCTCCCCCCCCCCACCCCCGGCCTCTCTGTCTCTCCCCCCCCCCACCCCCGGCCTCTCTGTCTCTCCCCCCACCCCCCGCCTCTCTGTCTCTCCCCACCCCGCCTCTCTGTCTCTCCCCACCCCCGGCCTCTCTGTCTCTCCCCCACCCCCCCGGCCTCTCTGTCTCTCCCCCACCCCCCCGGCCTCTCTGTCTCCTCCCCACCCCCCCCCCCCGGCCTCTCTGTCTCTCCCCCCCCACCCCCGGCCTCTCTGTCTCTCCCCACCCCCCCCCCCGGCCTCTCTGTCTCTCCCCCACCCCCCCCGCCCCCCCCCCCCGGCCTCTCTGTCTCTCCCCCACCCCCCGGCCTCTCTGTCTCTCCCCCCCCGGCCTCTCTGTCTCTCCCCCCCACCCCCCGGCCTCTCTGTCTCTCTCCCCACCCCCCGGCCTCTCTGTCTCTCCCCCACCCCCCCCCTCCCCCCCACCCCCGGCCTCTCTGTCTCTCCCCACCCCCCGCCTCTCTGTCTCTCCCCCACCCCGCCTCTCTGTCTCTCCCCCCCCCCCCCCGGCCTCTCTGTCTCTCCCCCCCCCCCCCCCGCTCTCTGTCTCTCCCCCACCCCCCCTCCTGTCTCTCCCCCCCCCCCTCTCTGTCTCTCCCCCCCCCTCTGTCTCTCCCCCCCCCCCCCGGCCTCTCTGTCTCTCCCCCCCCCCCCCTCTCTGTCTCTCCCCCCCCCCCCGGCCTCTCTGTCTCTCCCCACCCCCCCCCCCCCCCCGGCCTCTCTGTCTCTCCCCCACCCCCCCTCTCTGTCTCTCCCCCCCCCCCGCCTCTCTGTCTCTCCCCCACCCCACCCTCTCTGTCTCTCCCCACCCCCGCCGGCCTCTCTGTCTCTCCCCCACCCCCCCTCTCTGTCTCTCCCCCCCCCCCTCTCTGTCTCTCCCCCACCCCCCCCCCCCGGCCTCTCTGTCTCTCCCCCACCCCCACCCTCTCTGTCTCTCCCCCACCCCCGGCCTCTCTGTCTCTCCCCCACCCCCCCCGGCCTCTCTGTCTCTCCCCCACCCCCCCCTCTCTGTCTCTCCCCCCCCCCACCCTCTCTGTCTCTCCCCACCCCCCACCCGGCCTCTCTGTCTCTCCCCCACCCCCCTCTCTGCCTCCCCCCCACCCACCCTCTCTGTCCTCCCCCCCACCCTCTCTGTCTCTTCCCCCCCACCCTCCCGGCCTCCTGTCTCTCCCCCCCCACCCTCTCTGCCCCCCCCCCCCGCCTCTCTGTCTCTGTCTCTGTCCCCCCCCCCCTCGCTGTCTGTCTCTCTCCTCTCACCCCATCTCGGGGCCGCTTCCCGCGTGGCTTCTCCGCCATCTTTCCCACCATCGCCACCTTCTCGGCCAATCGGAAGGCTTTCTCCAGCGTCCAATCAATCAGGCGCTTCCCTCAGACAACCAATCAGACGCTTCCCTCAGGCAGCCAATCAGGCGCTTCCCTCAGGCAGCCAATCAGACGCTTCCCTCAGACAGCCAATCAGACGCTTCCCTCAGGCAGCCAATCAGACGCTTCCCTCAGGCAGCCAATCAGGCGCTTCCCTCAGGCAGCCAATCAGGCGCTTCCCTCAAGCAGCCAATCAGACGCTATCCCGACCTTTCCCACAATGGCCACATGTTATGATTAATAATTGTGTGTTCCTGTGGCTCAGTGGTCGGAGCTCTCGGGATCGATCCTCCGGGCGGGTTTCCTCACCCCACACCTCTGTGACCAGGAAGCCCCGCCCGGGCGCTCTTTGTCCATTGGCGGCGGAAATAATTCCTTCCAAAGATAAGAGGAATAAATTGGGTCACTTCAATCCAGGACTGTCGATGGGACGCTGCTGTGCGCGCGATTGGCTGCCGCATTTCACCCACAAAATATACAGTTCATGCACTTTACGGTTGATATTCTGCGAAGCGCTTTGAGGCGTCTCAAAGACGTGATAAGACGCTGTATCAAATGCAAGGATTATTATTATTAGGTTATTAATAATAATGATGTTACTCGTGGTAGCAGTAACCAGGGGCACCAGTGATTTCAGTAATCTCATACTCCTCCCCCACCCTTATAATAACACCCCCTCACCCTCAGGTGGATGTCACTGAGGGTTCGGACTATTTTTCGGTTGATGTGAAAGTTTTTTCATCACTGACACATGTGGTCACGGTCTCAAGAGTTACAGAACTGACATACACATTGCAGCAGTTAATTCTAATACAATAATCTGCTCAGTTTATTAATTTGAAACTAATATACAGAATGAACAAGTCACTCAACAACAAACACAATTCGTTATAGATATTTGAAGCCAGAAGTTTGCTAAACACTGATCAAAAAGAAGTCAGAAACATGTCAGAAAGCTACATCAGTTTGAGGTTTTTTTCTACAGTGCACTGACCAACAACTGAAACGTGGAAGAATGATGATCATTGTGCTTAGAAGTTACTTCATTGTATTCAGTACAAGTGTTTAACTGCATTTAGACTGTCCCGAGGATCAGTGTGTGTAAGTATGAGAGTGTGTGTGAGTGTGAGCGCCATCATTTTCATGGCAGATGATGATCTGTCACCAGGTTCAGTCACATCATCTGTAACGGATGGATGGATTGAGTGAGGAGGCGAAATGCATCTCTGACGGATTGTTTCAGCTCCTCCTCATATCGCTGTTATGGAACAGGGACTAACAGTTCTTTGTGTACAGAAAATGTTTACCTTACAATTAATGTTACTTTTCTGCTCTGACAAATCCACCGAAACACTCCCTTCCTCAACTACCGCCTGCGGTTATGACCTTCACATTATTTGTTTGTTTCATGATGTTACTGACAAACAGGAGGCCGGAGGCACGTTCAATGCTTTCAATTGGTACCAGGAAGTGATCCAGGCGAGTGTCCGGGTCCACAGGTTGGTTTGGCATCACATACGATCTCAGTTCGATTTCTCCGTTGTATTTTTCTAATATGAGAACTTTAAACATGTGTGTGGGGACTGCTATGTTATTCTTCCCAATCACCTGATACTTCACGTACATCTTTCCATCAGATTCTGCCCTGTGATACAAAACAAATAATAACTCCAGTGTTATTACTTTAAGAACAATTATTATAAAAAGCGCTCCAAGATGCTATCCGACATGAATGACGCTCCATTAAACATAAATTGCTGTCTTCAGGCGGCAAGAAGACCCATAGCATACTGGTTAGAGCACTCGCCTCGCAAACAAGAGGACCCGGGTTTGATACCCATACGGGGCAAAACCTTGGGCAAGTTTCCTTGCTCCACACACCTCTGTTTACCTAGAAGTAAGTAGGAACCCGGTTGTTTGTCGATTGGCTTTTAATAATCCCTCAAATCCCTCAAAAAAAATTGGGTGACTCAATCGAAGACTGCTTGTGGGACACTACTGTGCGCAATGGACCGCCGTGTTTCACCCACCAAATACACAGTCAATCCACTTTTATAGTATATTCTGTGAAGCGCTTTGAGCCATCTCAACGATGCGATATCAAATGCAAGGATTATCAGTTGTGTACCTGGGCAGGAAGAGGGGTCCCGTACAGACATACACATTCTTGTTAAACTTGGTTAGGCTCCGACAGTACTTCTCAAGGTTGTTCCAGGCATTTTGATTCAAATTAGGATTCTGCAGGAATATAAATAGTTACCTTTAAGTTGTACAGTTCAGCGCTCTCAGGTCAGGTCACATCTTGGATACTGTGCACAGTTCTGATCACTGGAATATTCTATGCGCAAGCTAGCT